TATCATTTGCTAATTGTGATGAAATCTTCCTAGATAATTGTCACTGATTCCTGGTCGTGTAGGGGCCAGAAATCATCTTGTTTTAGTTAGTGGTAGCTGAACCAGAAGCTTAACTTTGCCATTCTTTACCATCTCTGTCTTGATTGTGTATTTGAGTGTGCATCTGATTGAAACTTCCCTATCTGAGGCTTCATTTATTTATAAGTAATCAGAATGTTAAATAATCGGAATGAAAATCAATTAATAATAATGATTAATAAAGTGATTAAGGTAGATGGATTTGATTCGATTTTCTCAAATGATGGTTTGATTGAACCATTTAGTTACTCCCAGATACATGCATGATGCATCCATCTACTGAGTACTAACACAGACAGGGAAGGTAAAATTTACAAAAAAAAGTTTAAATATTTTCATAAATAGTTTCGAAAATGTCCTGGAGCAAATATCTATTGGAATAATGTGATTGTTTATGGGCAGAAACAATTTCGAACCTAAAATAATATATTATTCTAGATTATGCTACCTCAATTTTTCATTCAGAATATTAATTGATATTTGCTAAAAAAAATTATTTTAAAAATGTTTATGAAAATATTAGTATTTAAACTTTTGAAACAAATGACAATAATTAGGGATACTTTGTGTAATCTAACCTAAATTTTATTATCAATTGAGGACCCAATTTGAATAAGCTCATGAATTCTTGTTCTTATTAGAATTAAAAAGAAAAAAATAAGAATGGTTAATTGTAATATATTTATTTCAAATCTAGTTATTCAAATTAATTAGGTTTATGGACTACCTTTTTTTGCCCCAATCAAAATTTTTATTTATTTTGTAGTTATACATGCAGATGTGTGAATTCCAGCCTTTGACTTTTTAGTCAATAACACATATCTTAATCAATTGATATGCTCAAATTGGGCAACCAATTAATTTTTCCAATTATGATGATGTTCCTAATTTATACCATGTAGAAATTATATATAAGAGAATACTCAATTTAAAATAAAAAATAATAATAATTAAGGATCAAAGGGACTACATGCATTAAAAAAATTGTGAAATGGATGCTTTTGTATTTAATTTGGGATATTTCAATCCAAACAATCTTACAAGCCGAACCAACTAAACTGAATCGAAACCGAAACCAAAACCGAAATTATGTCGTAAATAGCCCTGGATTGCGAACAACATGTTAGAAAGTAGAAAAGCAAGGCATGAGGATAAGAAAGATGGCGAGTGACTTGGTCAACTAAAAATCTTGTTGGGTTTATGACAGTGATTTCATCCAATATGAATAATAATAATAACAAAATTAAGTTGGCAGTAAAAATTTCTATTTTTAACCTCACACCAGATGGATAACTTGTAAAATTTACCCTTTTTTACCAATTTGCAATACTCTCCACATACCCTCCTCCCTCCCGTTTTATATAAACCAAAAACCAAGGAAACCCCAACAGAAAATATAACGAATAAAAGAAACCGAAACCAAAACCAAACATAAATTAGAACGCTCTAATTTTTAAGAACCCTAAAAAAGGAAGGAAAAAAAGAAAACAGAGAGAGAATTTTTTTATGGCCGGGTTGCAGAGGTCCGCCGTGTCATTCCGGCGACAGGGCTCCTCCGGCCGCGTCTGGGACGACAGATTCTTCAGCGGCGAATTGAAACCAACCACTTGCCATGAACTTCTCCAAGACGACGCCGTTTTGAGGCCATCTCGTAGCGTCGGATCCGTCTCCAGCTCATTCCACCGATCCCGATCCTCCTCCGCCGCCCATCGCATGGCCGTTATCTCGCCGTCCCCGCCGCCCAGCTCCGCGGATCCGGCCTCTCCCAAGTTCGCCGGCTGCGGATTCTGCCGCGTCTTTGGCCGCCCCATCGCCCGGGATCGTCATCAGAAATCCATCAATCGTCGATCGGAGTAATTAACTAATTTTCCTTCATCTTAATTCTTCGATCATTTTTATTTTTATTTTTTTGCCTGGGATTTACTGGAATGTATTTTTATTTTCTTTTATTTTATTTTTTTAAATACCTGGCATTGTGTTTCGAGAAGAAACAGAGAAACAGAAAGAACAGAATTAATTGTTCTGAAAATGAAAGAACTGTGTTGTTTTCTATTTTCTTACCCTTATTTGTATCAACTTTCCAATGTTTAATGGAGGAAAATCTTTAGCTTCGTTAATTTGCAATTTTTATTAAATCTTGCTTAATTGTAGTTTGATTTTGCTCATTCTTGTTTGGTTCAAACGTTTTGTCATGGTGATTGAATTTTGCATACGATATTGATTTAATAAGTTAATTATGATTTTTTAAATGAATTATTTATGTTTAAATATTATTTTAGTTACTGTAATCTCGACTTTGGGTCATTGGTTCATTTTATTATGTTGGTTTAATTTGAGTTCGATTCTCCACTCTTTCAGTTTTTGTAGTTTCAAAATGTCTATTTTGGTTTCTTTGTTTTTAAAAATGGATTATCCCGATGGTTTCATTTTTATTTTTATCTCATTTTTCCATTATATACTGACTTGTTTAAAATGTTGTCATAAATTTATATTAAAATATTTTTATAGTATATAAAATTTTGTAAATAAAGATTAAATTGCCCACTTTCTAAAATACAGAATTCAAATAGACATCTTGAAAATATAAAAGACTAAAAAATGGATCAAATTTAGAATTACAATAACCAAAATCAGATAAAAATTAACAAAAGCCAAAATAGAGAAATAAAATGGTATTTGAACATAAATTAAATTAAGATATGTGTCCGATGAATGATAAAAATAAATTTAATTGACTTTAAATACTTTTTTTTTTTTTATGTTAAAACACTACTCACAACTCTAGGAAAATTTAGTGATGGAAATATATTTTGAGTTCTACTTCTATCATATTTTCAAAGTCTTAACGCTTAGTTCTAACTCCATTTCTTAATGCATGCCAGCCAGAATTTGATATAGCAATGAGAGTGAGAAAACGTCACCAAATTTGTTTTACTTTTCGTCACTAATCAGGGACAAATTAAATTACTTTAAGTAACTCATAAAAAGATTTCCACTATATTTTTCAATTATGTATATCACTTTCAATTGTTAATGGCTCATTTCTTAATGATAAATTTAAATATGAAAAATCCTTGGTTAAGCACCTATCATCTTGCTTATCAGCGTAAATAATTTATCAAAAAATTAATGATGGTTAGCAAAAGATAGGTATTTGTTGGATAGTAAAATATGATCGAGCAATGGATCATACTTCTCATGATAGATTGGGTGATCTACCTCAAGGTGTTAGTACACTAACTTTATATGGTTCAACCTATGTAGTTCGGGAGGAACAAAAGATCTTGGCTAACACACCTCACCAACCTATGCTCCGCAATTCTGTCTGATGCTGACCTACTCAGCTCAAACTCGAATTGATTTGAATTTTTCTTCATAGTCGTAGGTCTTCTCTTGCTTAACTCACTTCCTCGTAACTCATCTAGGTGAAGACGTGACCAACCTTCAATCTTTGATAAAATTCAACATCAACAATATTGATCGATGAACCTTCAATATTGTTGTTTAAATATTTTATGACTTATCTACTATAAGATAAAAATTACATGATTATGTGGTAGATTTCACTAAGACAAAAATTACATTAATTAATCCTCTTTTCATTTATGCCACAAACAAATACAGAAGTAAGTGACACATGTTGAGACCATAAGAAAAAAGTAAATGATTTGCAAATTCATAGATCACTAGGGAAGTTTATACTGTATGAATCAAAAGAGAGCATAAAAAATCCAACTGGTTGTGTCTTTATATAAATGGTACAATTTGCCAAATAATGATGTCTTTTATTCTCAAATAAATAAAGAATTGCTACCTCCTTTTATGCATCATTTGCATTATTATAAAGCAACACCCAACACCTCAAGCCTCGAAAGAAGAAAAAATAAAAAAGATGAGAAGTTATGCCTTTTGATTTGATGCAGGCCCATCTAGTGCTTCTTCAATTGGGGCAAGAAATCATATAATTTAATAAAAAAGATATTATGGTACATCACACATATTATTTACCATATATATATTTATTGTAATTTTCAAAAATTATGATTTTTCCTTTTTGCTTCATATACATTTTAGTTTTCATTTGATATCAATTTGAGCATAGTTTAGCATATATATAAAGATTTAATCTAACTAAAATCAATTCGGATTGAGTCAGGTTGATTTTAACAGTGGTCAGGTTGGATAAATTTTGACCTAACGAATTGAGGGTTTTGTATACCCTACCTTGTGCGTTGTTCTCTCTCGACAAGACAACAACAATCCAGCAACATCAGGCAATAGAACCCCAACAGCAGCTCCCGAATGAACCCAGCAAAATAGGTGATGACAACCAATGGTAAATCTGTAATCTTTCCTAAAAAAAAAGAGGAAGAAGGAACTTTACAAACTTTGATAAAATCGACAGCTTCTTACAGTAAGTAAGTAAGTATGTATATTAAAAAAATATGTAAACCGACCCGAACTGCTTCGGGCTAAACAAAACATCTTTGGGACGATTCGAGAGTTTCCTATTTTGCCTGAAAACCACACGACCTAACCTGGCTCAGTTACACTCCTAATCATCGTAAAGTATATTCAAAATTATTTGGTTCTTAATTTTTTGAAACTCTCAATCTCATCGGAATGTATATTCAAAATTTCCCAATTTGATTATTTTCGTAAAGAACAGTTAACAAAAAGGTGATATATTATTAAATTATTACTTTACTAACATATGACACAAATAATCCAATCAACCCGTTTATAAAATTCAACTTATTCATCGACAAAATCTATTCGTCCAAGTCACATGTTACATGTCTAAATATGGCTACTAATTAATAAAACAATTAATTTTTCATTAATAAAATTTAACATGTTTTTCACGATTGAAAAATTTAATACCTTAAAAGATAAAATTGGTCAGAATATTAAAGTAAATTGAGAACCATTTAACATATTTAATCAAGTGCCCTTAAGTTAATCAAAAAAATAAAAAGATAAATAAAAATCAAACGCACTTAATTATTTTTCTCGTAAATTCAAAGTTGACGTATGTGGCCAGATGTGTAATTATTGTAGGTTAAAAATGTCAACACAAACCGAAAGCTGAGCCTAAGGAATAGGGTAGTCAACCAATTTGGATTAAAATTTTAAACTTTGCAATTTATAATAATTATTATAGTTCTTTTTTTCAACAAAAAATGTAATAATAAAATGTTGAGTGATGTTGGCATCAACGTGACAATTTTCCCGCTGAAATTGATGACGTCCCCCACATTGGCAACATTTAGATCATCCCAAGATTTAACTAAAAGAAAAAAAATAATTATTAAAATTATAAAGATTGTCCAATGATTTACTATTCTTTTTTGGACAGATCATAGGATGAGAAATTGATCCCTTGAATTTCTGGTTAACTTAAAATTAAATATATATTTTAGATCTCCTTAATTTGTGATTCCCAAATATTTCCGCCACGCATGAAACTCAATTAATTAAAGAGAAATTTTAATGGATCACAACTCACGTTATCATATTGTTCATGATTTTGCAAGTATTGTATTTATTAAAAAAAAAAAATCACACTTAGATTCTTACGTAATTTTTCTTTTTAGCTTTCTATAAATATCACTTATTTATATATATTAACATATTAAACTAATAGATGTTCCAAAACTATTTTTATCTTTTGTGACTTTGTCATTAATAGATCTAGACTGAATCTTTATGGTTGTTTTTGTTATATTTACAAATTTAAAATGTTGTTGTTATAATTACAATTAATTGAGTTAATATGTAAGTACATATATCTTTCATCGTTTTAGTTTCGAGAGACTCACAAGTTCAATAAATATATATATATATATATACAAGAAGTTCGAGTAATATACTTTGTGTGTGGAGCAGTATTCAAAATGTTGATGTTGATGAAAATATCGAGGTCCTGATTTTAAGGACATGGATATGTCGATGTCGATGGATATTTCGGGAAAAATAATGAAAATTGTGGAAATTTTTTGAATTAGCAAATAAAACTTGAATTGTAACTTAATTAATCTATAATTGATCACCTTTAACCATTAAATGTAAGAATATGACCATTTTACTAATGAAAATGTCGATATCGATAGAAATATCGAAAAAAAAAAAAGATTTTTTACTTTAATGAAGATTGATGAAAATTATTTGAATATGTAAAGTAAACTTTGATGGTAAATTTTTTAGTATTTTTCATAATAGGATTCATTTGGAAATGAGATAATTATCGACTTGGTTTCCAAATACATTTCTAAGTTCTAATTAACTCTAAATTCTAATTAACTCGTACATGTTTACTTTTTACCTACTTCTCTTTTCAAATTTGAATTTACACATTTTTCAAACACATTTTCAAATCAATCATCAATCCAACTTTCCAATCAAATGTACACAATTTTCAAACACCTCATCCTCGTGATTGTATAATTCATCCAAATTATCTACCAATGAGATCCATATGTGCTTCATATTCTACTCATTTGAGCAACTACCTTCAAAACTTTCTGTCTATGACGACTTGGGAGAACTATTGTAATTTATATCAAAGTTATTAAAATAGTACACTAGATCCTCCTGGATCATCTTGGTATTAATTAAGTTATCTATTCAATATTTATATATATCAATATTTCACATATATTGTTCAATTGTGTAACTAAAGACTAGATTGGATTAGAAATTATCAATAAAGCAAATTCCAAATCTTATTAGTTATACTCTATACAGTATTAAAATGGAATGTCTCATTGAACATACTAAGATTACAATCATCGAAGTTAGTGAGAAATTATAGACTGTAGTGACATAGTAGGAAGATGATGAAAATAAAATAAAGAAGAAGAGGAAAAAAAGAAAAAAGACATGTCGACATGTCGATGACATGGGGGAAAATCGACTTTTCTCCCCTATGTCCATATCGAGCATGTCAACATTTCGACATGTCTCTTGACATTTTTAACCTTGGTGCGGAGGGATTTATTTTTTTTTAGCAAATTCGTAAAAATCAATAAAAAAAAACAAATCTCTCTCTCTCTCTTTAACTACAAAACTCTTAATACTGTGTGCGCGCGTGTATATATATATATATATATATAACCATCGTGCCAATAATACTCTGATTATTTAATTTCAGCTTATGTCGTTTTAGATGATTATTAATTTTTAAAATCTAGTCGAGAGCATTGGGTTGATTTATGCAAGGAAAAAATACTTTAAAATGAAGGAATGAAAGTGCCTTACATTCTAAATTTAATAGTCTGTTTGGTTACCTTGGATTTTAAAGTGGATTTTAATTTTGATACATCTATAATAAATTGGGTTGTTTTTAATTATCAAATTAAAGATAATGAAATTTCAAATTACGTTTTCACGTAAACAAATTCCTAGACCCGACTGAGGCCATCAGACCATCAGATTTTGCCAAATTTCTACTTCAATTACTTATTTAACCTTCTCATGTTAAAGATTAAAAGAATATATGAATAAACCCTTTATTTTCTTTTCCTTTTCTACAAATACTTAAACAAATATTTTTAATTGTATGCATTTTAAACAAGATAAATAATTTAAAGTCATTTTTTTAATTTCAAACCATTAGATTTGAAATATTTTTTGAACTTTCGTGAAGATGTTATCAACTTTTTTTAGGGGTCCAGAATCGTTTGAGTGAATCCAATTTTTGACACAAAAAAAAAAGTCACATTTGAGCCTAAATTTAATTAATTAATTATTTTATCTTAGTACGACTAAACTTTAATTAAACCAAGCAATACAAATAACTAAATAAAAAAAGGTTGCCAGAACGATGGGCATATGTAAAATATTATAAACTTAACGCATAAGCTGTATACACTTTAATTTTTATTTTATATTAGTTTTGAATTCTCCGTAAAAAAAAATAAAAATAATAAGAAACAAATAGCTTTGAATTTATGGGCGCAAAGCAGCTGCCTTGTAATTAGGGGGGGGACAAATAAAGTTGATTTCTTGCTCATTTTCCTTGCTGTGGATGTACTTTCATGTTTTTTTTTTACTCACAACCAGTGAGGTGGAGATTCGAAATCATAAACTCTCGATCAGAAATAAGTGTCAATTATCGTTGAGCTAAGTTTTCGTTGATATTTTTATACTTCTTACATGTTATACCTTTGGAATTTATTTGATAGTATTACTTTATTAGGAAAAAAATGACTTTATTATATATCAGACACTTTTCCTTACCTTTCATCCAAAATTTCAAACACAATTTTAAATCGTTCATAAAAAAATTATTAGTAAACAACCTCATATCTTAAAAATTATCAAAATAACCCTAAAATTTGACTTTCCTTTTATTTTAACTAAAAATCAACATAATTCTAGAATATTGACTCAATATCTAAATTTTATATAATGAAATTTTCTTTTACGAATTTTTTTGAATTGTAATATACTAATCAATAAAAATTTGGTGTGGTAACTTGATAAGCTTAACTAATTAAAGTATATATCTTCCTCAACAAATTGAAAGTTCAAATCTTCATTTCTTGTGATTGAACTGAAAAAAATGACTCTAATAATTTTATATGACCAACAAGAAGATAAATCTTATTTTTGTAACAAAAAAAAACTAGCTTCTGATCTTTTATTTTATTTTCTTTGTTCTTTGTTCTTTTACTTTCTTTTCATTAAAAAGATTAAAGTAGGATTAATAAGAGAATTATGGTAACGAATATTATTTTTCACAAAAGATTTTACGTACCTTCATTCATTGAGTCTAAGAAAACATTAAAATTGATCTAATATGGAAATATAGTATTTAATCCGAATTACAAATTAAAAAAAAAACAAAATGAGGTGGGTGGTCACAAAAAAATCTGAAAATAAGAGATCAAATTACAAATTATTCCATATTTTCACTGTTTTGTGTTTGACAGCAGATTTATAAATATAATTTTAATTTAAAAAATTGTTCAAAGTGTTTAATTAGTTACTAACTAAATATTTACTTTATAAATCTTGCAAAACTATTATTTTTAAAATTATAATATATTATATTTTACCTATTTTAATTTTAACAAAAATAAAATGAGTTTATAATACAAAATAGTATATTTATCAATTTTTTAATATCTTTTTTTAATTTGAATATGCATTTTAAAGTTTTAAATTCATACTACAAACACTGAAACCAATTTTCAAACTTTATACTATTTGAATGAGATAATTCAAAAACAGTTTTAAAAAAACAAACTTGCTAAATAGATATGGACTGAATTCATTTGATTCAGTGAATCTGAAAACAAAAAATATAATTCGGATTGCAACCAAATATGCTCGGACTAGCACTTACTACGTTATATCATGTTACAGATTGGAGGTGAGTACTCGATTTTGTTCATTTTATATTAAATAAAAGTATTACTAACGTGAGTTAGTACATTTAGTTGTCCAATTTTTTTTCCTGTTTTATTCCTTCAAATATGACATTACTGTTATATACGAGACTTTTTGAAGCTCCAACCTGACATGTTGTACTAAAGAAAATCCTCGACATTTAAAAAATGTTACTAGTGTTTTAGTTTACGGTTGAACTTGGCTAATGTATAAGCTCGATTATTTCAATTAAGTTCATGGAATCTTAGCATTTTGATCACAGTCATTGCTAAAATATTATTAGAGTTAGCATAAGAGAAAACAAGACGAGAGAGTTCAATGTTGCACTTCAACAATTTAAAGATAAGCAAAAGTAATCCAATATATTTTGTATTTCCAATAATCGCCCTCAACTTTAACTTAAGTTTTAATTTTTCATGTAGTTCATGAACAAGATTATAAATTAATTTACTTCTATTTAGTTTTTTATTTTATTTTTTATCTCTTAAAGCATTTCTTGATTATATAGATTAAATTCAATATTTTTCGTCAACATGAATATAGTTCAATAGTATAAATTATCTTACTCATTTCTTAGAGTCTGAAGATTCAATCCCTATCTCCATATTTATTGTACTAAATAAAAAAAAATCAACGGTTTTCCAAATTTTTTAAATTGAAATCCGGAGTAGATTCAACTTATATGGAGAAACCCGCTCACTTTTGCTCTCTATTTCTACATTTTTGTGATCTACTTGGTAATAAACACAACAGAAGTTAAGTAGGAGATTTACCTACTAATCATAGTTATTTTTTTACCATAAATATTAAGAGTAACGAACTCACACACATTATATATATTACAAAAACAAATAAAAAAATCAGCCAGCTTTTTTCTTTTCCATCAAGATACATACACATCTTATTTTTTAAATACACATTACGTGGAAAATTACAAAAAAAGAAAAAAAAAAGAAAAAAAAAGAGAAGAAGTAAAAGAAAACGCGAGTCGATCACAATAGAACTCAAAATTGTCCTTAATTTTATCATCTTTTATAGCGATGATGACGACGACGACAAACACGTACAGAATCAATCAATCGTCTCTCTTCTTCTTCTGTTTCGATCTTTCTCACGTGCATGCATTGCATGGGATGCTAATGAGTAGCTGTTGTAGCTGCATCATCTGAACGGCGGCGTTTTGGATTTGGTGCAGCTTTTGTCGCTGTTCGACTTGTTGAATGCTACACAAACGAGGTGTGGTGGCGACGCCGGAGAGCGGCAAAATAGGAAGATCCTCACAATTGCATATTTCGATCATTAGGCCATCGGGATCGTGGAAGAAGAGCTGGTCCACCAAGATCCCGTCGTCTTCTACCTCGCACTTTACGTACTCTATTCTCATTTCTTTTAGTTGCTTCTCCACCGTTTCCATGTTCTCGCTCTGCTAAGCACGTAAAACTCTCTCGTTAGCTCATGCGGAGTTGAAAATTTATTTAAATCTCATTTCGTTATCTAAATTTCTAAAGTTGTACTTTTGTCTTCGTCACTAAACTTTCAAAAGTTGAGGTTAAGAATCCACGTGAAAAATAAATGAAAAAAAAAACTTAACAAAATTTATAAATATATAGAAAACTCCATTAATATCAAAATCTAACGAATTCAAAACTAAGCATTTGGTTGAATAAATCTAAAAGAACTAAAAAGGCATGATTAATAAATACAAGAAAAATTGTTATTTTTAAAAGTTTAAAGGACTGAATAGATATGTCAAAAATTTAAAAGTTCAAAAACAAAAATAGTTCTTTTAGAAGAAGTTTAGATACTAAAGTACATCATTTCAGACTTTATCCAACTTTTTTTTATATCTAGGAGGCAAATTAGGAAAGAACAATTTTAATTAGACCACATATTTTATACAATTTTTTTTTTTAATTAAAGACGATTGCTCCTCCTTTCTTCTTCTTCTCGAAGAGTGAGAAAGTTATAGAAGAGAGAGAGAGAGAGAGGGACCTGAAATGAAAGATGATTGTCTTTAGGGTTGATGGGTCTTTTCTTGGGCATGCTTTCTGGGTCGTCAGATTGCAGCAGATGAATTCCGATGCCATAGTTGAACAACCTGATATTCAGATCCATCAAAAATCAATTAAACTTTCAATTTTAACCAAAATTAACAACTTCAAAATAACAAAAATTTTGGTTTTGGGTTGTTTAAATGAAAACAGTACCATGCACCATGGAAGCTGAAGGAGGCAGGTCTTTTGACAGGACAAAACCCAAGAACTTTCTGGTAAAAATCCACAGATTTCTCCACTGAATTGCACACTATTGAAATGTGATTCACAGACTTTAGGCGTAGAGGGTTCTTCATGATCTTAAATTATACTAATTTTAAGAAGCAATTAGATCAGAGGAAGAATTATTGAAATTAGATTGGGGTTAGGGGGTTTATATAGTGGATTATTGAGTGGGAGAGACGAAAAGTAGGGTGGCGGAAATATTAATTATTTAGTTTTGTCTGCTTGATTAATTTATATTTCCCAGTCAAACAGAGGAGCTGGGGGAGATAGATTAAAGATTTAATAATTAAGTGTTCATGTAATCTCTACTTTATCGACTTTGTCAAAGTGTGATGAATTTGATGCTTTGAATTTTGAATTTTGGTTTTACGTGGCAAAATTATAGAGTTTTTTAATACTTTGAAGAGAGGAAGATTTGAAGATTTATTCCCTAGATGCAGACTTTGTCAGGACAGGTTCTCATCATATACTTAATTATATGTATTTATATATACATATCTACGCATGTATGTATGTATATATAAAACGATGGGCTTATACCCTGAAATATGAATCAAATTTATAGCGGTTTTTTATACGTATTTTTAATGTGTGGCACAAATATTTTTCATATTTGCAAATATATTACAAATTTTTTATTTTATTTTCTCGCAAATATGATAGAAATTTACAAAATCATTTTTTTATTTTTTATTATTCTATTTTTTCTCTAGTTAATTACTAGTATATATATTTAATAGATTGAATTACGTACACAAAATAATTAATATGAGAATGGTATATTTCATATTACCTATCATCAAATATTTCATATTACTTCTATCAATTGATGATGAATCTTTTTTGAATAGAAGATTTTTTTTTTTAGGTTTTTTATTGATATATCAAATATATTAGTAATATACTTCACTGATATAACTGATAAATCTAATATATGAATTACATCACCACAGTATACTTGATATTTAGGCAGATCAATGCGAGAGGTATACTCGACTTTTTTTTTTTTTTTAATGTTTGGGTTGAGCCTCCATTTTTTGTTATATTTACAAATAAATAAAAAAAAAGCAATGGTTACATTTTTAATTGACCATTAATTATATTTTTTTGCTATATCTGTTGCTTTTTTTTTTATAATATGAAAGGTGTTTTTTTCTTTAATTAAAAAAAAAGTCTCAAATTTATGGTAATCTCTTTTAAAGACAATAAGGAAAATACTTAACAAAAAAAAAAATGGACAGTTAATTATTTTTTAAAACGATGATCTATTTTTGTATTTTTCTCTTTTATTCGTTAAATGTTTAACGGTGGTGCTCACCCATCATCACCCAGTATTAATCACCTAAGTATTTTTCCTTTAAGTAAATTGTTGAATTAATGGTCTATTTGGATTGGAAGCTGAGAAACCAATTATTAGTTGATATTGATTAAATTTTTGTATAAATTTTTTAGAAATTAAATTGTTTTTAGAAGGTAGTTCTAAGAATAAGAAATTTTGTGAAGGATCTTTTTACTCAGTCAAAAAATAATGAGTCAAATTAGACTTAGCTTTTGGGATTATCCTATTGTTCCTCTCCTTCGGCTCTCTGTTTCGATATCATCCATTGGAAGTTTATGTTTCCTTAGTAATTTTCTCAGAGAAATTTTCAAACTTTGTTCTCTACTTAATTTGATTTTTAATTTAATTCACTTGTTTTTAATTCTCGTTTGGTGGTATTCTGTTGTGAGTTATTCTATTTATAATGGTAGACATTATTATTAAATTAAACAAACAAAATAACAATATAATTATAACCGTCTTTGTCGTGGATATACAACTTTAATAAATGTTTAGAGTACAAATAAAAATACAGATAAAATTAACTATAATACATAAAAAAGATTTATCCATATCTCTTGGTAATAATAAGAAATTTTACTAATTCAAACCTTGAAAAAGAGAGCTAACATGAATTTTAGTTGATGGAATTCGAAATCAAGATCAGAGATATGTATGTGTTAATTATTGTTAAACTAAACTCATGTTAGTGTATCATGTTTATATTTATATGATATTTAATTGCCTGTGTCAATTAGTTGAATTAATGAAAATTTTAGATATGAATAACATAAATAGGAAAAAAGAGAGAGTAAACCAAAGAGATTCAATTGAAATTAAGCTCAAATCATCCCAATCAAATTAAAACGAAACATAAATAGCAAATTAATAATTTTAACCTTTTTTCTCAAAAATAAAAAATAATAATTTTAACCTAAAATATAAGATACAATGACAAACAAAAAATGGTAAGGATTTTAAATAAAAGACGACAAATAAAAATAGTTATGGCTCTTTTTTTTTTTAATTAAATGCCTCGTCAGCCAAGCCTCTCCTGCTTTAATTTTGAATGGAACAATCTGAAGGACATTGTTAGAACTTAGAATATTAGGAAAAAATTCTTTCCGAAAAAATAAATATTAGGAAAAAATAAGGTCATGGCATAATATGGTCAAACGACAGCCTCTAAGATACAAAAAAAAAATAATCGTTTACGAGACTTTGTCTCAAATTAAACATATGGTTTTTATTTATTTTTTAATTTTTGAGGTAAATTAAACTATGTTGGGGGATACCCCATACCACCTTTGGCCGGCACTATAAATTAAATGTTTCAACTTGTTTCTATTTTTTCTGTCCATTCTTTGTATTTGGATTTCATGTCCAAAAAATAAACTAAAAACTAAATTTGAAAATTTATCTTCTTGCTCCATGGGCCAAGGTTTTAAATGATAACACGGATAGAAATGAGAGGTTTCAATTTCATGAAAATATCGATGTCCATTGCTATTTCTATAAAAATTAGAGAAATTAAAAAATTGTAAAAAATATTTAAATTAACAAATAAATATTTTTCTATTTATAAATAAGTTAAAAATTATTAATATTAATATTAGGGATGTATTAGTGTCATTGGGTCGATATTTTTCATATTTGGTTGATTTTTTTAATATGATGGAAATGTCGATTTACCTCTCATGTCGATGTCGAATCTATAGATACATGGATATGTCTGATGAAAATGTCAATGTGTCGACATATGTTTAATACATGGACATAAGTGACATGTCAATTTCAAGATCTTTTCTTTTAAGATTAATATCAAAAATAAGAAGGATAAGCTAATAATTCTATATGTGGGATGTGCACATGTATAATAACTTGGTAGATTTATGAAAGAAATTAATTGAAAATGTCTCAACTCTCATGATACTTGGATATATAATTAGAAATATATATTTTCTAATTACTTTTCAATACTTTTAAAAATGATAATTTTATTATGTTTACTAAATTGGACATCTAAGTATAAAAAATAATACTTACATTCTAATTAGTGAGGCAGAAATCTACTAAATATTTTGGTATTTATTTTTTAAATAAAAATCTCACCTTTTTTTCCCTGCTTTTCTCTCTAATACCTAATAAAAATACAATGATGTTCAACACGAAGTTCTTGTTAGGCTGTTTAGGAGGTAAATATTATTTATTCTTAGGTAGAAATTGAAGATGATAATTAAGATGCTAATTAATTATAAGGAAAATGGTAGTAATTAAGGTTTCATGCATTTTAGTGTTTGTATGTTTTAAAAAGCTTTTGCCTTTTAATATAACTTAATTTAATGTTGTTATTTATATTGGAAATGTCATGATCCACACCGCATGTAAAGAACTCCAAAATGGTCAACATACTTTCTAGAAATGATTATAAATGGCACAGCATAATATTGGTGATGTGTAATTTTAATTTGTTACAATTACAGGACACTAAATTATAACTAAATTCTATGTAATCGAGTATTCAATTATAACGTATCCACTCACGTTCTACTAAAAAACAAATTATTAAAACTTATTTTTTAAAATTGACGAAACATATAAATTTTTTTTTTTTTGTAAAGTGATAATTATATTTTCTAATATAAATGGGAATAGAAGGATTGTATGAGCTAGCTCATGTTTGACTACTAGTAATTAGTTTTAATCTTTGATAATTAGGTTTTTTGGGAAATAATTAACTCATGTTTGAATTGTAATTATTAAGAAAAAAAAAAACTATGTCTGAGTTATATTTTTTAAATCTAAATTAGGACAAAACACAAATTTATCATTCTATTTTAACATTAAATAGGCTTACAATTGAGTAAGAAAACTTTTCTTTTTACACAACATATGAAGATAGGATTCCAACATGCATCATTTTGATTGAAGATATATATCTTAACTAATTAGATTTTTTACTAAAAAAACTAATTAAATTTAAGTTGACAAATAAGTCAAATTATTATGAGAGGACAACGCGACATTAGGAAGAAAAAAAAAAGAAGCATCTATTACTGTAGGACAAAATAAATGAATGTTTATTTGTTTATTTATTTTAAGTTCGTTAACGTGCCTGCATATATATTGTGATTAAATTAGTAAAATTTTAAGGCCAATCCCCAAAAACTTAAATTGATGGGTTGGCTAAATTTAATTTATCTATAAGTATTCAACACACAGAATTAGTAATTAATTAGAAAAACTAACATTTAATGAGCAGCTAGTGGATAAAAGCCTATAGGGTTTAATTCAAACTAGACTTTGTCTAATGTCTATGCCGTTGGGTATTATCTACTTAGCTTATATATAATAATCACGAAAAGATTATAACTGTATAAACACGCAAATGCTTATAAAAATATATATATATATATATATATATATATAAGAGAAGTATGACAAATGTATAGGCTTAATATTTGACATCTTCAAAAATAGAAAGAGACCGAAGATTTTAATCGGGTCATAGAGTTTGAATTTCAAAGTCAAATAATTCAAAACTGGACCATATAAGTAGAAGAATTTAATGTCATGATTGTATAAGCAGCAGCTGTTTCTGGTTTTCCACAAATATAAAATAACTCATATTTTATTCAATACATTATTGAATGGTGTTCGAATTTATTGAAAAGTTGTTCCACAGTGCAACTTAGTTGTAAAATAAATAATATCCACAGGCTGAGTTTGAGAGTGACTTGAGATTCCTTCGTTCGAGTGATTCCGCTGTTTGTCTAATCTATGAACTTTCAATTTTATTTTATTTTTTTGTTTTTTTTCTTTTTTGACAAAATTTTATTTTTGTGATTGGATTGTCAAGAAACAACCATCTTTTTAAGGTGAGATTGAAACCATTTGTTTTAATGTATTTTTAGAAATCTTTAATTTCATTAACGAAGTACACAAGATAGACAAACATTCTGACGTACAGGTCGGTATAAACTCGGACTTAATAAGGAATTCGAGATAGAATTCGATACCTAGTGCAGGAATAATGCCATTTATTTATAGGTTGGTGATCCGACAGGTTCTAGCTCCGATAAGTGGTTATGTGCATCATGTGGGTCTGGAGGTCGATCATGTTGGACACCTTGGATCCAACCTGTGTGAAGGTTGTCCCACGTATATGACTTTCCTCTAGAGTTTTGTGACTAATATGTCACCTCAAAATTGTCTGAGATGGTCTTTTTGTCTGCCACATGTCAATGTAATTTTCTCCCCAAACACACCACTTTGTTAGCTATTTCGAATTTTGAAGATGATTTTTCTGTTTTTAATAAAATGATAAAACATTCTTACAAATCCTCCTCAGTAAAACCTTCTAACCATAAAAGGAAAACACTATCCCAATGTTCATCTTCTTTCCTCTTTAAATATGAATAGAAAGAGTACCTTATTAAATTTTTCCAAATGAATTAAATAAATGGAAAATATTTGGATTCTGAGTAGCGAGAAGGAATATTGTCTTTACCATCCTTAGATGTTAGACAACTAAAAGAGATAAATAAAAAGACGGGGACTTTTTATAAAAATTAATGAGTTATCAAATTTTCAATGGTGTTGTATTCACTCTCAAGAAGGCAAGTATTTTTGAAAAAAAAAAAAAAACTCTAAATTTTCCTAACACGTCACCTAAAAAAACTGTCCAATTAATTTAATTTAAGATTCAATTAAATAAAAAATAAATTTTAAAATTAATACGCACCCACTCCATCATCATCATCATTATTATTATTATTTTGGTTAAATACTATTTTGGTTCATGTACTTTGAGCTTTGATTAATTTTAATCCCTATACTTTTACAATGTTCATCGCAGTCTTGGTCAGATCCAATTTTTTAGATCAGATGCTCGTTTGAGCTCTAACACCATCATATTAATATTCATGAGTCAACCTCAAAATTAATTGGCAATTAGAGGAGTAGACCATGTCTATTATATGGTCCCTTATGTTTTCAACGTGAGATTCTTAACACCAAAATGAACCAAAGTTGGGACCAAAATAATATTTTAACCTATTTTTTTCTCAGTACAGCCACTCACTTCCATTAAGTATATATTGTGCATGAAACATAGTATTAAATATTCGTCGACATGTTGATATTTCCATCGACATTTTCATGCATCTATGGATCGACATCGACATAAGAGGTAAATCGGTATTTCTATAATATTACAAAAAATAGACAAAATATGAAAAATATTAACAAAATATAACTTAAATAGACATAATATTAATATTAATTATTTTTAATTTATCTAAAAATGATGAGATGCTTATTTATTGATTTAAGTATTTTTATAAATTTTGTTATTTTCGTAGTTTTTACAAAAATATCTTTGTATATCCATATATGTTTTCATAAAATTCAGACCTCGATGCTTGCATCGCATACCATTTAAAAACCTTAGTACGAACTAAAATACATCAAGTAAAAATGTATAGACGACACCAAAATAATAATATTTAAAACGAAAAAATGGAAAAATGGAGTAGGACCTGCCTGACGAAAAAACCCAGTGAACCAAGATGTTCTTTCAAAATATTCAGGGAGAAATCGGTCATTTCAGTATTCCAGTCGTCGTTGAGCTCTCTGTCAGTGGATTCTCGTCCCGATCCCGGACTTCTCTTCCGTTCTAGGGCTCGCTCCAAATCTTCCCTCCCGAAATTCCGGGGAAATATTAGGGGATATGGACGGAGACATGAAAGTTTCTCTCGACAAGCTTCCCGTCAAGCGCTTGGAGGCCATAGAAGAAAACGGCCTCGAACGATTCCCATTGTAAGTTCCTTCTTTATCTGTTTTCTTTCCATTTTCTTGTTCATCAGTTAACGGAAGAATCACAAATTAGCTCGTATGCGTGTTAAGCTAGAAGAAAATATATCTTAGTTGACGAATGCCTGCTTGTGTTTGGCATTCTTAATTTTGATTTTGTTCGTGTTTGTACATTGGTGATTATTTTAGAGTGAACTTCGACGCGATTTATCTTATTGTGCTAAATCAACTGGAGCTAATATTTAAATGTATGCCTCGGTTTTCCTTCTGAAACTTTCTGCTCAATTTCTGGTACGTTTTTTTTATTAATTCAGGTTGATTTTTACTATACTGTTAACAGAGATGTAGGTTATGAAGAGAAACGGTTGTCGCTTATTCGGAGAATTGACTTTGCTTGGGCAATTGAGAAGGACGATGACAAAAAGAAGCAGAAGAAGAGCTCCAAGGAGAGTTCAACGCCGTGGCCATGGCAGAATATGATAGAAAACTTGCAGCTGGCTCATCAAGAACTCTCTGTTATCATAGACCTCATCAACACCGTGAGTCTTTATATCAAACGCCTCTAATTTTGCTAGATTTTTCTTTACCATACTGTTTGTTGTATAAACTGTGTGAAATTATCGCTTTTATTACTTTCATATAAACATGTATGCAAATGTAGAGGCGAGTTGTCTTACATTTATACTTACATCTATGTCTTTTTACGAAGATTCATAAACCTATAACATGTTTTTTAATTCTTGTTGGCTTTATGATATACCATAACAATGTGTTTGACAAAATTACCTGGTTGAGTTGAGTTTCCTTATCCTTAGCTCTCTGTAAAAGATGATCCTTTAGTTTCTTTTTCCTAGTGAAAGATTTTGATGCCTTATTTTATTTTTTCATCCTTTCTTGCAAGAGGAGGTTTGGAGAAGTGTGGCCTATTATTTTTATTAGGAAAGAGATAGGATCATACTGCTAATAATCAGGATCTATAAATTGTGATTATTTTTTCTTTGCTTGTTCTGATGGATTAATTCAAATGAACTGGTTTCTTGAGAATATTCTATTGACAAATATGGTGCCTTGATATAACTGTAGGTGGAAGCTAATGATGCAGTAACAGTGGCTGGGATGACTAGGCCGAAACCATTACCAAATGAAGTTTTATCAGATCTTGGAGTGTCTGTAGCAACGAAACTGCAATGCTTTCGAGTACTGTTTTTATCCGTCTTTTGCTCTCAGAAGTGATGATTACCTTGGGGCTTATGCCCTTAATGCCTTATCTGATTAGCTTGCTTTAATTTGGCTAGTATATGTTTTGCTGATTAATTTGCAGCATTGTTCAATTGAAATTTCATCTTATTATCTGTACTATCATTTTGGAAGTCACTGATTTTATCTCCTTTCCCTCCCTCTCTACAGCATCTTGGCAAATATTTCAAGCAGTCAGCTAAAGGTTTGGAACGCCAGGTTGCAAGGGAAGCAAGATTTTATGGTGCTCTAATTAGGTAATCAATTATCTTCATTTATCCAACGATGATTATGCAATGAATATGTCAAAATTTGTGTGTCATTATGGATCTAAAATTTTGTGCATGGTAATATTCCTTTATGCTTTTATAATCCCTGAAGTGTCCTTAAATTAAAACGTTATAAATTTTAAATATACTATTTTATTCACGGGCCTTTATCAATTCAGATAAAATAGAAGTTGCCAACAAGATTTATGGATATGCTATTTTATTCATGGGCCTTTATGCTCCTCATACATTATATTATAAGATTTATGGGATAAATGTTCCGTTCTAGATATTAATTGCTACGATGAAGATCTAGTTTTACATTTATGGCATAACCTCAAAGTTCTCATTTTGGGATCCTGTGGTGGGTAGCGGCAAAAAAAGGGCAATTTTCTTGGGGGTGAGAATAACCCTTATTCAATTAGTTCTTTACCATAATTGTCTGTTCTTTTTGTCCACATTCATGATTCCTTTGTGTCTATTGCTAGAACTGAAAAGCTCATAAGAGACTTCCTATGGGAGGGTGTGTGAGAATTAGTGTTCTCATCTGGTTAAGTGGAGCAAGCTGTTGTGTTACTGTTTGTTTGGGAGTGGAAGATTAGGGCATAAGATTATTATAAGTATATTTGGAGGTTATTCCATTAGTTGCGGTTCCTATTAGGCTTCATTAGTCTGTGAATCTCTCATCATACTTATAGTTTATAGAAGGTCATTGCTAAATGCTAAGGCTTCATTGTTAATTATGGAGCTTCTTTGCAAACTCAAAAGGGGGGATTGCAGATTACTACTGTGCTTTTCACTAAATCAAAGATTTCAATTTTTAATTAAAAAAACTATCATCTGAGAGAATTCCTGACGTGGGAATTGAGATTCCTATCTTGCAGGGAGAGAATGTGTGTGTGGAACCGCGCTTTCATATAGAGAAATGAAAAAAAAATATACAAGGACATACAAAAGAAAATAGCTCCACAATGGGATAACTCTTGGACAAAGGAGCTTCAATCCAAAAGAATAACACCTAACTAATAATTACAATAAATCTTAGAAACTGACCCCACGGGGAAGCATTAAATCTAATAAGCTCCCAAACATACTCCCTGGATCTCTCCACCCCTTAAAGTCAAATTTTCCACAAAGTAGCAAGGAAACAGGCCTGCCACAAAAATTCCCCTATCTTGAGGGGGGACAACAACACCTGCTCCATCATCACCCAACAATACTTGTTACGAGTCAAAGACACCCTAAAGCACTAACAAAAAACGATCCCAAGGAAAGTAACTTTTGCATACTTGTTAAAGTAAGGTTCTTTGGAAAGTTGGGATTCTTGTGGCATTTTGTTGGGATGTAAGGACTAAGGAGGGAACTTTTGAGGATAGATTTTTTCTTCACTGGGAGGTATATATTCCTTTCAATATAATGCCTCAATTTGGGCTGCCATCAGCCACTTGTCATCAGGCATATACCTTATCCCAAATTTGTTGATAGTTGGAAGATACTTGTGATGGGGGTTGCTCCAATTTGCCCTTTTTATAGCTTTGTATAGCCCGTTGGCTGTCACCTTAGTATCTGTGTGGGGCTTCTTCCTTACCCCTTGCCACTTTATAAGTTGCACCTTCGTATATTCTTTCTTTCTTTCTTTCTTTCCATTTTGGTTCCTTCCTTCCTCCCTTTATTTTTCTATTAACGTATCGTTTCTTATTGAAATTAAAACAACCTTCAAATTATTCAAGGAGACCTTCTTAATATTCCGAGCTTTTTAAATTCTTTCACAATGTGTCTTATAAAAATTGAAGATTCCCACCATTTGAAATTTAATAATTTTTTACTTATGGGGTTAAGTTTATTTAATATCTAATGAACCATAAATATAAGCATTTATTAGTGTATTGTAGTGCAATTTTTATTAAAAGAATCAGAAACCTTTTGACAATTTTGATACTTCCCAATCTTCGTAGATTTTCAGTATTTACTGATGATGTATTGATAGATTGCAGCAAAATTGGAAGGTTAAAAGGCAGCGTGTGGCTGCCCCAGCTCCTGCAAATGAAGGCTTTACCATTGATTTATTTGACAATTCATCATGTGATCCTTCCTCTGTGTTTCGACCATCTTCATCTACTATTCGTGTCGATCATGATTCATCTGGAATGCTGGCTATTAATTTACCTTCAAATTCTTGCCACTCCATCCGTTTTGGATTTCTCAGTGGATGTAATGTGGAGAATCCTCTGGAACGTGGTAAAAATGAGTCCACAAATTCATCCAATCAGTCTTCAATCAAAGGTGAGGAGTTTACAAATGACGATGAATACATTAAGGAAACAAACTCACTTCTCCGTGAAGTTCACCATGCCATTTTCAGTGAGCAGGTAGTTTCTTTATTACCTTGATCTTGCTCATTATAAGTCTTTACTACTTTTGTCGCCCACCACATCATACACTATTTTTTTCCCTCTACTTGTTCCAGGTGTTTGATTTGGTGAATCGCGAAGCATTCAATCCATCCTTGGGTATCAATGTCACTGGAATACGAGAAAATTACTTGCAATTAAGTATAGATCAGAGTACCTCGGTCTTCATCTCTCTCGTGCCATCTAGTAAAAGTTGCCAAATAGTTGATGGTGCCAATACCAAGATTTTGGATAATACAAATTTACCTTTTGATTCACTTGATGGGATTGAATTACCAGATAGAAGTGACTCCCTTGAAAAGAAGTTGCGGAATCCTAATCATATAAATTTTGAAATATATCTGCAGCAAATTTTCCATGAGCTAGTATTTGTAAAATCAAATGATAGACCCATTTCTGCATTAAGCCGCCAATTAAGTCAACCTTCTAATGATGGTTCTGGACTTCTTGGTCATTTCTGTTTGTCTCTTGCCCACAGGATATTTGCAAACAGTGTTCTTATGGAGCTCGAAAATGTGGTAGAGTCCTAATTTCTTAATTCCTAAAACAATTATGAATTCCATTTTTGATGTTTGTTACTAAACATATTAATCGTGTAGGATATCTTTGGTTGTTTTTAGGTCTGGAAGGTCCCATGTCTTCAATTAATTTCTCATCCCACTTGGAATTCTCGAAAATCTTCATGGACCTTCTTCATGGAAGTTCCCCGGTCCATTGTTCATCCTAATGGCATCCAAGCTCGTACATCAGACCGTCATCAGATGAAGAATGTAACCAAATCACAATTTCAGACTAAAGTGGTGGTAAATGATGATTGTATCACAATTGAAGGGGAAGGTGCTCCTAATGTCGTTGGCCTGTGCAAGGGAAATTCCAAGAATATCTACTCAATGAACAGATATGGCTGCGACTTGGCTGATCTTCCCGTGATAATTCTGTTGCAGGTGAGCCACTAGTAGATTTCCGTGCTTTTAAACTTCTTTATCAATGGAAAGTAGTAAAAGTATCATTGTACTTGTATTTCCTCTTCCATGCCTAGAGTTACACATTCTTCTCTCGTTGTCAACACGATTTTGCGTTTCCGCAACAGGTTGCTGGCCAAATTATTCTTTGGCTTCATGGGGAAGCTCTAACCTGGGGAATAAAGGCAAACCGCGACTTCCTAAGTCTATCCTTTGAGTTAGAACAGGGCGAAACACTCCGTCTTGTAGCCCATGTCGACCCAGAAGATGCTCAAGGCTGCCTTTCCTGGTGGTTGGTCATGGACGATGACCTGATGGAGGACAGGAAACTTAATTTTGACATTTCAGATGTTGTACCTGAATACAGGAAGTTCTTGGGGTATTTATCACTGGAAGTTTTGCATTCAACACTAATGGATTTGGTTAGCTTGTGCAGTGGATTTGGGGGTGGCCTATGACCATGCTTACTTTCCGGAATGTTCTTGTAATTTATTCCTCTAGATTCTCAAATCTAATGAAATCTTCAATTTTGGCCCGGATTGGCTTGACTTCATACACTGTTCTTATTCTATTAAAAAACAGTGGAGGTGGCCACATGACCTGGATGGCTGGAAGCTGACATCAGGAGGAAGAAACCATTTGGAAACGCTTCTCTTCTAGTGAGTATCCTCTCTTAAAATTGAATGATCCAGATTTGATTTTTACTTGTTTTCCAAATTAATTGATCTCTAGTCAGCTAATTTGTTATCTGAAAAAAAAAATTCATAAACATTTTTTTTTTGGATTTCTATTTTTAAAGGATGAGGTGAATGATTAAACTTGGATATTAGACCAATTAAAAATTTTCCAGTTAAGAGTGTCATGTTTACAACGGAATTTTTAGAGTATGTCATAGTGGTTTTGTTTAGTACAACAAATAGAATGGTATGGGGGTTTGAACCTTCGCCTTAAAAGTAAGGAGTAGATGCTAGTTATTGGTAAGCTAAACTCACGTTGGCTAGTATGTCATAATGTTAGGATACACGACAATCCTTATAATTGTATTAAAAAATTTGTGTGATTACTTGTAATGATGTGTGCATGACTTCGACTCGACTCGAGATAATCTTAAGAAAAGCTGGTAAGAGTTGAATTACGTAATAATCATGAAATGGGATTCACGTATGAAGTGGTCCAATTATTGATGTTATTATTTTTGTTGTTTTTGTAATCAATCGACTTTTTCCAAATTGACAGCCTTGACAAAAGACAATCTTATTATCCAAGTGGAGGAAGTCGACTTCTATTGCGCTTCTTCTTTGGTCTATATATGCTCTAGAATGTCTATGACGTAATCTTAAAAAAAAAGAAAAAAAAAGAAAAAAAAGAAAAGAAGTCATAAGTATGTAACGACTTGCATGTTGGTTTTGGAATCTTTGAGTTGAAATAGCCAATTCGAAGGGGCCATAAGCACGCAATGTCTTGATTATGCCTATATAATGACATAAATTAGCCTCAGTAGTCGTTGTCGTGTTAGAATTTGGATCAGAACTAAATTGGTCTAATTTTTTTAAATTTTCCTTAAAAAAATCTATAATAAAGAAAGTCATCCACCATTTACTCATTTGGTGCTTATTAAGGACGTTTAGGGAAGAGAATATAATTTGAAGTTTATAGAATTCTTGAAGGTGTCTTTCTTTTAGATAAATCGAACCCGTAAAAGTATCAAATTTGAAAACAAAATTCTATTCGTTCCAAAGGGTTTGGGTGTTCGAGCTTCAAAGCTCGTGCATTAATTTCTTCAAAAGCGAAAGTGGAAACTTATTCTACTTTTTTGCAAAATAATATGCTGATAAGTTCTTGAATCCAAGTAAACGTGAAAAGAAAAAAAAGGATTTCTTTCACAAAGAAATTGTGACCACTTGAATATTAATAAAATTTATGCTTATTTCATAATTTCATTTTTATATCTCCAACCAAAGAGGTTTTGAGTTCAATTTAAAGAGATCGATCTCATGTGGTACTAAAATAATAATAATAATTTCATTCCTATAAAAAATCGGGTTCATAGAGCCAATGAATCGTGTTATTGGTATCCACTTAAATAACCCAAATTCTGTTTTCCAAAACAATAATAATATTAAAATAGAAAAAAAAGTCTAGCCACTTTTGACCTTAATCCAAAACATACGCGACTATATTTTATATTTTACATATTTAAATCCGATAATTTCGTTTCATTCTTTAAGATTTGACAAATTGTTTCCTTTTATAATTTAGAATTTAATACGTTGCATATTATTGGCATATTAGCAATTTGGGCAGTTTGATTTCATCCTTATTGTCGACTTTTATTGTCGGGGAGTCCTCAATTAAGGAAGCAAATAAATGTTTGCAATTGCCCATAAGAACAGGAAAAGAAAAAAAAAAGTCATTTCAGAAGAATTATTTCGCAAGATTCAAAACCCCATATTCTTAGTTTCTTTCACGCAACGAATAACCCCTTCACTCATCATCCCCATCAAAATTCTAAAACATTCTGTTTTACAGATCTCTATCGTTGTCATCACCTCAACAAGAAGAAAGCAAGCTTGCAGTGAAATAGCGAAAATCCCCTATTACCCTCCTGGTTTTCTTTTTGTTGCACCGGCTGCTCGGTTTCCCGCATTCAAGACTATAATTTACAAAACGGAAGGAAAATTGCATTGTGGGTATTGAAGCGTTCGCGAAGTTCAATTGTGGGTTATAAAGAATTCGAAGCCTTTGTGTTTGTTGGGGGTTGGAATTACGAAGAGCCCCGAGGTGGGTTGTTTGCGAATATTCATTTCGAGGATCTCTGATTCTTTTCAGCGGCACCAATTCGATCTTTTTCCATGATCTTGTGTCAATCAATTTGTGAGTTCTTTGATTTGAAGTGACAGTTCTGTGGCATTTAATTTTGAATCTCGGAGGTTATGGGTGGAGTATCCGTGTGGTAATGCAGTAAAGTTTTCTGGGAAGCTATTTGGGAAATTGAAATTGGATAGATTTCGGGTTAGGAGAGCTATTTGTGTTAATTCCCAGCTAGCTTTTCTGTTCTCCATGCCTTTTGCGTAGCTTTAATTTGTGTATCGCTATGTCGGGGGGAACACCCGTCGCGGGTGGTTATATGAGGCAGAGGCATAGCCAGGGGTATGCTTCTAGTGGTGATGATATTGAGGATGATGCATGTTCGAGGTTTCAAACTATGGCGTTTCATTCTACAAAGATTCGGACGTGGATTGGAGTTATAGAGAATGTCCTTTGGCTTGCTTCTGCTGCTTTCATTGTATACTATGGTGATAGGCACTCCAATTTGATATATCTCTTGTGGCATGATGACCGAATAAGAAGGTGAACACTTAGCCGTAATGTACACTCCTGATTGTTGTTTGATCATTCCAACTCAACTGTTTCAGTGGTACATACTAATTTGTCAATACATTAGATCTAATTACCTGCATTTCTGGACGGATTGTTGATTGTTTTGTTTACTTCTAATCTGTGTCATTGGTTTGTGGTTGCATAACCCCTCTTCCCGTGACTAGATAACTTGGCATATATAATAAAATTTGTGTGGAGGCTAAAATATGAGATTCTTATGGTATAAAGGCATGACATCAGTTGATCACTTGACATATATAGGAATGATCTAAGTTGTTGACCGGAGATGAGTCGGACTACCTTAATGTACCTTGGAAATGGAATCTAGCACGATTTGGGTACGAAGAATTGTGTTTGGCATAAGGATAAGCTTGCAATAGTGTTGATTCCTGTGTTTTCGTTCCAAGGGCAGGTGTATGCACCTATGCAGGGTGCTGGATTTATTTTCTCTAATCTTTAATAGTATTGGAGTGATACTACGTGACACATTAAATCAATGAATTCTTTTTTATGAGAATGCCTTCCGGTGCGTGATTAAGAGTTGTGGTCTATAAGCTTGCTAATTCTGCACACGTTTTTTAATATTTGTAATAAAATTTTCTTTGATCAGCTCTTTGGCATATTCATTGTCGATGATCTCAGAATAATACTGGTTACTTTACAGATGTTGTTTTTAGATGATAAGTTTATGTATAGGAGAAAATCTTAAGCAGGTTGCATTTAATAGAAGTTTTCTATGCTTAAAGCAAAAAGAGAAAGGATACACATTTACTTATTCAAGATTGATGATACCTTCTAGTTAGCATCTTTCTCTGGAATTTTTTTCCTATAAAGTGAGTGATTGGTGCGTATTGAGACTGCTTTAGTTGATTAGTATCCTTCAACTTAGATCTGGTGGAGCTTTTTCCAAGTCTTGGGGTGGCCTTGGTTTTGAAAAATTCTGGTCACGCTATGTTGGATGAAGTTATTCTTCACCTCTCTTTTTCAAACAAAGGGAATTTTCATTGGCAAGTGGGATCCTTGATAGTTTTATGGAATATCTTGCTAGAAAAGAATACGAGGGATTTTAAGGGGGTAGAGGGGACTTGGAAGTTTGGAGTTTTGCTTCTTTTGCTTATTTTGTTTTGCTGTCCAGCCTCGATCTTTTTGGTGATATTCCATTCCCTTTGGTTCTAAGTTGGAGCTCTTTCTTGTAATGTTTTAGTGGCTCCCCTTTTTCTTGGGCCTATGTTGTTTGTTTGAATTTTTTTGTAATCTTTCATTCTTCTGAATAAAGTGGTTTTTTCATTTAGAAAATAAGTACTCTTAGATTCACTAACATTACTCGATTTATATTCTCTTGAGCAGACCTCCTTTTTACCTCGGGATGGTGGGGATCGGTTTGAATGTCGTCATCTTCATTTACACAAGTATGTCAGCTTGGAGCATTAGAAGGTTTGATGAAAAATGGGAACTAGCAAGCTTATCAGTTTTACCAATTGTCACACTTCTCGGGCTTATCTCCTTTTTCTTGTAAGATAAACCCCCAACATTTTATGATGTTGCAGTATATTAACATTCTTTGTTCTCATCCTGATGCATAAACATATTTTTCTTCATTTGTAGGTTGTCATTTGCTGTCTGGCCAATATGGGGTTTCCTGACTATTCCTCTTCTGGTACTTATCACATGCTTTTCGGTTTCAGCCTTTACCAAAATTTCAGTTTTCATTAACATTCTACTACTCTTCCATGTCGCTGCAGTTCACTTTGTTCATGGCATGCATGGTTGTATTTCCCAATATAATGATCGGGAAATTCAGGCATCAGAGTGATGTGCTCCGTACAGATTAAACATTTGCTTGATCGAGGTGATGCATAGATGAAAAGATTGATTTTGAAGTACAGATGATTGGTTGGACTGGCTTGAGATAAAAGAAGATTCTGATGTGGGCAATTTACCATAAACCAACTGCCTTCTCTTCAGTCAACTCAAATTCCGACCTTGCCAGAATGATGCACAGTAATGGTACATTTGGAATTCGTTATTTTGATACAACCACAACCGTAGCACCATTCTTCTATCGTTACATCTTCTGTTAGCAAAGGTCCATTTCCTTTGTTACGTAGTTTAGTTGCCTCATTTTTTCATTGGAAAGTAGGTGTGTGGCGTGCCCTATTATTCGTGTACGTGATTCATTCGATTTTAGCATCTTCTTTGGCTATAATTTGTTTATGTTTGGTAGGACTGTAAAGTTTTTTGGAACTACTGTTCAGTGAAGTTACTTGAATGAATGATCTCTTGGGCATTTTTCTTGCTTACCTTTTGCTCTTTCTGCTATTGCTGAAGTGTGGGCAATTCGTTTGTTGTTACTTAGAAAACTGAATAAAGATCTGCTTAGTCTATTTGAATATTGGCAAAATTTTCTCCCTTTTTTTTCTCCCCTCATCCACTTAAGCTTGTCTAATCCCTTGATTGACATCCATTACCTTTCTGATCTGTATGGGTCACCAAATTTGAGCAAATTGATTGTACTAGAAAAGCTAAAGCAAACCCCACTTTCTTCTACTTTTCTTGATCCTTATAGGGCCTCAACCATGCGTTGTTCCCCTTGTTGGGAACTTTATCTTTCAGTATCATAAACTCCAAAAGGGAAAAGGCAAAGCAGCTTCATCCCCCATTTTCTCCATGGCCCTACCTTGAACTACCACTACTCTTTTATTTGATAATTGGGTCGGAGGTCTCACATCCTGTATTTAGCTCATAACCCACCTCACTAATCTTCGGCGTGGCTTCACCCATCTAAAGGACCAGTACTAAGAGACGTCAAGAGTTTTTGTTAAGTTTTCAATATTGGGGTGTAAACTTAGGAGGATATTACCTCTACTCTTTTATCTAATAACCAGGATCGGAGCTCTCACATCTTGCACTTAGCTCATAATCCACCTCACTAGTTTCACCTATCCAAAGGGCTTGTACCAAGAGAACGCGTGAGCGATATGGGGCGTGGGGCGTAAACTTAGTTCCAAGTCTTGGTACTCTCAAATACAAAAATAAAACAAAACCCTTTTATTGCCTTCAATCAGTGAGGACTGGGGAAAAGAAAAGGATGGATTTTTGTGCTGGAAATTTGAAGTTAGCATGTGCATATTTTCAAACCATGTTTGCTAGAGAAATGACAATGGGAAAAAAGTTGAAAGCTTCAATCAATTGTTCACCTAATTGTTGTATGGTTTATTGTTTTTGATGTAGGATTTTGACAAGGATGCAGATGACCTTATACCAGCCCCTTCATATTCTTTCTTTGTTTATATATTTGGTGAAGGAATCATGCATAAGTTTGATTGCTACCAGACAAAAATCACTATAAAATTTGAAATCTTTTCAAAATTTTTTTGCTTATACGCATTGTCTTGAAACCAACCAAGAAAAAAGGATGTCTCTCGTCATGTTTTTTTTTTCCCTTCATAAAAAACATTAAACTTTGCTATGTATTTTATTTTTTGTTTATATTTGACAAATGTCTCATGATTCCTGCTTCTATTTATTTCTACCTCCATTTCTTGTTTCTTTAAAAAGAAAAAAAAACTGTTTTCTTTGTTAAGAATTGTAGACTTTTTGATGTTGTGGTGACTGATATTCTTTTTAAATCATGTTTATTTTCCAACATATGTATTTCTTTTCCCATTTGGTAATATACTTCAAACTTTGACTAAAATACCAAAAGAAAGTAAAAAGTAAATGCGACTCTTTTAGAAAAGTATAAACAGAGAGAGGGGAATACTTTAACCCATCGTGATTCCAAAATAAATCAAAGGTTAATAATTAATATATTCCACTTTATAAATTATCGAGAGTGTTTGAAATTGAATTCCCAAGTGACTTTGAGGATCATAAGTATATTTAGATTGTTTGATAACCAAAAAGAAAAAAGAAAAAAAAATTGAAATTATCAAACAGTTTATAATATCAATTTTTTAATAATTATTTTGAAGTTGAATATTGATCGATAAGGAATCACTTTAGAATCATTTGATGGTATAATTTGGAATATATATTGGAGTACTTTTAAATATATTGAAACCAAACAAAGACTTTTAATAAAATGTATAAGTATTTTAATTAAATCTATTTTTACAAAAAAAAAAAAAAAGTATTTTAAGAAAAATTAGTTATTTAATAAGTATTTAAATTAGAATGTATGTCAAACCCCTAAATGATTTGAGCATAATTTTAGTGGTCAAACATTAATTAAGTGCAGGCTCAAGCTCTTCTTTAGTCTAATACTTTAATTAAAAAAAAATTTAGATACTATTTTGATCACTATACTTTTGACTTTCGTTCCTTTTTATCAGTGTATTTTTTAATTGTGTTGATTTTAATTATGTACTTTCAAAACGTCCGTTTTGATCCCTATGCTTTTCAAAGACGACTAATTTAGTTCTTATGCACAAAATTTTAACCCACATTTTATACACAACGGTAACTCTTTAATAAAAAATTATTTCCAAATTTTAGAAATTTTATGATTTAAAAAAATTAAATTAAAATGAAATTTAATTGATCAAAATAGTCACTTTTTAAAGATATATAATCGAAATGAAGGTTTCAAAACTACAAGTAATAAAATAAACAAAGTTGAAATTATTGCCAAGATTTAAATCAACGTTTTAAAATTACATGAACCAAAACGAACTACAACTGAAGGTGTAGGAACCGAAATAGTATTTAAATAAAAAAAAGGACAGAGAAAAAAAAAAGAGAGGACAAAGTGGCAATGTGAATTAGAAAAATTTAGCAGCATGCAATCAAAAGGGGGAGAGAAAAGAAGAGGAGGGCAGAAGTGAAATGAATTGATGATTGAATGAGTATGAAACACATGGTTTGTTTCCAAGACTTTTTGTGAGACAATGATCTTCTTTCCCTTCTTTCCACAACAACACAACATCAAGATGTGGACTTTCACCACCCACAACCACAAACAAAATATGTTATGAACATCTCTCTGCTCTGCTTCTGCAGTTGACCATTTAACACTCCCTCTCCAAATTTGTGTTACTTCAATTCTCGAGAATATGTGGTAGTAGTGTTTTTAGAGTGTTTTCTTTTAGGCAATGACGTTTTGAAGAGTGTTATAACTAAATACACTTGATTTTATAAACATTTGTAAGAGATGTTCAAAACCAAAATGATGACCATATCACTCAACTTATATGAACCATGGCACTTTTCTCTCACAGCACAAGAGGAAAAAAGGAAGAGGAGGAAGTTGGAAAGTAGAGAGAATAAATAGGAGGAATGAATAAAAGAGAATGTAGAGTTTCAATGGCTTTGTTATTAACTTATCATATAAATATAATGCAATCACAGCCCCATTTTTCAAAGAATCCATGGCCCGCGGCCTCGCTATGAGGATTGAGGATGGAGGGCCCTGTCCCCAAGAATGACGAAAGTGCCCTTTGTGGAGTAGGAATTGGGAAAACCTGTGATATGCTGGTGGGTCAACTGGTAGAAAGTCTTCCTGTAATTTGAAAGGTAGGCTTGTTGAGCTGAGGAGGTATGTGGATGTGGGGGCTATCAAATTTCACCTTTTTTCTTTTCTCTCTTTTTGAAATTTCAGTCTTTTTTTTTTCTTCTTCTTCTTTTTGGTGGTGTTTTGGAGTGGAGTCTTCCTTTTGAGGGTTTGACCCATCAGAAAATTTCTCGATTTCCATACTCTTTTCCCTTCCCCCCCTTTGATCCCAAGTCTCAACAACAGCTATCTTCCAAGCATTCACCCATTTCTGGTTTTGTTCTTCATTTCTTCAATTGAACAACAACCCCAAGTGTCATCATTTTAGTCCTCTCTTTCTTCGCCCCCTTTAATGGTTTAGGTTTGCTTTTTTGGGTCTCTCTCTCTTCTTGAACGCACTCTTGTGCTTGGTGGGTTGTGCCGCTGAGGGGATGGGCCCTAAACTCCACTGAGGTTTAATGGCGACATGGGTCTCTTTCTCCTCCTCCTTCAGTGGCCTCTTTGCTCCCGTTTTCAGCTGTCTCGCATTTAATCTTTTCCCGGAGAGTGTTCTTTTGAGCTAGATAAGATTTGGGGGTTTCTGATTCTCTGTCTGGTAGACCTTGTGGGACGGCTTTACACCAGTTTTCTCTGTGCGGATCTCTGATTTCTGCAAATGGGTCTTTAAGATAATGCTCAAATGATGCTGGGTCTCTATCTTCGACTTTGATTTACTGTGTTTCTGATGGCCTTTTTGTCTGCATTTCTTCTTTTGCCTTCGTAATTCCTAAGATGATTTTTGAATGTGGAGGTGGATTTTGGAAGTGACAGTTGATCTCTAGAATGAAATAAATTCGTTCTATTTAAATAAGTTCTTTATCATCTGAAACCCGAATTGAGGACTTGCCAAGGTGGGAGATTCGACCTGCCGTGACTGATTTGCATCAGTGATGCCTTTCTTGGTTTAAAATGGTTCTTGTTGCATTAAACAAATGTGAGGTTGGCTAGTGGTTCGATTTCGAAAAATATCTGGTGCGCTGCAATTCCCCCAAGGAAACACATGGAGAGAATGATCCAACCTCCTCTGGTAAGTCCTTTTTCTTTCGCTTTGGATGTGTTAATGAAATATAATCTTGTCTGCCGTTTTGATTTTTTGAGATCCTAGTATGATTAATGATCGATGCAATTTGGGACTTTGGTTTTTACCATGTTTGCTTCTTGATCACAAATCCTTCTGCAGTAATTAGTCAATAACCTTCATATTATTAGTCAATAACCTTCATATTATCTAAGTGGAGTTGTCATAAAAGTAAAGATGATGTGTTTTGCTAAGTTGAAAACTCTCATTTGTTACCATAATGTTTCTTGTAGTATTTTTTTTCTTAGGCGGCAGAAGTTTGAAGCTAACGAAAAATGACTCATTGAGTCTCCTAATTGGTGTTTTGAGAAGGAGTTCAGGTAGAAGAATGGAAGAAATAACGAATCACATTTTGAGAGTTCTTGTATTTAACAACTACAATTATCGTTAACATCATTCTTTTGTTTACAAAATTGAGATTATGGTTTGTTGGCTTTTATCCATGTTCTTGTGTTTCTTACATCTTTAGGGGAGGAAGTTAAAAGAAAAGGATTATACTCAATCCAGCCACAATAACATCTTATACAAAACGCTGAAACCAAGTAGATCATCTGAAAACTTTACCAATTCACTCCCGTTGAGAACTTTGAGAAGTGGGAACAAAAGAAGGAAATATTCTTAAATTTGCTGGTATTTGCAAACGCACCATGAGGCGGAGAAAGAAGACTTGTTCCAATTTTCATGATCATCCAAGGCACTTCTTCAAATATCTCTCCTTTCTAACTATTGCTCTAATTTGAAATAATGTCCATGACCATGATTCTCAAAGACTTCTACTCTTTCTTCAAAATGACTACTATCCCAAAGTTTGTACACTCTAAAATATAACTTAGGCAGCATTTGGAAAGATTTGTTCCACCGTAAAAAGAGGTAAAAAAAAAAATACGATCTTTTTCTAAAAAGTCATTTCTTGCTTGGTTGTTATATTTTTTTTACAGGGAAGACTTTCACTATATACTAAAAGAGTACAAAAAACAGGAGTCACAGGACAGATAAAGCAATCCCCTTGAAACTACTAACCCAAGTTTATGAAAAAAGCCTGCAATTTCCTAAGATTGAAGAAAGCTGAGTTATTGTGGTCTGATGATAGCCTGAGTTATTATATTTCTATGTAAAAGTTAAGCTATTGTAGCTTTATGCTTTCACCATTTCAAGTTGCTTAAATAATTCTATGGATTTCTGAGGACGAGGATTAGTCTTTTCTTCACTTCGATATTGATGGATGAGCCGTTTCTTGTAATTGTGCCTATTGTTTTTGCTAGCTCCTCCGTCTAGGCTGTTCCTTTTTGTAGGCCTCTGCTTTCATACGTTGAATTGTGTTAAAAAAATAGTATGTTTTTATCATTGTACACCTATATGTTTGCGTAAAGTACTTTAGTTTTCATTCTTGAAAACATTTTTGACATTTTCTTTGTGATTAGGATCTAGATAGATCAAAAACCTAGAAGATTAGGAAAGATTCCTTTGAAAAATATATTAAGATGAATGACCATGAGCTGCCAAATGGTCAAAAATGGAAGCTGTAAACCTGGTCTCTAAGGTCATTGGTTTAAACTTTAAAGTCAAACCATAGCAACCACATATAGTAGATATTAAATATCCTGCAGTTTTTCCAATGCAAAATGTTATAAAGTCAAATGGTTGTCCCATAGAATTAATATTGATATTGATGCTCATGGCATGGATACTATGCTATCTAACAAGTAAAATCTATTAAGATAAATACTATAAGGTAAATTTTTAGGCAATATTTGGCATTTTGCATAATACTGATATTTGGTGAAGCTGCAAATTGCTTCACTATATGTGTTATTATCTTTTGTAGGACTAAAAAGAAAAATGACTTACATTGGTTCATGGATGGTTTCAGGTTGACACAACAGCTTGTTTATGTAGAGTAGATGCAGGTCTTAAGACTGTAGCTGGAGCAAAAAAGTTTGTCCCTGGTTCAAAGCTTTGTCTACAACCTAGCATTAAACCATCTATTCACCCAACTAGACCTAAACCGACTCGTGGTGACAGGAGCAGGAACCAATCCCCTCTGCTTCCTGGACTACCCGACGATCTTGCAATAGCTTGCCTAATCCGTGTCCCTCGGGTTGAACACCGTAAACTCCGGTTAGTTTGCAAAAGGTGGTATCGTCTTTTGGCTGGCAACTTCTTTTACTCGCTCCGTAAGAGTCTAGGAGTTGCGGAAGAATGGATATATGTCATTAAGAGAGACCGGGATAATAAGATCTCATGGCATGCCTTCGACCCCATATATCAGCTTTGGCAGCCCCTTCCTCCTGTCCCTAAGGAATATTCTGAAGCTCTTGGGTTTGGCTGTGCCGTTCTTAGTGGTTGCCACCTCTATTTGTTTGGTGGCAAAGATCCAATAAAAGGAACAATGAGACGAGTAATTTATTATAGTGCCAGGACAAATAAATGGCACCGAGCCCCTGACATGCTTCGTAGGCGACATATTTTCGGCTCGTGCGTCATAAACAACTGTCTGTATGTTGCAGGTGGGAAAAATGAAGGTGGACATCAGTCCTTGAGATCTGCTGAAGTCTATGACCCAAATAAGAATAGATGGACCTTTATTTCGGATATGAGCATTCCCATGGTGCCCTTAATTGGAGTCGTTTACGAGGGTAAATGGTATTTGAAGGGATTCGGGTCCCAACGACAGGTTCTAAGCGATGTCTACCAGCCCGAAACCGACAGCTGGTACCCTGTTTATGATGGAATGGTTGCAGGCTGGAGGAACCCGAGTGTCTCCTTAAACGGACACCTTTATGCCGTGGACTGTAAGGATGGCTGCAAACTTAGAGTCTACGACGAAGTATCCGACTCTTGGGACAAGAGTATTGATAGCAAGCTGCATTTGGGGAATTCTAAGGCATTGGAGGCTGCTGCTCTCGTTCCACTAAATGGAAAATTATGCGTCATTCGCAATAACATGAGCATTTCTCTCGTCGATGTTTCGAAGTGTGAAGATGCCAGTGGTGCTCCCGGTGAACATCTATGGGAGACCTTAGCAGGAAAAGGGCAGCTCAAGACTTTGGTCACGAATCTCTGGTCAAGTCTTTCGGGTCGGAGTCGACTGAAAAGCCACATAGTTCACTGCCAGGTGCTTCAAGCATGAAAATTTTTCATATTGTTTGATAGGCTTCTAGTGTTCATATGCTTTTCTTCTGCTTCTCCTCTTTACATATCTTAAAATCATGGCTTAGATGTCAAATATGGGAGAACCAATGCTAGTAAGTAATCAATCAATACTACTTCAAATAGTTTTGTCACATGGACAATTTTATCCTCTCTGTCCTATTCTTTTACTTGCCATTTGTGAGAAAGAAGGGAAACAAAATTGTCCATTCAACATAAGATTATTTGTAGTAGTATTGAACTGTGAGAGAAGTATTATAGAACTTGAAATATTTTCTCAATACAGTGTCAGGTGATTCAGATTGTGACAGGCAAATGAGCCTCTCTTGATAGACTCATGTTACAAATATATTTTATTATATGATATGATACACAATCATTGAGTTTCTTACATTATTTTATATGCTCATTGTTGGAAATCTGGTCACTCTTTATACTATATGTCATGATGACATCACTATAAATCCACTTTTTAATCTTGATTGAATGTATAAGATTATACAATAGCCTATAACACATAACTAATGATATTTCATATATATATTTTGATCATCGAGAGTCGGAGCCTGTTCTCCTATACTCAGAGGCACCCGTACTCGTCCCAAGATTCGAACCCTGGAGACATCAATGATTAATTCATCAGAGGGTTCAAACTTGAAATCTCTAAGCCAGTATGACCAAGAGATTTCAAGCCTTTATCAATTGGGCTACCTCTTGGGGGCGTATTAAAAAACCAAGAAAGATAACATTGGTTAAACTTAATATCAAGATGACGATGATAATTTAATAATGATCTAGGTTTGAATTCACACCTTGGGGAGGACGCCCAATTACTACATTGAAGATTTCTTTATGAACCGAATTAATTCTTATACTTTTTCTACTTCAAATTCCAAAATAGAAACCAAACTAAATGTTATCTGATCTAATATTTTAAAACCTAAAATTTTATCCTCGAGACTAAAACAATTTTCAATTGACTTTACTTTTAAATGTATTTGATTTGAAAATATAGACAGCAGTATATTTAATATTAAAAAAGTATCTATTTATATGATATAATATTTTAACTATTATATCTACCATCACTTATTTATCCAAATTTGAAGCAAAGTTTTGAAATATGCCTACTCCTTGATAAACTGTTGGATATAAATTCGAAATCTATATGCCGATTTGATATAGAATCAGTATCACTTTATAACTTCTCACGAATACATTACATGATGTTACACAATTGACCATGTCGTTTAAGGTCCCTTCAATAAAATTTCCAATTTCTACCATAATTATTAATTTTAAAATTAAAAAAATAGAATAGAGAATAATTTAAAGGTTTAAATACTATTTTAATCTTAATATTTATACTTTTTTTGTTTGATTCATCTACTTTCAAAATATATATTTTGTTCCTATAGGTATTATTTTTGTTCATTTAGCTTTTAAACTTTTGAAGTGTTCATTTTAGTTATTGTACTTTTGAAAAAATAATCATTTTGTTCTCTTCCTTTCTACTTTTATCCAATTTTTTTTCATTTAATATTAGCACGACATTTCACTGACTAATATTTTCAAAATGTTATCATAAATTTGAATTAAAAGATTTTAATTAGGTATAACTTTTGTGTTAAAATTTTAAAATTTTCGTCCCCTTTTATGAATAGAAAATGAACATTTGGAAGGTACAAACATTAAAGTAATTAAAAGTTGAAACTTTAAAGTATAGACCAAAATACATGAACTAAAATAAATCCGACCAAGATGAGTCGTATTTAAATCAAAATAAAAATAATGTAAAATTTAAGTGAATAAACGATATATTTAATTTAGTGTAAGATTGATAATATTTGGAAGGTGTTACATTAAATACAGAAATGGTTGTCGCACAAATAGAACTTAGCTTCACTCTGTTTCTGTTTTATAATTGAGAGTTTTGAGTCTCCCCTCTCTCAAATTCGCACTTCGAGAGTGACTGTTAGGGTTAGGGTTAGGGTTTTAGTTTTCAGAAGCTCCATGGAAGAGATAACCGAGGGTGTCAACTCCATCACCTTGACAGCCGATTCGCAGAAGAAGAATCGAATTCAAGTCTCCAACACCAAGAAGCCCCTTTTCTTCTATGTCAATCTCGCCAAGGTTCGTTTCCTTTTTTTCTCTATTCTGAATCTGAGGTTTAGCTTTTCGATTTGGATTATTTTTCCATTTTAGGTTTTGTCTGTTCGTTTATCTGGTTTGGCTAACCCTCTGGTTATGGATTTTTATCTTAAAAAATGTGTAGAGGTATATGCAGCAGTACAATGAGGTCGAGCTTTCTGCGCTTGGGATGGGTAAGTCCTTCTTTTCTGTTCTCGTGCCTTCCGATTTTGAGGATTCACTTTCGCTCAACCTATTGTTTAGTATCGTAACGTAGGGAAGTGGTGGCTGTTTAATGTGCTCTATTCGTTGGAATTGGATTGTAATCTATGTACTACTTGACGGGGCAGGGTTTTTCTTTATTTGGGCATTTATTTTCGTTGCCTTTATGGCACGAAACAATTTGTGTTCTTCGCACTTTCTAATTTCTGCCTTCATGGTCGTCTTGTATCTGGATGTGATTCATTAATGTATTTATTACGCTTTTAGTTACTTATGATTGTTGGGTAATAGAATTTAAGATATTTTGTTGACGTGTATATTTCGTCTTGTCAATATTTCATACCAATACATTCAAATTCTTTTGTGATGTGATATTTGACCGAATTGGTTCCCTTAACTTAGAAAAGCTTGTAAGAATATTAAATTAAGAGTCGAGGTTTTGAATTTATTGCTGTCATATACTTCATGGCTATCTATGTATATTCAAGTTTGCGACTGAGGTGCTTAGCTTGCTTAACTAAAACATCTTTTCAAATGTTTTCATGTGGATGGTCAACTTGTCATTGTTTTTATGCGACTAGTGAAGCTCATTCTCCTGCTTGCACTTCCTTTAATATAGTTAATTGATCCTTTTGCCTTAGTGATCTGGGATATTAATATGTTAAAATTTCTGTGTATTGCTTTGGCAGCCATTGCTACAGTTGTGACTGTTGCAGAAATTCTGAAAAACAATGGATTGGCTTTAGAAAAGAGTAAATATCCTCTTCCTTATTTTTTAATATATGCAATTTGGGTTAGCTCTTAAAGCTCACAACAATTATCTTACATTCCATAGAGATAATGACTTCTACTGTCGATATCAAGGATGATTCTCGGGGGAGACCAGTCCAAAAGGCTAAGGTAATATGCCATACTGCTGTACTTTGGTTTAGAAGTTTTAGAAGTCTCTCTCGTGTACATGTTTTGGCATATAAATGAATATTCTTGAGAAAATTCCAACTTATCATGTTTATTAATTCTGATAGTTCGACCCTACAATGCAAATTAGTGTGCATGCAATAGTGTTTATTTACTGAGCGTGGGAAGTTTCTATGTTTTTTCATTTGATTAGTTAAGTCTAACACTAGTCGCCACTGATTTTTCACCTTCAGATTGAGATTGTGTTGGGGAAAACTGAAAACTTCGATGAACTGATGGCAGCTGCGGCAGAGGAAAGGGAAAACGAAGATGGTGAAGAACAGAGTTGAAAAGTTATTTTCTTTTTCTTTTCTTGTTCTTTTTTTCCTCCTTGTGGATGAGTCTGGTTATTTCCTTATATCTGGTCTCTCTGTTCTTAATTACATTAGTAACCAAGTGGTCCATTTACTGATGTAGGTTTTAGTTGAGGAACCATTTACTTGCCCTTTTCTAGTTACCGTGGGATATCTTCGTTTAAGAGATTGGAAACATAATCTGAGTTATCATTCAAAGTTTATATTATTTAATTTTATGCTTCAATTTTGGTAAATGCATTCAATAGGATCCTGCTGCGTGAGAGCTTAGGATTCGTCGAAGTATACTCTTTCTACACGTGTTACGACTGAACCTAGTTTCCCATAATTTGAAAAATCACCATTGACAAAGGCATGGTCTACCATTCAAATGAAGGCGAGATCATATTACAACAAATCGGACATGTTAGATGTCAAAGAGGACTGCCTTTTGAAATGGGATTTGAAGTAACGCTTTCAGTTCTAAAGCCTGCTTGTGCTGCTAATTGGAAAATGAATTTTATAGGGTTCTCAGTTATCATATGTGTGTATATAATGGTGCGATTTCAATATTATATCGCCTCTTTAATGCTTCATATACAGCATGTGAAAATATTACGTACAATTTTTGCCTTTCAGGCCACGAATCAAATGTTTTCTTCAGCTTGAAAGCCTTCTTGTTAACATTTTCTAGTATTGTCAAGAATGTGTTCAAAGGACACAGGGACAAGGTTTTATAGAACTCATCTGAAAGCTAAGGCATGTTGGTTGATCACTGGATCGGTTTCAAACTAGTGGCATGGTGGGTGATTGGCCTTCTTCCATCAACAGAGCTAAAGGAAGCGAGCCAAAACATCACAGAAAATACCACTTCACAGAGAACAAGTTTCTAACTTTTTACAAATAATTCCGTTTGGCAAACACATGCTCAAACTCAGCTAATCAATCTGTATCTCATGCATAGCCAAGTCTTTTTGGTCATTGAAAATTTGTGATTTTTCGCCAATTTTAAGATGATCACAAGGTCTTGTATTTGCTCAAGGTGGGAAAATTTTCTATAGTACTCACTGTAATTGATTATGTGTCATACCAATATAATTTTATCGTTTAAGAATGATGTGGAGTCCACTGACATTAAATAATTATTTATAAGAAAAAAATTAGTGTGAATGTGTCAACCGAATAACATGGAATATAGTTTATAAAGCCCCAAAATGCCTAATGTGGAATATAGTTTGGAAGTGGGGTTTTTTTTTGGCATATGTAATAAATCTTAAAAATGGATGGTCTCAGGATAATTCTAGGTCTGAAGATGACTTACGTTGATAGTGCGCAAACTTATTTCTATTAATGCTTTTGATGGCATTATTTAGACCCCTAAAAAAAAGAATCAGATTGATAAAAGTTCAGATTGCATGCATCGCTCTTTTGTCTTTTAGTTTGCCTCTTCATTCCTACTTAATTGTGACTGAAGTATTCATCAGACTTTTCAAGAACTTTCTCTGACCATTTCCATGCTTTTGTTCTACTTTCCATAATCGTAAACCATTAAACATCATATACCAAAATCAATTTGGATTGCTACAAGGTGGAATCCACTGGTTAGTTTTTGTAGGTTGTAAGAAAAAGAACCACCCTTCTTTTGGATAAGAGCATTACTACAATAAATAGTCCAAATGCAAAATTTCTTCCATCAAGGAGATAATGTAGTACCCAAGCTCTTTATAAAGGATAACTTCATTTTGCCTTTCCTTTATTCGATACTCCCTTCTTCATTGACTTCTTTTGAGGTTTCTTATTTGGTTTCAACTTGCTCGATGTTGACGATGAGGGCTTTCCATCGTGTTTTCGCCTCTTTTCTCTTTTCACATTGTACATATTGATAGCCTATAATCAGGATAATTTGCGAAGACCATTAGACAAAATTTCCAATGATGGAGCAACAAAGAAAGATGTTGGTTTCAACCAAAAATAGAGAGAAAAAACCTTATTAACGTTTAGTATCTCATGTGAATTCTTGGATATTAATCGATTCAGGACATTCTCAGTTTGCTCCCTTTCTCGAGAGCCTACACCAGTTCCTTCCACAACAGGCAAAAACTGCATGTAAACAGAGAACAAAATGTTACTTAATGATAACAGAAAGTATGCTCGAGCATGCCAAGGAAAAAGGATTATTTGGTTAACCTTGCGATATTTTCCTTTATGCTTTGGAGGCTTTTCTCCTCGCAACTTCCTGTCAAATTTTCCACCACTAGCTGTCGCAGTTGCTGCCATTCCAGCAACATTTCCAAGCTCATCTTTTGTCATTTTCTTTGGTGCAACTTGCGTCCCTGTTATGGGTAAAGCAGTTGCAGCTAGTTGAACGTGGCTGCATAAGTATAATCAACTTTAGCTATAAATAACAGAACGGTAATGGAATGACAAACAAAAGATGGATTTAAGATGATATGATATTCTAGGATACAGAAGGAACAAATTAATGGGATTCACATGTACAGGTTGTGGTCAGATGCTCCACCCTCCTACCCAATATAGAAGAAATTTAATTACCCAAATGTATATGTTAGTCTGATATGATATACTTTAATTGTACCGGCAGTAAGGAGAAGTGAGAAAGGGAAGACTGCAAAGAAAGGAGTTATAATCTAATTACTTGTTCAACACCCAATAACAGTGATAAGGGGCAAAAACCTTGGTAAAGCACCAACTTTTGCGGCTTGTTTCAGATTCTGTAGGCGATTGTTTTCTTGCTTTTCAACTCGTTTTCTCTTATTTGATTGTCTTTCAGCAAACGGGTCCATCCCTGGCTCTGAAAATGTGAAAAGCGTGATACTCAATGGACATTTTGATAATAATGTAAGCCGAGAATGAATATGGCAAGCAATATAATCAACCAATATTCTACTTATCTCTGTCATGCAACCATGTTCAAAATTTTGTCATCAAGTAAGAAAATAAAAAGACATAACTAACGAAAGGAAAAGTAGCTTATCTTAAAATGCAAGGTTCTATTAAGTATTACCATCAGTCATCTTGGCCTCAATGATAGGTATGTTCTCCTCATCATTTGCACGATCGTAACCATGACGACGCTTCCATGTTTGAGTTTGTTCATCATATGCAATCTTATCCTTTTTCCTATTCTTTATACCTGCAAAAGTCATTATGTACTAAAATTAAATTCTACCCACGAAACTCCCTATTCCAAGGTCATGCATTTGACTGAATTATGCCTCCATTCCTTGTTGTTTCTTTTCTTCCTTTTCAGATGTTTCTTTTGCTGCAAGTCGGCCTTTCAACTAAATTCAATTCAAGTCTCACAATGGAAGGACGGGGAACACAAATCTTCTAACATAAAAGACAACATCACAAAAAAAGATGTGAGCATAACAAAAGGACCAACCTCGTTTTTTAGCAAAGAGTTCCCATTTTGTAGGAGGTTTAGGCTTAGGCAGCTGGAAAGAAAGAAATAAAGATATTACACATCACCCAAAAAGGTAAACATCCATAACTAAAAAGTGATGATGAAATAATCAATGTAAACATCCATAAAATTATTTAAGAGCATACATGCTTCTCCCTGGGCAATCTTGTTTTAGGTGGAGGCAACCTCACTAGAGGACCATCTCTGTCTTCAGTTGAGGGCAGGATGAAAAGTTCATTGGCAATAGCTTGAACTAGCTCTGTACCTTTCTGTAGACATTCATTCACCAGCTCCTCCCTGTAATTACAAAAGTAACCAAGCAAATACAATAAACATTCTCTGACTTTATTAATTTCAATGACAAATTAGGCTTCTCCCGGAATAACATATACATGTACGTATGTGTGAACATGTCTAAAATAATGTAATTATTCTAAACAACCAAAATCCTCAAGTTCGTAGCTTTCTCTAATTTAAGTCAATAATACATCAAATAAACAGCATTCAACCGCATAACTCGATATACCCAGGTTCTGGTTCGAAGGCGTGAATCAAGCAAAACGAAAGCACAGTTTGATGTAAACAGAGCAGTACCAGCAACTTAAAAGAAGAACCCATTGGAACCTAATCCGTGAAGCAATTATAGTTGATGTATTTATGGAGAGGGAAGAAAGAGGAACCTGGAGGAGGGCGGGGAAGTTAAATGGTGGTGAGGATTGAAGGCCATGAGATGACCAAGGTCGACCTGAAGTTGCTGCTGGTTCTCCATCTCCGCCCAAATCAAGAGACTTCCCACAGAACAGAACAGAAGGAAGATTCAGGGTTTAGGCGCGGGACAAGAGAGAGCGCTTCTCCTCAAAGACTTAAACGACGCCGTTTGTTTGGCTTTGTCTTTCACACTGCAAAATCGGTAGCCCTAATGGCTCCCACGCGGGCTTTACAAACTCGCTCTCAAATTTTACTTAAAAAAGGCTTTAAATAAATATTTACTTAAATAAATATTTACTTCTAACTTTAATTTATTTTTTTTAGATTTATTTTGGAGTTTATACTTTAAAAATATTTATTGTAATTTGTAGTTTCAATTTTAATTAATGTTAATTCATATACTTTCAAATGTTTTATTTTGTATTTTTAAATATTTTTATTTGTATTTGTAAAAAGTTACTATTTAATTTCTTAATTTTATTTTTAATCTTGTTAATTTTATTTCGACAAAAATAGAATGTTAGCAACTAATATTCGAAGAAAACTAATACCAAAATCCATGGTTTTGGAAACCCCCTTAAACCCGTAAGCAAATTTTTTTAAAAACAATTATGGAACGAAATTTCAACCTTCAAGATTTTATACTAGTGGTGCCCCTAACTAGCTCGTGTTGGCGAAGAAAGCTAGTATTCAAATTCAAAACATTCAATCTCAACTTGAAGAAACGCATCCATTGAAGGTAAGGTTTACTTGTCAACCACTTTTTTTCTGTCAAATTTGTGATAAAACGATTGAGACACTTTCTCAAATCACTATTATTGGTAATTAGTTTCACGAGGAGTGGGGCTTGACCCGATTCTTTTCCAATACGTCAGAATCCCCGGTGTCGGTTTTTCATTCCCCTAAATTCCCGGTCCAATTGTAATCCCCCAGGACGATCAATCGGGAATCGCCGATGCATCTGAGATCGTAGAAGCAATTTTCGCATCGTCTCCTTCAGATCCATCTGTAAGTTCCAACTTTCACTGTTGTTGAATTTTCCCGTTTTGGTTTACTTCACATCTGTTCGGAATTCGATCTCTCTTCGGCTTTCTCCATTTTATTAATTCCAAAATAACATATCTCTGTAAAACCTAAATGGGAATTGGAATGGGTTTTCCGTCTTGTTAATATCAACTTCCTTCCTAGTTTTCCCCCACTAAAATCCCAAGTTTTCTTGATACTAGAGGGTTTTGCCGTTATTGGGATGGATGGGAACAAGGATGATGCTTTGAAATGCTTGAAAATTGGAAAGGAGGCTTTGGAAGCTGGGAATTTGGTTCGGGCCCTCAAATTTGTCAATAAAGCTCGTCGTCTTGATCCGGCGCTTCCCATTGACGACCTCTTACCGGAACTTAAAAACGTTTCTGGTGAACAGTTGGGTGCTGATGCGTGTGAAGCTGGCAATGGCTCATCTGGGTCCCCTTCATCCAAGTCCTCTGATCAGCCTTCTCTTCGCCGTAGAGTTCCGGCGTCTGGTTCTTCTGAATCTTCGACCTCGGCAACTTATACAGAGGAGCACGTAGAGATTGTAAGGCAGATCAAGAAGAAGAAGGATTACTACGAGATTTTGGGATTGGAGAAGAGTTGTTCTATCGAGGATGTTCGAAAGGCATATAGAAAGCTGTCTTTAAAGGTTCATCCTGATAAGAACAATGCTCCTGGTGCTGAGGAAGCGTTTAAGGCTGTATCAAAGGCCTTTCAGTGTCTAAGTAACGAGGAGAGTAGAAAAAGATATGATATTGTTGGGTCTGAAGAGCCAGTCTATGAGAGACGGACTGCAAGACATGGTGCAAATGGATTTAATGGATTTTACGAAGCTGATGTTGATGCAGAGGAGATATTTAGAAACTTCTTCTTTGGTGGAATGGCACCGACAACTACACATTTCCGTAGTTTCAATTTTGGCCCAGGAATGGGACATAGAACGGGTGATCATGGCTCTGGTGGTGTCTTTCGGACACTGATTCAGTTGCTTCCTGTGCTGGTAATATTGCTTTTGAACTTTATGCCATCCTCAGAACCTATCTATGCCCTTTCCCGTTCATATCCTTATGAACACCGATTTACAACTCAGAAAGGTGTCAATTACTATGTGAAATCAAAAAACTTTGAACAAGATTTTCCACCAAATAGTCGGGATCGTCTGGTACTTGAGCAACGGGTAGATAGGGAATACTTCAATATTCTTGCACAGAATTGTCGACTTGAGGTGCAACGACGGCAGTGGGGATTCATTCGTGAAACTCCACACTGTGATATGCTGAATAAGTTTCAATCAGCGGCTTGATGAATGAATGAAGGTCCATTTCATCTCTCTCTGTTATCATTTTGGCAGTTTTGAATTATGTGAAATTTCGGATCCCTTGGCAATTTCTTTTTCGATGTGTTATTTAGATGCATAATTTAATCGCATGATTAGGTGTATTAGTTCCCACCAAACTAGAAGAAAGAAGAAAGAAAGTAGTTGGTTTCGATTTTTGAAAATGGGATTATATATTTTTTACTGTGTAGTTCCTCCGCAAGCTACTGTGGCTTGATGAATGAATAATTGTCCATTTCTCTTGCTCTGTTATTTTGGAACTTGGAATTTTTGGATTATGTGCAATTTCGATTCCCCAAGCTATTGTTTTTTATATGAGTTCTTTATAATGCATAGTTTAATAGAATTATTAGGTGTATAGTTTGCCCCAAACCCATCACAAACTATAAGAATGATGAAAGAAAGTAGTTGTCTTGAAACTGCGCTTATATGTTTCTTAAATGTTTGTCTAACTTTTTCCCCTTGATTTGTATCAATGCTGTAATTTTTTTTTGTTCAAACTACGCCCCCTGCTGTTCATTTATTTTGCCAATACTTGGATCTATAACTAAAATGTTTTCCTAGTTGACGTTACAAATTTGTTAGACTTTTTTTTTCCCCTTTTCCTATGCTTTCATAGGGAATGATCAGAACTCCGCAACCTTTTGATAGATTCAAAGAATATATATTTACGGTGGCTCTATCTTGGTGTAAATTTTATCTCCCCCAACAAGCTATAGTCTTAATGATCTTAAAGCTAATTAGAGAACCTTTTTGTTCTCTTATATAGGTCCTCTTGCTCCCTTTTGTAATATTTCATATTTCCTACCCAAAAAAGGGTTCATGTGCTTAACTTGTTTCCCTAATATAATAAAGAAACAAGATACTTATTGATGAAGTCAAGAGTTGAAGCTACTATAGTATATGATTATATTGAAATGCTTAGTGTTACATACTGCTGATCTTTATCATTAACGAGCTCTTACTTCGGTGGAAAACCACGAATTGTGAAGTTTTAAATTGAAGACTTGTATGTTTGTCTTTGTGTGATTGAGTGGGCATGGGGGGAACAATCTACATGGAACTACAGAAATGCGAGTTGGAGACTAGAAAAGAAAGGGAGTAAATTAGGGAAATGTTATACTTAGCGCTGTAAAAGTGGGGTTTTTGAAAATTGTAACTTCTCAAAGATTGTTTACTTTCTCCTCTACATGTCATTGCATTCTTCTATCGTTTCTGGTTAAGTTTCTCAGGGCCTAGATCTGATTGCATTAAGCAGAAACACCTCTGTTTAAAAGCTTTAATGCCTTGCGAGAATGGCCTTTGAAATTCAGAAACATTCAGGAGCTCTCATCAAAGTTGAGCAGTGAAGGGGGATTCCGGAAAGAGATGAATTGCTATTTGAGCATGCATTTCCAAGTAGAAGCCCCATTACTGGCAAGAATTCAAAGTTTCACATCCCTATCCAAAGAGACACCCGTTACTCAAACATTATTCAACTCTAACCAAAAACATTTGGCTACGAACCAACGCATGTAGCTTATGAAACATATTGAGCAAAGGGGAATTTTCCAGTCAAACATTCTTCCAAAACTTGGATCTATCTCTAGCCCCTTTGCCTTTCGGGAGTTTGGATTTGCCCCATTATGATGATTTGAACTTAATAATGAAGAACCAAGGGCTTCTAGCAGCACCCCTTCCTATGTTCCACAGTTGACTAATCTTCTCACTTGTGTACTTAGAAGTGATCACACCATCCACAAGAAACATTATTTCCTCTAGATGTCATAGCCTATCATAAGTAAGGTATAATTCTTCTAACCATATTGCATGCACCTAGGTCACTTAACTCTATGCTATGGGGGTTGTAATTGTGATCTTCCAATGTAACAGATAACAATTTTCTTCCTTCTATGTTAGCTTCTTCTTAAAAGAAATCTCTCATGATTCTGTGAGGATACATTATAAAAACAGGATAGCAACTGCAATAAGTGAGTAAATTTGAGAACCTTAGCCTTGGCAAGAGTTAAACTACATCCTTTGGAGATAAAAGATTTGTTCCTTTGAATTTTGTCTCTGATATTCTCAATACCCCCAGAAATCCTTATTCTTTTGGTTCTGTCCAAGAGGAATACTGTGTTACTTGAGGTTCAGTTATCACTTTCACATGAGAAACTTAAAGCCACTATCCTACCTTGAAAGACCTCCACATATATGCCCACCACCACGGGCTGAGTGAACAACACTAAGCCTGGGTGCTCCTTTCCTGAACCAGAATCGGGCACAAAACGGCGAGGTAGAAAGTAGAAAGCGAGCTCTTTTCGCGTATACACAATCTCGAAGCCCAATTAGCTCACGGACTGCCTCCTCAACGGCTGCTCACCCTCCGAATCTTCTGACCGCGTCATCCGAGACCGAGATCGGGTACGGATAGGGCTTTGAGTTACCTCTAGTCTCTTCCGCACCCGATTCTCAAATGAGGGTTCCGTGATGTCGAAATAGGATTGAAACCGAGTTTGCTCAAAAATCTTAACTTTGGAAAGTTTCCAACCTGGTTCAGAGCATTCAAGGTGAGTAAACGAGTCTCACCAGGAAAAATAAGTGGTTGATTGATCATCCATACAATGAGAACTAACACATTCACGAATGATTATCCCTGTGGTTGATCAACTTCCCAATGGGGCGACCATCTAGAAATTCAATTTAACTGCTATGGAAGGGAAGGGAGTACTAAACACATCCACAATGAGAACTAAAAGAAAAGAGGAAAGGCGTCCCCCTGTCTAAGACCAAGAGGAGATACGATACTGCCCCTAGATTTTCCTTCGAGTGTAATGACTAATGAGATAGAACAATTCGCACTAGATACGAAACCTTGAACCATTTGCTTCAACGAGCACCAAAGCTTTTTGTTGTTAAAAGACACCTTTAAGGAATAGCCAGTCAACTAGATCATAAATCATAGGCGTTTTCAATATCTGTTTGTTGTAAAATTCCCTCTTCTTGGTTTTCCAACCTTCCACCGTTCACTTTGCTATATGAATTGGGTCTTTCAGTTGACCTAGCCAAAAGACTTCTCATGTGACCAAGCGACCCAGCCTAACAGGAGCGCAAAAACCCGTAAAGGATTTCTCTCAAAACCTAAAATTTGTCTCCTATTCAGTAGGGAGATGGGCTATAAATGTCAGCGATCCAGAGTTTCACTTAACATGATGCCTTTGGACGTCGGAGAACTACATTTCTTTGGTTTCAATTTCATTGATAAATGTCAGCGATCCAAAACTATCAGTTATCTAAGAAAGAGATGGAGAAGAAGCCTGCAGACTGTAACTAGAATGAACTAGTTCTTGCTCCAAGAAGCAAATGATTGATATGTTGAAGTTTGTTATTTTCACTTTCAAATTTCATTACATAGCTTGGTTTCACATCTGTTATTATTTATGCATGAAAATATTCTTTCATGGGTTTTTATTTAGAAAATGCTAGCTTTCATGTGCACTGCAGTGACATGACATTACCTGTATGTACGCTGCACTTAGTGCTGAAAAATACAGTATTGCATTGCATCTCTCATTCTGCTGGCGTGCTCTCTTCTGTATCAACTTTTGCAGTTCTCTTGCTTGGCTGGAGTAATTAGATTACAATACTTCTCTGTTGGATGCTAAGAAAAAGACCGAATCATATTTTATGTTGAATAGCTATATGTTAACCAAACAGTTTTGGAACTTGTTTTTCAGGCCTCATTTTCTCGTTTGCAGGTAGCGTTGTGCGGTCGAGAGTGATTCCCATTCTGAAGAACTCCATAAGACGTTTTCATGAGCCTGAGATGGGAGTCTAAGAGTTATTCCAAGTTGCTCCTTATCTTTCTATTTTGAATGCTTCGCTTGTAAATCTAATATTACCACCACCATCTAGCTTCTAGCAGCATATATTTCCATTGTTACTACAGATTTTCTTGATGCTAAAGATTACAGAGTAGATGCTGAATAATTTTAGAGCTTGAGTTTGGATTTACTGATAAAATCCTTTTGCTTTATCTGAAGTGAACCAATGAAACGTCATTCCTTATTCTCAGTATAATGATTTATCTGTTACAGCTTGTCTTTTGACATTAATGAAGTCATTTTGTTTTATTGGATAGAATGGCAATATTTAGCAGAGAAATCTTTGAATCCAAAAATTGAATTACAATATTTCTTCAATCTATAATCTATATAATCAACGAATAAATCAATATATACTTATTTTTCTGTTTATTGAGTTCAATGAAAAATTGTTGCTACATTTAAGAAGTTCAATTTAAAACTCATTATTTTTAGATTTACCCTTTAATCCTAAAGTAATTATCCAAGTCAACTTAAGATGGTAACCAATAAAATAGAAAGATCAACAATAGATGATTCATAAAGTTCTTATTGTAGAAAAGAAAAATAGATTTAATTAAACTCTCAATTAATTTAAACATAATTTTAAAAAAATTGTGATGAACAAACTTATGTTAGAAAAAGGTAACACATTGTCAAAATTTTAATATATGCCTTTTTAAAAAAATGTTACATCACTCATGCAAGTAGATTCTGTTTTTTATTTTTTGATATAAATACAAGTGGAAATTTGAAATTACAAAGAGGTAAAAATATTGTAAATGCCACCTATGCTCACTTTATCTATTTTGTTTTTTTTTCCTTTAATAAAATTTATAAATTTAAATATCTAAGAGAAATTAGGATTGGCGATATGACGTGATCGAGTTATTGTGAACCCTCAGCTGAAATTGTCTTATAAAGACACTTAACCTCAGTTACAAACGCGTCCTTCGATTTCCCAAATTTTCTCCTTCCATGAGGAATTGCAATCCCTAGGTTCTCTCTATTTGGAGCCATTGATGCGTTTATATTGACGACGCAGTACGATTTTTGAATCGTCTTGTTCTGCACCATCTGTAAGTTCAAATTCTCAACATAGATTCCTATCATAATTGAATTTCAATCTGTCAATCAAATATGTATTTAGTTTCTGTCAATCTTCATCCTGAAATTAGCTTTACGGCAATCGCAATCGATATGTGGTATTGTTAGCGCCGACTATTTCTATTAGTTCCCGATTAGAAATTAGATATTTTCCCCCTTTTGTTGAAGGGAATTGCGGAGAGGTTTGTTCGATATTTGGGATGGACGGGAACAAAGACGATGCTTTGAAATGCTTGAAACTGGGAAAGGAGGCTTTGGAAGCCGGGAATCGGACCCGTGCCCTCAAATTTGTTAATAAAGCTCGTCGTCTTGATCCGACGCTCCCCGTTGAAGATCTCTTGTCGGCAATTAAGAGCGCTTCCGGTGACGAGTTGGGTGCTGATTCTTGCGAATCTGGAGATACGTCGTTTGGGACCTCGTCATCCAAACCCTCGGATCAGCCTTCACTTCGCCGTAGAGTTCCGGCATCGGAGTCTTCTGAGTCTTCAGCATCCGCGACTTACACAGAGGAGCAGATAGAGGTTGTGAGGCAAATTAAGAAGAAGAAGGATTACTACGAGATTTTGGGATTGGAGAAGAGTTGCAGTACTGAGGATGTTCGAAAGTCGTATAGAAAGCTGTCTCTAAAGGTCCATCCAGATAAGAACAATGCTCCTGGCGCCGAAGAAGCATTCAAGGCTGTATCAAAGGCCTTTCAGTGTCTAAGTAACGAGGAGAGTCGGAAGAATTACGATCTTGTTGGGTCTGATGAGCCAGTTTACGAGAGGCGTACTAGAAGACATGGTGCAAATGGATTTAATGGGTTTTACGAGGCCGATGTTGATGCAGAGGAGATATTTAGAAACTTCTTCTTCGGTGGGATGGCACCAACAACCACACATTTTCGTACTTTCAATTTTGGCCCTGGAATGGCGCAAAGGACAGGTGATCAGGGCTCTGGCGGTGGCCTTCGGACTCTGATTCAGTTGCTTCCTGTACTACTAATATTGCTTTTGAACTTCTTGCCATCCTCAGAACCTATCTATGCTCTTTCCCACTCCTATCCCTATGAATACCAGTTCACCACTCAGAAGGGTGTCAATTATTATGTAAAATCAACGACATTTGAGGATAAATTCCCACCAAATAGTCCGGACCGTATGGCACTTGAGCGGCAGGTAGAGAGGGATTATTTTAACATTCTTGCACAGAATTGTCGTGTTGAGATGCAGCGTCGGCAGTGGGGATTGATTCGTGAAACTACTTATTGTGACATGTTACGGAAGTTTGAGTCAGCTGCTTAATGGACGAAAGGTTCATTTCAGCCCTCTGTTTATCATTTTTATCGGTCATAGATGTATTATCCTGATTGCTCGATAATGTTTATCAAGTTTCTGTTATCAAAACGATTAACTTTTCCTTCCTTGGTATCTCTCCATTGTTTGGAATTTGAAGGCAATTGAGCTTTTTACCCCCCAAAGAGATATGCAATATGCTTGGTGTGCTAATACTTCACCTAATAAACAATATTTGTATGTGGCTGGCTGATTATCTTTTCGATGATTCAACTGTTCTAATTGGGAACAGAAACCTTTCTTTATACCATGGTGGCAATCTGGTGAATTGAGCTGGTTTAGTTATTCTATTTGATTGTTTTTACCCGTATATTGTGGCCTATTGATGCTGAATGTAAGTAGAAGTTTTCAAATATTTTCTCTAAGTTCGTTGCTGTGACCTGCACATTTCTCCAAGGACGGGCCTAAACAACATAAGTGTAAAAAAGTACTTTTGATCTTCAGCATCAATGCAGCTAATGCATATGAATATGAATGATAATCTGTTTTTCTACTGTCTTTTTGAGTCTTAATTGTACAATTTCTGTTAAGTTGTTCTGCAGGGAATTGCTCTTTCATGTTAAACATATGGGATTCCTATGTTAAGTTTGGATTCGAGATGTATGTTCGTGGTTCTCTTGTTTGTAATTTAATTATGAACTCTTCATTAGATAATGAGAAAATGATGAAATCCTACGAGTTCACTCGAACATATTTCTCTTATGCAGATAGCTTCCATTGTTAAGCTGCAAGGCGAATTAACCCAACCAATGTTACCATCAAACTTCAGTGTCTGGTAGCTTGCAGATTAGATTGTGAGTAATATTTGAGATCCGAAAGCTTATATAAATCAATACTAACATATTGTGTTGATATTTTTATGCTGTCTCGACTTTGAACTTCTGATATATAGACCTATGTTATTCATTTTTTACAATATTTGATGGGTTCACATCGATTGTTTGGAATAAAAATTTGCAAGTGATTTTCCGATGTATATGAATGAAGAGTAAGTAGTTAAAAAATACGAGAGACGAAATGTGTTTCTTATATAATAAGAATCAACTTTTAATGTTGATGAATTTTTCACGGTAAACATTAAACAACTTGAGCATTCAATGGTTAAGGTGGGAAGTTCGGGAGTTAGAATCTTCTATCCTCAAATGTTATATTAAAAAAATCCAAAATTTATATCTAGTGAATGAGCTTTTCTAAGATCAAAACTACACCAATATAGCTATTTAGCATCTATTGATGCTCTTAGGATCTCTTAGGATCTGAAAAAGAAAAGAGAGAACAAAAAGAATGTTAATTTATACATAAAAGAGTTATTGATGCGTACTAGTACTTGAATCGAAGTTGTTTATATTGGCTAATGAAATATATTAATTAAGATATATGGAAAAAGATGAATTATTTCAAATGTTGGAAAGGTAAATGTAACTGTTTGAGAAAAAAAAAGGATAAATTTATAACTTTTCCCTTCATGTATTAAAAAGTTTAGTTGGATTCATCAACCATATAAGTTGTGGAAAAAATTGAAACTAAAAAACTGTGCAAATATCATTCATGTATTTGGTTGGGTTTAGATATCATTCCTATGTTTCAATTCAACCTCCCATTTCTTTTTCATTTTTGTTAAATTGTAATGAAAATTTGCTAATAAATATTTTATAAAAATAAATAAATTAATTAAAAATTTGGGAAATAAAATTACAACTTTGTAGGTGTTAAAAGGTAAAAACCAACCAACAATCTAAACCTAATTGAGTGGGTTATCTTTACTTTTCTTAAGAATGATAGGTCACGGTACTTTCTCTCTCTTTTGCTCGTTTCTTTTCTGGTGACATATATCATTTAATTAATATAATCAATGACTATAATAAACAATTTAATGATAATTTGCCACGTCATTTTAATATTAATTAATTAATAGTAAAAAAAATCAGGGACCATTTAAAACTATTTTTCAAACTTCAAGGACCAAAATATTTATTTTAAAACTTCAGGGACTAATTAGATATTTACCTCAACGGATCAAAAGTGTTTATTTTGAAATTTCAAGGACTAAGTAGACACTTAGACCAAAATACATTAGAAGTATATTGATTTTTCCCCAATAACCGAATACTTTTGTCTGTAAATAAGAATGTTTTTATTGTTCATATGTTATGATATGAATATACCACACCAATTCGTATTCCAATAGACTTATTAGAGGGTCCCATTGGCGTGCATYCAGTAGGAATTGAACCTACGAATTCGCTAATTATGAATTGGGCGCTTTAACCATTCAGTCATGGATGCTTGGAGGGGATCCTCATGGTGAATAACCAAATTCCAATTGAAATGAAATCTTTAGGATAAGGAGGACTCAATCAAATGACATCAATTCAAATCGTGGACTTTCAAATTGAAATGTATTTTGCCCTTGATTGTTTTAAAATTTGAAAACGAAAATAGATATCTCGAAAGTCTTTATTTTTAATCTTGGGTTTTCTAAAAAAAGAACAAAATCTTTATTTCTTTTATTAATTTTTTTTTTCGGATTTTAAGCTAAATTTGAATCCAGTTAAGTTAGGACGAGGAATGTAACAGAGAAACCTAGGCCTCTGTTGCATTTCTTAAACCCTAATTCCTAAATCTCGCTTTCTCCTCCTCCGGCGTCCTGAAAAACCTATCTCTCGGCTTGCTTAATCTTTGTTCGAACAATGGTACTCTCTCTCGCTGGTATCTGAATGATGCTATGTTTATCTGATTTCTAACGAGCTTTTACTTTCTGTACTCTAGCAGACTGCAGAGAAAGTGAACCCGAAGGCTTACCCTCTCGCCGACGCGCAGCTTACAATCACCATTCTTGATCTTGTTCAACAAGCTGCTAACTACAAGCAAATCAAGAAGGGCGCCAATGAAGGTATCCCTCTTCTTGTATCTTGTTCAACAAGCGCCAATGAGGCATACATATGAGACTCCCAGTTGTTTCTTTTTCTTATCTTCCGTGAAATGATTTTTTTTTTCTTTTTATTTCTTGTGGATTTTAGCGACCAAGACGCTGAACAGAGGCATATCTGAGTTCGTTGTGATGGCCGCCGATACCGAGCCGCTTGAAATCCTCCTCCATCTTCCCCTGTTAGCCGAGGATAAGGTACTCTTCAATCCTCAACAGTTGTGAGGAAGATTTCATTTCCGTTTGATATCTTCATGGTTTTCTTTTCTTTGAATTCATTTGGTTGTTTGATGTGTTTTCTGGGCTTTGAGGCTACATGTACCAAGAGATGGGTGTGAAAAATAATTGATTCCCTTGTTCTTGACCTGCCAAAGAGGCTGTAGCCAAATCATATGAGAGAAGTTAACTGGCCGGTTGTTGTTCTCTGTCAACGAATCTGCTTACCGAACTTCCTACATTTTCCCCTTTTACTTCATAATCTGTTTTGTTATTTTTTTTCCCATTAAAATGGCTAATTAACATAATAAGAAGGGGGGAGAAGAGTGGAACGGCATAAGGTTTAGCCTTTCTACGAGACCCTTCTCTCACATCAACATTTCAGTCAAGAAACACAACTTTCTGTTGATATGTGAAATGCTATATAGTAATTTCAACCTTTCAAAGACAGTTTTAGCGGCTAAGACACTCGATATACTTCACAAATTACAGCCCCATCTCCATTTGTGTTTATAGTTACAAAAGGGAGTATAGTCTAAAAACTGTTATCAATAGAGATGTCTTTTATTTATTTTTAATTTGTATTGCTTGATGATTCTCTTGGCATGTTCGCATCAATTATTTTATCACCTAATGAATTGGGATAAGAGAACTTTCAACATGATGAATTGGGCTAATGAAGTTCTGTTTGGAAGCCGATCTGTTTCGTATCTAGTCATAGTTCCCTGCCAGAAGACCGACTTGAAACAATATGCTACTTTTGGCATAAAAATATAACTGTGTCAAAATTATATTATTGGGTGTTTTCATGCAACATTTTGACGTATGTAGCGTGTGTGGTCTTGATGGAATTAGGGCTCTATTTGATTTTGCAGAATGTGCCGTATGTGTTCGTCCCTTCTAAGCAAGCACTTGGCCGAGCTTGTGGAGTCACAAGACCTGTTATTGCTTGTTCTGTGACAACAAACGAAGGAAGCCAACTGAAGTCACAAATACAGCAACTCAAGGTAATTATGCAATGTTTGACAGTAGACATCTTCCATTTTCTATCCTAATTATTTACCCCTGAAAACTTCTTGTGGCCATTCTTTGTGATGTATAGGATGCCATTGAGAAGCTCCTGATTTGAAGTGTTCCAGTTGATTTTGATTCTTGGTTTATGGTGGTGGCTCCCTTGGAGGCTTTAACTGATGTGGATTGTGCAAGTGGGGGAGGAGCATATTTTCAATTGTAACAACCACTAAATTTGAATTTCCTAGAGATATAAAGATTTACTTAGAAATGATATATCTTGACGTTAGTTGTCAGTCAGCGATGTTGTTCCTTTCAGAAGATTTTGATGAGATGTTTGACAAATATGAATGAATACAATAGAATTTCTGGAAGTATTTTGAACCACGAATATGAGAGTGGACAACTGATACTCGCACAGAGCCCAATAAGATAGAAACTCCAATCTGCGGATACGTGGCAACGATATCTCATTTTCACTTTTTTTGTTTCTGTTCGAAAAATGATAAAAAACTGAAGCATATTTCATTACCATTTGATGTCTAATGGAATGAGAAAAGTCCGAAGAGCAGGGAGAAGTGTGGATGTCTATTTTCCCTCCGGGGAAGTGGCCTCACCCGATCCGTCTAAATGGGGTGGAGAATTCTCATTTAAATTTCTTATGGGTTGGGTATGAGAAATTTTTTCAATTTCATCACCTAGATGGAGATGGGAAATCTTGGTAGGATTCCAAGAAAATAAGGGATTTACATACCAAACCCAACCGCACTTTTTATTTTTATTTTTATTTATTATATATACAGATAAGAAATCTTATTATTTTCTATATAAACATATTTTAAAGAATCTATAATTTTTTTTTTGTTGATAATTTAGATTTTTTTTTCATTTTCAAATTTTGAATCAAATAGGAAAAATTTTTAGATTTTGAATTTAAAATTTTAAAATGTACAATTATATTAAGAAAAAATAAAAAATTTGATAAATATATTATTTCATCTTATTGACTTATTTTATTTTTATTAGAATTAAAACAGGTAAAATTTAATATATTATAAATTATATAATATTATAAAATAATAATTATACAAAATTTATAACAAAAATGTAATAAATTAATATTATTTTAGATTGAACTAATTATTTAATTGTTAATTATCACTAGTTTACAAATATGTTACAAAATACTCTTTTAAAAATTTTTAAAATTGAGTTTTAATTTTCAAAATCTGTTGCCATCACATATTTGACCGAAAAATAAAGAATATAATATTTAATTGAATAATAATTTTAAAAATAGAATAAACAGGAAAAATTCTCTGAAGAACCCGATCTCTGTGAATTTTTCATGAAAAGCTCCACTTTGATCTGTGCAAAATTTCGAACGAAAAATTAAATGGGGACGTCCTCGTCCCGTGAACAGCCTAATGATGGAATGAAACCGGAAGAAATTAATGGTGTCTCTGTTCTCGGTTCTGTCGGAATTCTAGAAAGTTACCATTTTTAATTCATATGATGTCATTTCACATGTTTAGAATTAATTAATATTGTTTCTTTAGATAAAAGTTTTAATTAATGTTCACCTAACAAAAAGTGGGCGTGCCGGAGTGGTTATCGGGCATGACTAGAAATCATGTGGGCTCTGCCCGCGCAGGTTCGAATCCTGCCGCTCACGTTTTACTGCAATTTTTTTAAATAAACAAAAAGAATACGCTGAGATGCTTCTATCCAATTCCTTTTTGGTTATACTTATAAGAATGTAAGAAGAGAACAAGATCGAGAATAATATCGCATAAATATGTTTATAAATATGTTTCTTTTCAGTAATCATCCATCAAATACAAATAAATTGATCAGAGGTAGTTCACCAAGTCATATGAGTCTGGCGCTCTCTCTCTCTATCTTTTTGAAACTTCATTTCTGTTCCTATATACTGTGCCATTCTACATATCTCTTCTGATTGTGGATGGGACACATCACCTGATGAAAACCCATGCAAGTATAAAGAAGCACCAAAATTACCCACATCCACCCAACTGAAACCAATCTCTTTCTTCACTCCTCTCTCTCTCATTCCCTTCCTCACTTCAGCAACCTTTTCCCAATCTCCCTTCTGAGCATACAAGTTTGACATTAGCACATATGACCCCGATTCCAATGGTTCCTTCTTCATCAAAGCATCCGCCATTCTCTCCGCCATATCGACATTTCCATGTATCCTACACGCTCCGAGCAAGCTTTGTAGTGCTGATATCCTGGGCCCTCCTGGTATGCGTGCTAGCATCTCCTCGGCCTCTTGCAATCGCCCGGCGCGACCCAACATATCCACCATACAAGAATAGTGCTCTGCTGCTGGCTCGATCATATGATCTTTGATCATCATATCGAAAAATCGACGACCAATATTGACCATCCTGTTCCTGCTACATGCTGTTAGGATAGACAGGAAGATCACTGCATCTGGCTTTATCTTTTCCTTCTCCATCTCTTCAAACAGTTTCATCACTGTATCGTAATCCCCGTGTTGTGCGTAGCCGGAGATCAACGCGGTCCAAGCGAATTGACTTCTTTTGGATGTTTCGTTGAAAACTCTTTGGGACTCTTGAATGCTCCCACGCTTTGCATACATGTCTAGGAGGGCACCTGAAATGATGGGGTCAGATTTCAATCCAAGTTTGATCAAATGAGAATGGCATCTCTGGCCATGCTTTATAGATATGTCTTGGCCAGCACTGATTGCATTCAGGACACTCCCAAAGGTGTATTCGTTTGGCTTGGATTCCATTATTGCACACAGAAATGTCTCCAAAGCTTCTTGACATAATGTATTTTGAGCATACCCAGAAATTAAAGCATTCCATGATATTATCTCTCTATATGGAAGTTCTATGAACACTCTTGATGAATCTTGCATCATCTCGAATTTTGCATACATGGTGATTAGACTATTGCCGACACTTAATTCTGATAGAAAGTCGGCTTTGATACATAATCCATGGACCGTCAGTCCCTGTTCCACCATATTCCTCATTGTGATGGCATGAAGTAATCCAATGAATGTAACATCATTTGGATATACTCCATCTACTCTCATCTTATTGAACAAAGCAACTGCATCTTCTTCATTCAGTGAAATCATAGTAGTCCAAGAGATCACATTGCAGTCGTCCATTAGTTTGAATACCGCTTTTGCATCTTCAATGACCTCACACTTGGAGTAAGTTGAGATCAGAACATTACAGACAGAAGTATGAGTCCCATAACCTGTTTTCATAGCCAAACAATGAATCTGCTTTCCGAGTTCCAAGTTTCTTTCATGACCACAGACAGAAACAGCTCCAGTAATCGCTACATTGTCAAACTTCAGTCCTTCTCTCACCATTTGAATGAACACTGAAATTGCTTCTAACCCATGATCCCCCTCTTGTGCGTACCCAGTAATCATTGCGCTCCACGACACCCGATCCCTGTACGGCATTTCATCAAACACTTGTCTAGCATCCACAAGACGTTCCCATCTCGAATACATTGTAATCAGAGCATTTCCAGCAAAAACATCACCTTCAAATCCACATTTCAGGGTATGGGTATGCAACTGCCAACCAAAAAGAAAATCTTCTCCATCTAAGCAAAAGGCAAGCGTGGTAGTATAGGTCACAGGATCAAACTTAACCCCATTTAAATTCATCCTAACAACAAAACCCAAAGCGCCCTCACTCTTCTGGAACCCGGAAAGAATAGTATTCCACGAAACAATATCTGGGACATGTAAATTCTCGAAGACACTAAAAGCCATCTCAAGCTGCCCAGATTTACAGTACATATTCATCAAAGAGTTAGAGACTGTAATATGCGAAACAAGCCCAGAAGAAATAACAAATCCATGAATTTGTCTACCTAGTTTAGGGACACCGCAACAGGCCTTCAGGGCGAGGGCCAGAGTAAACTCATCGGCATTCCCATCAAGACCCCACCGAATCTGCTTCTTGAAAAAGCGAAGGGCTTGAAGTGCTTCGCCCCTGTGCAAGTGATCGAGTAAGAGGCGGTTGGCAGAGGCTGAATTTGGAGGAGGACTTTGATCAAACAGGTGGTGGTCATGTTGGAAAGAGCGGAAAAAATTGAGGCTTGGGGATCGTTGTTTGGAGATGACATGAAAGGATTTGAAATTCAGATGGCGGGTAAGCATGAGATCGAAGGTAGTAGTTGATTTGATTGTGGAAATCAAGTGGTGATGGTGAGGAGCCAATCACCCCAAAGGAAGCGTTTTTTTGGCTCCAAATTTAACGATTTGGCCTGTCGACTTACTCTGTAAGTTCCGTGGTTATTTGGAGGGAATTAACGTGGGCCATAATGGGCCGGCCAAAGTGGGCCACAAAAAGCCCAGAAAACTTCCACCCCTCCCACAAGTCCTATTATAGCCCAATCCACAATATGTTGTCCTTATTTATCTATGCCATTTTCACGATGTTTGTTAATAATAAATGTTTATTTCATTTTTTTCTGACATTTTGTATTTATGCTTTAATCAATTGAACTACCGTTTAATATTTTCATGAAAATGTTGAAATTACTATTTCCATCTTCTAAACTTCTTAATGAGGAATAAAAACTTGTTTTGATTTTATTGCTGTTAAATTTATTATCATCTTTTTTTTTTCTTTTAATTAAGGTAGCATATCAGAATTTCAACATCGATCTCAAGAAAATAAATAGATGCTTTTACTGTCACAAAACAAAGTAATATCCTTTGACAATTATGTTCAAAATTGTAACAACCACTATTTTTTTTTTCTTCTTATACTTATTCCTTTTTTGTTTGGTAGCTGTATCTTATGAAATTTAGATGCAAGAGTCAACCACTGTAGGCAATTGACTTCTTAGGAAAATAATTTGTAATGATAAGACACCAAAATGGCTTGTATTTGACACCATACTTAGCCTTAGCCTGTAATTCAAAGGTCTTTAGTTACATAAATATTCCCTAAATGTATTATATATAGGATTAATTTTGTCCTCACAGATTGCTTTATCTTTCTTGATCTTGCAGAATAATTAAAAGCTAGCTCTTTGTCAACTGTCTTTCAAATTGTATAGACTATGCCAGTTGAACTTCTCTTTGCTGCAAAAGAATTATTAATGACAAAGGCTACAACTTCTTATCTACAACAAACACTCAAAAGATTGTTAGACACTCTCTCCAAACATCAAACATCACTTCAGATTTGGGCACTATTCAATCCAAATCCAGATCGAGATCATATCTCTAGGACGAAGCCAAGCAATGAACTAAAGCTAAAATGAGTGTTAGATGTTGAAGGTGAATTTGATCAGAGGAGGTGTCATTATTAATTAAGTCAACGATTTAATTCTACGAGTGACCACGAAGGAAGTTCGGAAACGATGAGCGTAGGACTACAGAACTTGAACAACTTTGCAACGAGGTTACCGAACTAATCGCTAATGTTTGAATGGTAACTGCTTAACTGCATCTCCATCTCATAAAATCTCTTATAGATAGACTCTCAAAGATAACTGCTGTATTAAACACACAACCCCAACGACTATATTTTTCTCAAATAAATATCCAGAAATGACATAAAAGAGGTATGAAAACATTTCAAATTAAGATTTTACTCTCTAGAATACTGTATTGACAAAAGTTTCGGAGTGCCAACTCTTTGTTTGGTAGGATCATCCATCATCTTCGAGTGTTGACGGAGATTGATGAATTTTTTCTTAGTTAAAACATTAGTCATAAAAGTGATTAGAGTCGTTTTTCACCTATTCAATTGATGGTCCAAAGCTAGAAATCATATCTTCCATTTCACCTTTTAACAAGTTGAAAATTCAACTAGAGTCCATCTCCAATTGAATGGGCTTGAAGACTTGACTCGAGTCAAGCATCGATCATGTCAAATTAGTTGACATATTTGGATAGGAATATCTATAGGTAGACATCTAGGTACCATGATTTAATTCTATACCATAGTACATAAATATATACATGGAAACAAATTATATAATAAGCCAAAATTTATGATTTGGTATTGCCACAGTATCTATTTTTGTTTTAATTTTTTTTTTATACAAAACATATGAGAGGGAAGATTTGAACATTTTTTATCCGTGTTGAATTATGTTCAAATTGACTATGTCTTTTAATAAACACGTGAAAGCAAACACAAATTATATCCTAATCCTATCACTTTTTTATTTTTTCAATCAAAAGATAAGGATTAAAGATATTATTTGAGGGCATTTAGGAAAAAAAAAGAATAAATAAAAAACAGACTCTATGATTTAGGGGATAGAAATGAAAGCAAAGCATATCTTAGTGTAATAAAATATAATTATTTGATTGTCGACATGCAGGGGGATGGGGCTAAGCGGCAAAACCCAAGTGACCAAAACTATTTATAAAACTTCTAAATGATTTAACTTTAGTTTCCAACTATTATTGTTGATAAGGAAAATAATATTTGATATGAATCATGCATCTTCATATATTTTTTTAATCTTTAAATTTATGCATCTTCATATTCAAATTATTATATTATTATATTATTATATTCAACATTCTATTTCATGGATATTCTTCTGATTCCCATTAAGACCAAGAGCCAACACATCATGATCGCCTGCTATAAGATAATTTACTTTTGTGCTACTTTAATTTATGTGTATGTATTTGCTGCACCTGCACCTTTGGAGGCATTTGAGAAATGCCAATAATTCAAACATATAGTCACATGCATTTCTAGAAATATAACCCTTTTTTTATCCAACCAAAAAAGTCAACAAAAGTATAAAAAATGTCGTCCGAGGCAAAGATTAATTTGTGTCGATGCACTTGTATATATCATTGTTCTTTCATGAGTTCGAACTCATGAAATTTTGATCAGAAATAGATGCTTTAACCATTTGAGCCATGTTTGATTTGGTCATTTATATAACTATATTCTAACTTAATAAATGATTTTTCTAATTTCGTGAGCTATACAGAAACTAAGCTACGAAACGCCAATTAAAGGTAATAAAACCCACATTTTTGTATAGATTTCAAACAAAATATACATAATATACAAACTCAAATTCTCCTAGAACTCGACATATTATACAATTCATCAAAAGCAAACATATTATATTACACGTAAGTTGAAACTTTCCAACCTCAAGACGCATTAGCGAGAGACACGATTCCACAAACATTTGTTGTGTTCTTTTCCAAGTGGGTCAACACACGTTATTTCCAGTCCAACGCACACAGATTTTACTATTTTAGCAACATATAATGCAATTATTAAGGTGTTAGAAGAATGAAATCGTGTTTAATCAGAGGGCTTTACAGCTGGAGAATTTGGAGACCATACACGTGGGAAAGATGAAGATCAAGATGAAGGGAATGGGGCTCAGGGCCTCCACACAAAAGTAGTAGTTGAGATTGGTATGATCATGATTTGATAAGGGTCAAACGGAATAATATCGCATAAAAGTGATTCTCCAAGAAGCACTTTTTAATCAATTTCTTTATACATTAAGCATCGATGGCCAATGTGTGGAGGAACCAAGAAAGGGGGCCCCCAAATGGATTGGTTACTGATCATATCATATATTAGGCTGTGGGGTTGGGTTTTGCATTATACCCATATGAATTGAGACAATTCTTCATACACACCAGAATAGGTAGGAGTTTTTACTAATTTATATTTAAAAGAGGTTCAATACGGAGACTTCGTGGTTGTTAATAAAAATCTAAAGAAAAGGGACCTAACGAAGACTTATAATAGATATGAGCTACTCACCTTCTAGCCAATTAGTTTTAGGATGGAACCCCATGGATATTAATATAGTATCAAAGCCAAAAATACTCAAACAAGCATCCGATCCAAAAATAGGATCCAACCAAGATGATGAGCCAATTGGCACCAAGCGCTTGCCACTGCGTCATCCCACAAGCGACAAAAATCTATTAATAATGATATATCCACCATTTCTCTGTATGAAAGTGCTGTCTATTAGCATCTTTCTTTTCTAGGTACGTCTCTCACATACCTCTTAATATGGAAATAGTTTCTCTCTATTTTTTCTTTAAAAAAAGTTTTGTTATTGAGATTTAAGGGTTATATTTTATATGTTTTTAACTTTAAAAATCGACTAACAAATCTCTCAACTTTTAACAATATGTCTGGCATGTATACCTCTTCATGAAATGGTTTCTCTAATTAAAACGACAAAACAAGTTTTATAATCTTAAGGGTTTTATTTTGTAAGTTTTTTAACTTAAAAAAGCAACTAACAAGTCCCTAAACTCTTAATATGTCACGTTTAATAAATCCTTAAATTTTTTATTTTGTATCCAATAGATTCCTAACTCATCGACGGAGAAAGTTGTAAATTTGAGGTTGATTAACATTGATTTGGGGTGCTAGTGGAGCACTTTTTTGGATGATTATTGGGCGGTGGGGGGCTGATAGTTCCATATTGTTTGGTCTGTGGGTATCTTAATGAAGCCCACATTTCAGGTGCAATGCAATGCATGGTTTTTGGATACTCCACTGAGGTAGCGAGGCACGTGAGAAAGGCCACAAAATCATGTGGGTTTGGCAACCCACTTGGTTTCTATATCATAAGAAATTAAATTATTTAAGAGAGAGATACAAATTCAATTTTTGTTTTCAATTGGGAATGTCAACCCTCTTCCTCTCATGCCACGACCCTACTTATGAACATCATTGCTCTTCTTACTAGTTTCTTCAAATCCCACTATGGACCCAATTTGCCACAATAATATCTGTCCAGAACAAGACAATAATGGAAATTTGAATAACATATTATATATATATACACACCAGAGTTGTCTGAGACCTGTAAATTATTTATAAGGGTTTTAATTTGTTGGTAACTTTGGACCAAAGTGGTGCATTATTAATCACTTTTGTACTCTAAAAACGTGTATTGGATGTGGTCCATTGCGTTCTGTCGGTGATATTGTAGTAGGTAGGCAGATGGGATTTGAGAGATGTAAAGTTTGAGAGCTCATGTTTAGCATGAGATAAAAAAGTGAGAAAGTGTCACTTTTTACTTCTCTCTGTATTTTGCACATTCTATAAGAAAATTATATAATATAAGTAGAGAAGTTGGTGAGAGATGATACCTACACCAGAAGAGGTTAAGAGTAAATGTATATATGTGCGGAGAAAAAGAGGATATTCAGAAGTGGAAAGTATGAAGATGCTGGGGAAGTAGTCAAATAAGGGACTTTCCACCGTTTCTACGATGGTTTAATATTGTCTACTTTGAATATAATTTTCATAACTTTGTTTTTGATTTCATATAAAACGCCACGTATCAATGACATGTCGTGTACCTCTCACATATATATCTACCATGTTATGTGAGACTTTGATTGTATTATGAAAAAGAAAAAAAAAAAACTAGAGAATGAGATATAACTATAATTAAGTATATTAAGTGAGAGAATGGATATAGAGAGAGGCTCAAGAAAGAAAAATTAACTCATTATTTTTAATTTTTAATTTTTAATTTTTTTTTTTTTGCATTTCTCTATTTTTTTTATTTTTGGATAATTGGGGGGGGGAAGCGGTTTTTTTTTTTTTTTTAGATTATTAGATCTAATGCTTTGTTTTGGGAGGACATCACTATAAATGTCTTGTCTTGGTCCTCCAAATCGAACCTTTTTTGTAATTACTCTATAACTATCATTTCTTGTAATTGGACAACCTTCTTTTAGGCTCTTCTCTTTTTGTATGTATGTTCCTCACATACTTGTTAACGAAATGATATCTCTTTATTAAAAAGAAAAAAAAAAGAAAGATAATTGGAAGTGGGAGCTTTGCTCTTCTATACTAAGAGAGCATCTGCGGCCACCTCAAGGTCCGGACTCAAGAGACATAAAGGATTTTTCGTATATTAAGCTCATCGTAAGGTTCTAACTTGAGATCTCTAAGCCAATATGACCCCTTAAGGGCATATTTTTCTCTATCTTATTTGTCAAAAATTTAATACTGTCGATATCGAAGTATTTTTCTTTTCATGAAGATAAGTTAGCAAGAAAATGTGTATACAAATGTAAACAAGACTAATGAGAAAAAGTATAAGTAGAAAGAGATCAAATAAGTGAAATTGCATAATCAGAGGAAAAAATGCATTGGACTTGTCTTTTCATCTTGAATATAGATTTTATTCGTACAATTTAGCTTAAGCTACTTTCGATGAGATTATTGGAAGAGGCTGCTCATAATCCGATAGTTACTAGGAGACATGTAGATTTTCGAATCTACCTTTACGAACAGCTAAGATTCATTGTGACAGCCACGTTGAATAACTTTAGCATATTTGTACCAGAAAACTTTTGGGAACCCAAAATCATAAAACAACACACATATCTGCCACATGTATTCCCAAAAACAACAAAAACAACACTCGAAGAAAGACCAATAATTCCACAACACAAACGAAATGAAAAAGAAAGCAGGCATTTGGAGGAGGTGCTGCATAATGTATGTGGGTTTTGGATTTGGAGTCGATGCGGAGAAAATTGAGAGGATGAACGATATAAAGTGGTGGGATCAAGGACAGAACTGCTTTTTCAAGTTGTGGGCCAACAAAAGCACTTACAATACAAGCACTGGCTCAGGCTGGGATGGCTGTAGTTTTAATCATCTTCTTCACAATAAAAATAAAAAAAACCCAATCTTTTTCTCATGTCTCTCTCTCTCTCTTCTACTGTCCACAAAAACCAAAGGTGAGAATTGAGAGATGGAGAAAATAGGTTGCTTGTAAACCAGATTCCAATCTTTTTCCTCCCCAACCCACCTCAATCAAATACATTTTCCTTTTCTATATAAAATATTTGTTTTTCTTCTCTATCTTTTTTCCTCATAGATCCATATCCCGGTCTTATGTTAAATTATTACCTTGCTTGACCGTGTTAATTTTATATATATATATATATTTTGATATCCGTAAGTGTTCAGACCGCCAGCTTATGCGTACTTTGATTAATCTCACGGACAACTGCCTGATCGTACAATATTTGGTACTGAAAAACACATCGTTTTTAATTTCTAAGGTAGGTGTTTTAAAAATATATCACTGAACTCATGAACTTTTAAATTTGTGTCTAAAGTGTGTTATTAATTACGTCAAAAAATATTTAGGTGCTAATTGGTCAGCACCCATATGTCGTGTTGAGCACCAACAAAATTTGATGGTTCCGAAAAAAAAAAAAAAATCTCTTTCAACAAAAGATGAGTTGTTGATCGATATGACCTAAATATTATTCAATTATATCAATTTAACGTTCACAACACCAAATGCATGAAGAATTCCTGAAATCAACAACTTTTCACGTAATCTTTAAATAATACAATAATTAACATGTCATGTAAAACGTTATTGACAGATGTTCTTTTCGAATAAAAAAAAAAAGGCAAAAATTCTCTCTTATCCATCCCAGCTCTCTCTTCAAACTTAAGATGGGCAAAGAAACAATTAGCAGATCAGAATAATTGTTCATGTGAAAACATAGTTAATTGAAGAGAGAGAGAGCTTCATTAGAGTACTGAGTACAAAAGTTTGGTAGACATAACTCTTCTGGAAATACAGAAAATAAACAAACATAACATTTTACCGAACGAAATTTATAAAATATATAATAACTATACGAAAAAGAAACAAGAACAAAAGTTTCAATCAGTGCGAGAACCTTCCACTAAAATGCGATCAACCTAATCCTTTTGCTTTCCTTTTATCAACAACAAAAACAGTGCTATTTTGTGCCTCTCCAACTTGCAATATAATTGGTGGCCTCTTCTTTCAGAATATACCATCTTTTGCCTATAAAAACACCAAATTCTCAGCCCTTTTGCAGACTGTGAGTTGCAACAGCAAATTGAACTTCTCCTCCTCTTACCAGATTTCTCTCAACTTTCTCATAATTTCCTCATCTCATCCACATATATAAAGCTCGTAACTGCAAAAATGGTGAGTCTTGAGCAGAGCTCCAATAATGGCGGCTCAGTTTTCACCTTGTCCTCCATTTTTGTTACATGGGTGAGCTTAAAGATTGTGTCTTTTTGTTTGTTGTTAGGATGGGAAGAAGCTGAGTTGGACAGTGGCTGATGCAGTGGACTACAAAGGTTTTCCGGCAGACAAGTCCAAAACGGGCGGTTGGATTCCTGCTGCTCTTATTTTAGGTTGGTTTTTTTCTTTCCTTAATTTAGCATGCATTTAAGAATATTAATTAAGCTGTTTAGTCTTCGATAGTACAAGGTTTTATGTTATGATAAATAATGTGATATCATTTTATAATGTTTTGTGCTTCCCATAGCCTTTTTGGGCTTCCATAAAGTTTCTGATATATCTTTTTTTTTAATTTATTCAAAAGGGAATCAAGAAAAAGTTGAACTTTTCTGCTTTGAACATTCTTCAATTAACAGAACTAAGATTTTAACTTTTGAATAAGATTATGCATGAAAGTTTATTACTTTTCATAGTTCCAAAGCCATGGGATATCTTTTTCTTCTTCCTCTTGCTTTCTTCATTCACAGTAGTTCTAATTAATGGGTTTTCCCGAGAAATTCAGTAACAGAGGTCTGCAGATTTTCTCGAGAAAAAATAAATCTGCAGGATGCCGCAGATTCTTTTTTAGAGAGTTTTGTTGTTTTTCCATGAGGTATTTCAGTAGATTCTGTTCCAATAACAAAACTCCAAAACTTTAAAAGTTGCAAAACAGAACAATTGAGATGGACGTACGTAGGTTGCAGATTGGTGACGGCTTTTTTGTGTGCATCTGGAATTTAATGCAGAATCTTACGTCACTTCATCAGAATTCAAGATTATCCAGCACTCATATTGGCCCTTCCATAGTTGAAAATGATTTCACTTCTTTTTGTGTGTATATGGCAATTTAATGACAGAATCTTATGTCACTTACTTACCAAGCACTTGCTTAAAGCGATTTTGTTCCGTCTTAAAAATTATTTTCTTGGAAACACTGCTTGTTCTTTACCAACAATCTAGAGTTCTCGTTTGTTTTCTTCTTTATTTTCTTGGAAAGATTGCTTGTTCTTTACGAACAATCTAGGGTTCCAGTTTGTTTTCGAACAATTTAGACTTCTTGTTTGATTTTTGTAAACAACCAACTGGTTTCTATTAGCTCTTTATTTTTTCAGAAAAATAGAGAAAATATATTCTTTCCTATTCTATTTGTCAAAAACTTAATGGTAGTCAGCCATGGACGTATGAGTAAATACCTAAGTATTATTCACACAGATAGTGTTTTTAAAGTAGACAACTTCAAGTTTTTAAAATATTTTAATGATTATTATTTAAAATAATAATAAAAAAATTCTAATAAACCATGCTGTTAGGAATTTAAAATTATATAGTAGAAAAGAAAAGAAATTATGAAAATTTGAGTTTGTTTAAACAGTATTTAGTTTTTGTGGGTCCATGGTTCATAAAAGTTAGTATATTGTTTGCTTGTTACTTACCATTATTATTAAGTCAGTAAAACTTTCACTTAAAAAGGGAAAAATCTAATTACAATACGAGAACAAACACTGTATATATAAATTACTGGTAACAGGAATCAATATGCGTAAACATAAAACATTTTAAAATTTGCAGGAATTGAAATATGTGAAAGGCTGTCAACGATGGGAATAGCAGTGAATCTTGTGACGTACTTGGGTGGTGTAATGCATCTGCCCAGTGCCGCTTCAGCCAACATCGTTACAGATTTCATGGGAACTTGCTTTCTCCTCTGTTTGCTTGGAGGCTTTCTCGCAGATTCTTTCCTTGGCAGATACTACACCATTCTAGTCTCTGCCTCCATTCAGACGCTGGTATATCTATGAACAAAATCAACCATTTTAACTACACATATAATTGGATTGGAGATAATTAATATAATGTTACCATGGTTAAATCATTTGATTTGGTACTATCCTTACCATGGTTAAATCATTTGATTTGGTACTATGTAGGGGACTGCTGCACTTGCCTTATCAACAAAACTGCCACAGCTTCGACCGCCTCCGTGCGACGACAGCACCAAAACCTGCAAGGAAGCAAATGGGTTTCAAATGGGGATTCTGTACCTGGCTCTGTATTTGATTGCTTTGGGGACTGGAGGCCTAAAATCCAGCATTTCGGGGTTTGGGACCGACCAGTTCGATGAGAAAGACGAGAAGGAGAAGGCTAAGATGGCCTACTTCTTCAACAGGTTCTTCTTCTTTATCAGCACGGGGACTTTAATGGCGGTCACGGTGCTGGTTTACATTCAAGATGAAGTGGGTCGGAGCTGGGCTTATGGGATTTGTTCTGTCTCGATGCTGATCGCCATTTCGTTGTTCCTTTCGGGGACTAGGAGATACAGATACAAGAAGAGCGCAGGGAGTCCTGTAGTTCAAATTCTCCAAGTCATTGCTGCTGCAATGAAGAAGAGGAAGCTGGAGCTTCCTCAGAATGTTGGGTTGCTTTATGAGGATTCTTCGAACCAGGACTCAAGAATCGAGCACACAGAACAATTCCAGTAAGTTCATTGATTAGTGAAGATCCTATCCACTTCTAATCATCTACAATTTTCAAATTAATTCAATTAATCAGTGCCATAGTACATGAACGACTTTGGTTATACCTCAGATACTACTGCTAAGATCTTCTTCTAGTAAATTGGCTTGTGCTTACTTTTTGTGCAGGTTGTTGGACAAAGCTGCAATTGTTGCAGAAGGAGATTTTGAGATGCATGGAATGGTTTCCGCTCCAAATCCATGGAAGCTAAGCTCGGTGACAAGAGTGGAGGAGGTGAAAATGATGGCAAGACTGCTGCCAATATGGGCCACAACCATCATCTTCTGGACTACATATGCCCAGATGATCACCTTCTCTGTTCAACAAGCATCCACCATGGAAAGGTCAATTGGATCTTTCCAGATCCCAGCAGGCTCTCTCACCGTCTTCTTCGTAGCAGCCATACTAATCACTCTGGGCGTCTACGACCGTCTTATCATGCCTCTTTGGAAGAAATGGAAAGGAAAACAAGGTAAATTAAGATCCATTAGAATCCTAATTTAATACTCCAATAAACATTTCTTCATGGAAACCTTACTAATTATGTTCTTATGCCACAGGTTTCACAAACATACAGAGAATGGCCATAGGCCTTGTCCTGTCAATACTTGGAATGGCAGCCGCAGCACTGGCTGAGAGGAAACGTCTGGCAGTGGCAAAAGCAGTAGGGGGCGACACGGCTACTTTGCCTATAAGTGTGTTCCTGTTGATCCCACAGTTCTTCTTGGTGGGAGCAGGTGAAGCCTTCATATATACAGGGCAGCTTGATTTCTTCATAACCAAGTCCCCCAAAGGGATGAAAACTATGAGTACTGGTCTCTTCCTCTCCACTTTATCTCTCGGGTTCTTCATCAGCAGTTTCTTGGTTTCGGTTGTGAAGAGCGTGACCGGAAACGGTGGACAAGACTGGCTTGCAGATAATATAAACTACGGCAGACTCGACTGCTTCTATGGACTTCTGACCATATTAAGCGTCATAAATTTTGTTTTGTTTCTGGTATGCATTATCTGGTACAAGCCACAGAAGGGCAAGGACATGCAGATGAGTAGCATGGTCAATGGCTCCATGGCTGAAGAGAAATGCTAGTGGGAATTATAAAAATTAAAGGTTGTGTAATGCTTTGGCTTTCTTTTCAATTCTCTCCTGCGCTCTAATTTATCATCAAGAGTTTGGATTGGGAATGTATCATGTGTATAAAGTGTATCTGTTTGTTTCAAAGATGTAGCCAATGTCCACAGACCTTATTTTCAGTCATTTTTGCCAGAAGTCACACTCAAAATCTTTAGCAATTTCATCATAATTCGCTTTCATTTTTTTTCTCCTTTAAATATGCTGGAGAGCCAATTTGTGTACACCCAACTCATCTCACATCTCACTGGACAACTGCTTGAACTTACAACCTTCAACCTTTAGTTGTCAAGAAAATTCGTATAATTTTTCTGTTTCAACCCATTCCCTCTAAGTCCCTTTACTTTTTTACTTTACTGGTTGACTTTTTCTCGAAGGTCAAGCATCATCAAATTCCAGATCATGGATTTACTTGCTTAATCCCTCTCTCCCTCTGTTTAGTAACATCATTATTCACATGTTCTAAAGAATAACCTCTTCTCCCGAACAAAGTAGTTTATTATCCAATAAAAACTGTACCTTAGAAGAATCAGCCAACTCATGAATGCCAACATCTGTTGCTTTGGATAGGCTTGTCCTTTGGCAAATAATTGTAGGAATGTTGGATTCTTTCATCCCCATAAACGACACAAATCCACACATAGGTCCAAATAATAATGGGAAAATTTTGGAGAATATTGAGTGGTGGGCAAGGGAAAGTGGGTACCGTGTAGTAGACATTGATGTGGAAAGAAAGTTGCAATTCTTTAAGCACAACAACGGGGGCCAAACATTATCCACAGGCCAAGAAAATAGAGACTACCATTCTAGAAATGCAATGCAATGCAATGCAGAAATGGAGTAAAATCATCTCAAACAATGGATACACAAGAGGACATACATACCGAAAAGGAGGATCAGAATTTATAACGTCATCTCTGAAATTTTTTGAATTAGGGTTTCCTTGAATTTCGGTCCCCTTGTTTCTTCTCCGGCAATCTCCGTCTCCCAGGTTCCATGTCTGCTTGGGGAAAGAACAGAAGCCGTATACGGAGAAATTAGAGGGTGTCACCTTTTCCATAATGTCGGCAAAATTGTCGGCTTCCTCTCGCCTCTCTGATTCAGACCGCCGAGAAGAAGAGGTTCTGGGCAGGGCAAAGCAAGCATGGTTGCAAGTTTCAAGAAATTTCTTCTCAAAAATGAAAGAAAAAAAATTCAAATATTTAATGCCGCCTTGCCTTCTGGCTTCTGCATATGGGAAATTACTTTTAAAAGAAACTAGTTTTGTCCATTAGGGGGAAAAGAAAACATGTTATTTTTTCCTTTAGTACAAAAAAAAAAAATTAATAATGTGTAAGTTTAGAATTGGAGGATTAGTGTTTTAATATATTAATAATGTTAACTTAAAACTTGAGTAATATTTGACCCCTAATTAAGTGTATTTTAAAAAAATGGGTATTGGGTTAAAGATGAAAGGGGTACAAAACTAAGTATTAAATTTTCATTTAAAATGAATTTTTGTTAGTAGAATAAATTTGGAGTACAAAATTTGAGTTTTCAATTTCAAGGATGGGGTGGGTGTTACTAAATTATGTTAAATTATGTTAGTATTGACCATTTAAAATGATTCATGAATGACTTTTTGAAATTTATCACTGTAACAACTTCTCATTTAGTATTTCAGATATTATGATAGAAAATATATGCGGAGTCATGGATAACCTTTTGAAAATGAAATTGGAACGATGAAAATCTCATTTGATTTTAAAATGTTGTTTAACATAATCATATATTTTATGAGATAATCCTACCACTCACAACCAACATGARCTTAACTCAGTAGTAATTAACACTTCTCTGACCAATAAATAATGAATTCGAATCTCCAACTTTCATTTGCTGGACTAAGAAATCATAACACTTGTCATATAATTAAGTAGGTTCATTTTACTACCAAAAAGATAGTATAATAAAAAATATAGGTAGGAAAGTGAAAATTAATAAATTATCACTTAAAAAATATTGGATGATGTAGGATTTATTTTCAAAATTTTGTTACCTGATTAATCTTTGTCTAAAAAGAATTTGTGTTTAGTTAATTTTTTTTTTTGGAATGAAAAATTTATGCTTGGTTAATTACATCTGGAACAAATTCCTTATATTTGTCTATGAGATTATGATTTCAATTATTTTTCAGCTTCTTTAGTTGTGAATATATAACTATAGAGATAAGTTTTCTCCTTTCAATTGATTAATGCTCTCCTTCATGGTCATAAACATTGTTTCCGGTAGTTCTAGTAATTATTTACTGTATATAGGGTTGAAATTAATACATTCAATTAATTTATTAAGCTTTCATTGTGTTCGCCCTTTTTGGTTTGACAATACTACCTTGTGAGTAATGGGTAGTTCTTGTTAGGTTTGATGTCTTTCGATAGAAAATAGGAGTAAGTTGGATGTTATGTCTAGTTTAATTTTTATGAAAAACGATTCCTAACCAAACAAATATATTAATTTTAAGTTTCTCGTTTGCAATCAACAATTTTAAGGATTATTGACTTGAAAATTTTGAACGTGTTTGGGGAAGAGAATACACTGGACACGTGGAGGACCCCTATTGGTGCTCCAAGATGACTCATGAGTCATGCCCAGCTCGGACGACCGAGATCACCACTACTAGCGTTGATAGATGCTAAGTATGAGGGCCGAGGTGAACCYGGCCGAGGTCCGACCTACCGGGAAGCTCGGTGGGGGTCRATGCGAATTACTGTCAGCGGCGTGATTATCGGGCATAATCGTCGGTCCCGAGATTACCGGGCGTAACCGACGATCCCGAGATTACCGAGTGTAACCGTTGCGAGATTAGCGGGACTACCACCCATAAGTAGAAGACTTCACTCCACGATCAGGTACGATGATTTCTAGCCTCGAACTAAACTGGGAATCCGACCTATACTGACTTGATCGTCGGAGTGCTCACCTTTTTGTGCAGGTCCGCTCAAGTGTTCAGGTCGGTCCGCAGGCCGAGTTCGAGCTGCAATCTGAAATACGCTGTTGTGCACATCCTTGCATAAACAGAACGTTTATTTGTTATTTATGAAAACCATTAAAACCTAAATTCATAATTATACATGAACAATAATAAATCTCAAAAAAATAATGTTTTAGGATTTGTTAATCTTCTTCCAGCTCAACAATATAATATTCATCCTAATTAAAGACAAGTTAGTTTGATTGATCGAAGAGATGCTTCATATTCAGAGAACTATCAAGCCTAATTAAAATGATGTGTTGATTTTGTAGAAAAATACTTGTCTACATTTGATAAGAAAATTCTTTTAACTTTCTTACTTGATTTATTATTTATTTCTTTTGATCTATTTCTATAACATTTGATATTTAAGTAAAATTCATGGATATTTTTTAACGAGTTAAAATAAATCACATCAGAAAATCAGTAAAAATTCTTTATTAATAGATATGTGTGTGGTAACCACTAACAAGTGCTATGGATCTTCTCATAATAAATATCTTATGCATTTATTGACCTAGCAGAATAAATAAATTGGATTCTACAGAACCTACAAATCAAAAAGATATTTACAACATCCTATGGTGATATAGGTAGTGGTGTTCAAAAAATCCAATAATCCAACCAATTCAACCCTTGGGTTGGGTTGTGATTTTTCAAATCCGATTGGGTTGGGTTGGGTCTCGGGTTCGGGTCAACCCAACCCAAACTGAATTTATGCATATATATGTATTTTTTTTACTATATATATATATATATAGTCAACCGTCCATTTAGTTTTAATCCTAATCTTTAATTTAAGGTTTTCATATTATCTTCTTCCATTTTGTATCTTAATCTTAGCTGTCTATTTAGTTTTAATCCTAACTTCTCGTTGCCGCTGTGGTAATTAAAAACCCAACCCGACCAAACCAAAAGATATTGGGTTAGGTTGACCATCCAATTCAAACCCGATGGTTCCTATATATGGCCAACCCGAAAATTCGAGTTGGTCTCAAAATCCCTCCTAACCCAACCTAACTCAACCCACGAACACCTCTAGTGATATAGGCAAACACACTTTGATGCTTAAATTAGATCGGGTGTGTGAAGCGTGACAAGAATTAGGGTTTACTGTTCTTTATAAAGGGAAAAACCTAGGTTTTCTAGATATCTCCTCCCTTTGGAATTCCTAAAATCCAAGGAACCCAAGTTGGAGGGCTTGATACGCCAAGTAGAATGACTGGATTTGATGATGTGGGCCCTTCATTTTGTTGCTTTTATAGCAACCCAAAAATTAGGGCAAACTTGATAAACGCACGTGGTACCGACAATAGTAAAAATCTTGTCTAAAACGAGTTAATACGTTATTCACGAATTTCTACGACAAATGATGCTCCAACATCGGGCGTCCTAGTTTCGGGAGTCCTAGCATCATCCTCGGTCTCAAATGCTACTACTAATGCTTCCAGTTTCTATGCAAATAACTCAAAAACGTAAGAAACAAGTCAGAATTTATCTAATTTCAAAATAATAAGGACTCGTACATGATTGTTCTATTTCTTATACAGATCTTCATTTTAGTATATTTTTTAAGGATATGATCCTCTCATTTGTACTCAAGTTAGTCCATTACAAAGAGTTATCAGCATACATGGTGCATGACTACTTGTGCATTTAGGTTGTTGAGCCCTAGCCCAAGGGCCTTTGGATATAAACTTTTGGGCTAACTTTACTAAACTTTTCTATAATTTTTTCTAGTATATAACATGTGGGGTGGGGATCGAACTCACACAACCTTTTGATTTTAGATATATGTCAATTACCACTTAGCTATGCTCACTTTGACAAATTTATCTATAATTGATGCGTAGATTAGGCCTTTATTGATTGTAATCATTAATTTTATCTTATTAAATATTATTGTAATCTTTTATTAACCTACACACGTTAACTAGTTGGATCATTGAACAATCTAATATTAACTATATAGATCACTAAATAACCGAGCTATAACCATAGGTTGATTATTTAAGACTTAAATAAATCTCCCTAGAAAAAATTAATAAATCAAATTAAGACTACTTAACATGACCAAATTACTGAAACTAATTGTCCATTAAATTATCACCTACTCATGAATTTATTAATCTAACTTGTGCTGCCCAAACTACGACCTTATGTAAATAAGATATGTTCCTGTCGTTGAATTTTTTTTAAAAAAAACAAGCTATCCAATTCCAAACTAACTAATAATTAGAAAGTCATTATCGTTGATGTTGATATATGCTGATTTTGGGTGAGGTATACGAAGTGCCACACACTTGCACATATAAATTTAACACCAATGTAGTGTTGTGTCGAATGCACTTTGATGCGTAATTAGTTAGGATTCAAGTAGGGAGCAAATAAGTATGAAGTAGAAAGAATAAGAAGGCAGTAGTATCGAGAGTGAGAGTCTATTTGAGAGTGTATGTCGAATGCTCATAAGAAAAGTTGTGGGGGAAAATGCAGCTAATTCCTTCCGGGGGTTCTTTGTGTAGGGAAAATGCAGCTAATTAATTCCTTCACGAGGGTTCTTCTCTTCTTTATATGTGGGAGAGAGAACCCGTTCGAGAGGTTGTATGAATGGTTCCGGTATCTTTTCGAAAAAAATTAAGAGAACCCGTTTGAGAGGTCCCCCCCATTTGAGGTGTCCATCCGGGGAAAATGTGGTTTCCTTTCATTAGGGTTCTTCTTTTCTCTATATACCAACGTCATCTGCTTTCCACTATCCCTTGAACAGGGGGCGTGGTGGCATCCTGAGTGGTCCCCTAAGACGTGTCGTGGTTTGGATATAGGGTGTCAGCTTCTTGCTCATTGGCGGTCCTCTCTGTATGGGGCAGGAGTGCTCGACCCCATTTCTGGTACACTCGGTCATATCGGTTTAGTTTCCCGACCCAACCATGTGGTTTGGTTGACTTTTTGATACATGATACTTCGTCTTTACCTGATAATAGTTGAAAAAATCGATTGTCTTATTTTCATAAAAAAATAAATTAGAAATATGACAATTGTTTTACCCAATTAATTTCCGTGCACCTAGACATTTTTACATAATATTTCCATGTCCACCTATGTATTTCACTCATATCACCATGATATATAACACATGGAGATATCTATTATTTACATAGTTGAAATACGTTCAGATGAGCCTTACTTTCCAAATATTTTGATTTCGATAGACATAGGGCTTAAATTTGTGCCATATTTGTAAATATTTTTACTATAGGCTATATTTACTATTACTCTAGATTGTTACATGTCCTTGGGGAGTAACCGTGTTATAAAGTAGAATTTATTCAAAATGAGTTGTGTAAGTTTAAAATTATTCCACGAAAAGGAAACAACATAATAATAATAATAATAATATTGCTTAATTATTAATTAAGCAAGCTTGACTATCTTCTTCCCAAGGTTATGGCCATGGAAGAGGCCGACGAAAGCAGAGGGAATGCTGTGGACACCCACCGATACATCTTCCGCCGCCTGAATCTCGCCGGAGCGGAGGTAGCCGGCGGTTTTGGATATGAAATCTGGAAAAACATTAAAATAATCGATGACTAAAAAGCCTTGGATTGCGATCCTTTTATACACAATGTCCACCATGTTTGGGCCTGGGCCGGCCGGTGGTCCGGTTTTTGATTTTGTGTACTCTGAAATAACGCCGCACGCCGCCACTCTGCCGAACGGGTTCATGTTCGCCACGGCGGCGGCTAGCATCTCGCCGCCCACGTCGAAATAAACATCAATCCCCTCCGGAAAATACCTGCCGGAAAATTCATTAATTTCCAAATAAATAACTTATCGTTAGTTAGTATACTTAATTAGTAGATTTTCTTCAATCTCTTTTAATGTGTATTTTTGGTGTCCAAAATTTATAAAATCAATGGAATTGTGAGATTTCCCACTTGGCTAAGGTGGATTTCAAGTCCTTTTCTTGCTTGTAGTTGAACGCTTCGTCAAATCCGAGCTTCTCTTTCAGAAATGTCACCTACGAGGATCCGTTAGTATTTAAGTATTGTTAAATATAAATAACATTTAAAAATAAAAACATGAGAAGATAATAGAACTCTTAAAAGTGTTAATTTTGATCTAATAAATTTATTAACTTAAAAAAAAATGTAATGATTAGGATCTAGTAAACACTTTTAAATTTTAGGGATTTATTGATACAAATTTTTATTCGAGGCAGCTTAACGCGTACCTCGACTAATTTCACGGACAACTGATCTTATAACATTTGGTATCGAAAAACACATAGGATTACTTAATTCGTAATGTAAGTGACCATCATGGTTTGAACTCATTCCTTCGTTAAAAGTTTAGGAACTAATTATACCCTTCAAAGTTCGACAATCTATTAAATACATTCTTAAATGTTGGAGAACAAAACTGGTAACTTAACCTTCAAATCTACCATAAATACCAATTACCCTCCATTATTGCTTAAATTTGACTTGGATAAAATGAGTATAAATATAACCAATAAATTTGTGAAATATTTATGTTTAAATTAGTGTTTGGGAGTCGTTGACTCAAAACCTTCCCAGAAAAAAAAAATATATATTTTAGGGTAATCTACGTCTATTATGAATTTTTGTAGGGTGAATCTTTAACACTAACCACCATTAAAATTTTAATATTTACTTATTTATTTTTAAAAAAAAATCTCAATTCTCCGGTCGTACTTTAATATATAAAAAATATAACGGTGATCGTTGAATAGTTAAGTATTAAAGACTTGCATTTTAGTTCAACGATAATTAACATATATTTTACTAAATAAAATGGTATTAAAAACCTTGTGATCCGAACCAGCAGAGCCGACAACGTGGCAACCGTGGAGCTTTGCAAACTGTCCAACTAAATTCCCAACAGACCCAGAAGCTGCAGACACAAACACTTTCTCTCCTTCCTTAATCTTCGCTACTTCAAACAATCCCACGTACGCTGTGAGCCCACTCAACCCTGAATACAATACAAATAAAACAAGAACATATATATAAATATTAGGAAAGAAAGAAAGAAAAGAACTGCATTACAATTGGTAACTGATTTTGACCTAAAACTCCGAGATGGTATGTGAATGGAAATCCCAAAGTATCCAACTTTCTTAGAGTGCTTTCTCCAGCTTTTACGAGGCTGTATTGTGCCCAATGTATGATCCCAAAAACCAAGTCCCCCTTTTCAAATCCAGGGTCGCCCGAAGCCACTACTTCTGCTACACCATATGCACTAATCGCCTGTTTCACACAAACCCACGTCAATGATTAATTCAACTATACCAAATTCAAAAGATTAGGCACCCTTTGGCTTTGGTAACGTTCTAAATACCATCTGCTTAATGAAAATTACTCTTCATATAGGAGTGGTGAACTAGAGAAGAAGAAGCTCTATTGTAGCTCGACAGTTCTATTGATTGGTCAGTCAACCTTGAAAAAGTGGATATCTAAAGAGGGTCTCTCTTTATTTTTTTCACTTTTTTAATAAAGAAGAATAGAATTGTGTGATCTCAATTCTATGGATTTAAGAATGATAAAACAATACAATATTATTGAAAACTATTGAGATATGATGAAAGACAAAATAATTATTAAAGTTATTGGGCCAAAATAGTCACACTAAAGGCCATAGCTTTGTTTTCATTAGGTTTAATGACCTAATATTAATAGACATGATGGAGGATTTTTATGCTACTTTACCGGGAGAGATAAAAAAAATAAGAGAGTGGTGGCTGTGGTGGTGTTGTTGCATCAAAAGGAAAAAGGGGCGGCAGTGGTGTTTTGTTCGCAGAGGAAGAAAAGACAACTTGATTTATAGAGCATTGTCGGCAGTCCGTTCTCTTGAGGTTAGTGAGGTTTTTCATTCTGTATTCCTAAATAGCGTGGTGCTTAGAAGCGATATTAATTTTTCCAACAGAAACTACGTGTCTGTTTTTGCTACCACTAAGGGAGAGAGAAGTGGTAAAGGACAAACCAAAGGAAGTACTCTCCAATTAGAAAGGAGAACAAAAAAAAAATTGTTTTTTAAATTTGTTTTTAAAAATTTGAAAAACAAGGAAACCTAAATATATAGTTGTCAAATGTTTGGATATCTTCTAACAAAATTGGAAAAAGGAAAAAAAAAAGATAAGAAATAAGAACCTTAACAAATGAGTCCTTAATGTTCCATTCCTAGTGTGCTTAAAATATTAGCGTAAGATCTTAAAAAACGTCCCAACTTAAATTTGTAGTTACAAGAGGAGCATGCTAGATTTCGAATTTGGATTCAACGATAGAGCAGCGACGAGTATCATGGCCGTCTCATTCTAACCAAAAAGGAAAACCGATTACCTGTCCGGGAACGATAGAAGGTGTAGCAGATGAAACGTTGTGGGAAGAGGAGTGGATGTTCATACGGTTGATCTGATATGGGTCAATGGAGACACACAGATTTTTGAGGAGGATGTCACCAGAAGCAGGCTTCACACACAGATTCAGAGGTTGGGAGTTGAGTTGGAAGTGTGTTTGCAGTGGGAAGCCATTGATGAGATGTTTAATGGCGATGAAGGTGTTGTTGGTCTCCACTTGTTCCGCCATTGGTACCACAGAGTTCAGATTTTGATATCTCAAAAACTTCAATTATGGAAAGAGATGATGGGATCGGAGCAGTTGACAAGTTCAATTATGGAAAGAGATAAGGGAACTTTATGGGCCGTATTATATCCATCCACTCAACTCAGCTGCCAAATAATTTATTACGAGAGACTCGAACCATTATATTTATACTGCGGCAAAATGCCTATGCCAATGCCGTCATAGCTTTTGCAATTCTATTTTTGTCATTGTAGTAACTTTCTTGATCACTTCACTAATTAAACCTATAATACACCCCAACCTATACAAAGGATCAAGTGTATTATATTTGTCCATCATTCATTTTGGTAAAAATGACTAAAACTCTATAAAACTGATGGATCGAAAAATAGCTAAGATCCCACATTCAAAAGAAAATAGATCTTACAAAGGTTTATAATATACATGGATAATTTTACTCATTGTCAATTAATTTTGCGATAAAATTCCATAAATATTGATTACAGTTTAATTTTTTAGGAGATTTAGTTTTCAATTTCTATTTGGTTAAGGCCTAAAATCGATGTTAATCGATTGACTTTTAATTTCGCCTATACAAATCGATTAAAATCCAAACTGATAAATTAGGACTTGTTACATATAACGTTTTTAGTCTTGTTTCTCTTTTCACTTGGACCAATAGATTCAAGAATGAACGCTAAACTAAAAAAAATAAATAAATAAACTCACCGCTTTTCAAATTGAGATGTGTTGTCACTTTTCACTTGTCATCCATGGGCGGCGTGTTGGTGCTTGCATGGTTGCATGTCCAAGATTTGAGTCACCCTAGAGGCCCTTTGACAAGCTTTTCAAAGTGACAAATTCTTACTTTGCTCTTGGTAGTCTGACAAGCTGCTTTTATTAATTTTTTACATTATTTGCTAAACTGATTGCCAATACAATCACTTTTTTTTTCAATTTAATTTGGGAATGACTTCAAAAAAATTGGCAATGGATCATAACTTTTATGAGCGTGACGTAAAAGTCTATTAATTTGATTAACGTTGGTCTAAAAATAATGTGTTTGAGTTGCATATGGAAGAAATTTCTTTTGGTTATATATGTGATAATGCGCTTAATTTCTAATTTTTTTTTTAAAGTGAGAAATGAGAAAGATAAATAACGTTATCAAATGTTTAGGCATGTTTGCCAATTGTGCTACTCCTCTAATTTCCAATTAGTTTTGAGATAGAATTCATGAATATTAATATGGTATCAGAGCCCAGCAAGCTCAAGCGAGCATCCAGTCAAAAAATGAGATATGGGTCAAAGACTGGTGAGTCTAAAAGAGTCACCATCTTTTATAATATACCACGAACTATTTTGTGATCTAAATAGTAGAAGAGGCTACTGCATCGATAAAGAGTATATGAGAAACATATACAAGATATCGATGCTATTGAAAAGCACTCTAATTCAAACATATTGATGCAATGTCATAGTTACAAAATAAAGATGATTTAAACGCTCAAGAGGAAGGGGTGATGTTGGTAAACTAATGAGCTCGGATATTAATCAACACTGTAGAAGAGTTATCTATCGAAATAATACTCTTATTGATCTATTAACAACAAGTAGATCTATGCCAGGAGAATTAGTAATGTGTTCGAAAAAATTGGTCCAAGGAACGATGAATACACTTCATGATAATGGAATTCGTGGACAACCAACGAGGGATGACCATAATAAGGTTTACAAGTTGTTTTCCAATGTAATTGAAGGAAAAGATGGAAAATTTCGTGAGACTCTTTGCTTGGCAAACAGGTCAATTATTCAGGCATTTTGTGATTGTTGTAGGACCCGCACTTTCATTACATCGATATGGATTGCCTCGCGAAAGAGTTGTGTAGTTTTTTCAATCCAAACGGCACCATAGGATAGGACTGAAAGCGTTAATTAACATTCCAGATGTTTTGACAATAATCTTGAATTAAAGGAAATATTTCCTGAATGAAGAGATCTATCCCTAGACATATCAATATTTTTAAATTTTGAAAACAATATTTTTATGTTTTCAAAAAAATATATTTTTAAATTTAATTTTCCTAAATATAGGTATGCCTTCTTCAAAATTTCATTCCCAATCATTCAGCTCATGGTAGATAAATTAGGAGAGGGTAAAATCGCCGAGAATCAGTTTCAATAATCAAGCTTTCATCAACTTTTGGTGATGAGATGATCCTCTTATTTTCCATAGCCTTCTTTATTAACATGACATTAATGCTACTTCAACAGCTTTTGCTTAAAATCTAAGATTATTAATTATTATTATTACTTTACCTAAAATGGCATGTAGACGATATTTACGAATTTATACCGTTGGGTACTATATTTGCAATTAATTGAACTTGTTTTACCATATATTGCAAGTGCCCTGATTAATCAGTCCGTGCCATTTAACTTTTAGTTAGTTTAAGGTAGAGACACACACCCACCCTGCACGTAAAATTAAAAATTCAAAAGACTTTTTAAGAATCTTTTTGAAGTAAACAAACTCAAATTTAACAAACTCTCATTTTCTACAAAATTCAAACACAAGCTGTTCAAAGCTGTGGATGGTGGCTTAAGTATTTAAGGCAGCAAGTGTGACTACCTTCTTCCCAATGTTACTGCCTTGAAATAGCCCAACGAAAGCAGAGGGAATACTCTCGACGCCGACCGACACATCTTCGAGCGCCTGAATCTTGCCGGAGCGAAGGTAACCGACGGTCTTCGGTATGAACTCCGGGAAAACACTCACATAATCGACGACTAAAAAGCCTTGGATTCTTATCCTTTTATACATAACATCCAACATGCTTGGCCCAGCTGCTGTTGTTTTTGATTTTGTGTACTCTGAAATAACACCGCACACTGCCACTCTGCCAAATGGGTTCATGTTGGCTACGGCTGCGTCCACCATCTCGCCGCCCACGTTGTCAAAATAAACATCAATTCCTTCGGGGAAGTAACTGCACTCAACAAACGTAACTATTTCTTACTGATTTGTTCATTTCATTAAAACCAATGGAATTGGAATAATTGTGAGGTTTCCCACTTGGCTAAGGTGGATTTCAACTCCTTTTCTTGCTTGTAGTTGAATGCTTCGTCCAATCCGAGTTTCTCTTTCAGAAATGCCACCTGCCCGAAATTAACGGTGGAGAATTGATATATATGAATTAAATTTACTCATTCCATTAACTTAAGCTTTTGAGTTGAACAGTGGTCTCTAATATGGTATCAAAAGTTATGTATATGAACTCATCAGCTTAAACTTTTAGGTTGAGGGGTGATTTATTGATATCAAATGTTTAATTTTGTCCTTCTTTATGATAATTTCAATTATCCAAACTCAAAACTCATAAGTGAGAGAAATGATTAAGTATCCAATATATGAATTAAATTTACCCAATCCAACGATGGTTTATTCATCCTTAATATTAACTTCTTCAAATTTAAAAAATAATATAATTTCTACTTGAAATCTACTTTACCCTATCGTTGAAATTAAAATCTGACCTTGTGATCGGACCCAGCACAGCCAACAACATAGCAACCATGCAGCTTGGCAAATTGTGCAGCTAAACTTCCAACAGCTCCAGCTGCTGCAGAAACAAACACTTTGTCTCCTTCCTTAACCTCGGCTACTCTAAACAAACCAGCGTAAGCAGCGAGGCCCATGAACCCTGAACCAATATCAAACATGCTACAGTTACAAAGTGTGCAAACAAAGTTTAAAATTCGAAAAGATTGAAAAAATTACCTAAATTCCGAGATGATATGTTAAAGGAAATCCTAAAGTATCCAACTTGTAGAAAGGGTTCGCAGGGCCAGGTTTAAGGAGGCTATATTTTGCCCAATGCAATGCCCCCACAACCAAATCGCTTTGCAAACCCACGGTCGTCCGAGGCCATAACTTCCGCCACACCTCCGGTACTAATCATCTGTACTACGAGATAGAAATATAAAAATAAATATTTTTTTAAATATAATGAGTTGTCAATTTTTCAATGATGATTGGAATAAGATTTACTCTTAATGAATTAAACATTATCCTTTCAAAAATATATATATATATATATTAACGATGATGTTATTGTTGTTGATTTGTTTGGTAATTTTTTGTTTTTTATTTTCTATTTTTTATAGTTTTTAATTTTTCAGAAAATTAAATTAGAATATATTTGGTGATAATTTCTATTTCTTGTTTTGAAATAAAAATATATTTGATAATTATTTTTTATTTTTAGTTTTTTATGGGTGGAATAAAATTTTGTATATATAATAAGGAAAGATATAGTATGAATTAAAATAATTAAAAAATAATTATCTAGAGTTTCTTTTGAAAATAAAATATCAAGAATTTATTGTATCTAATCTCAGAGAAAGACTGAGGTTCAAAATTAAAACTTAGTCTTGGTTAAAAAAAATAGGAACCTATTTTTGTTTTTTTTTTTTTCTATCTGACCAAAAAGTGAAGGGAAAGACAAGGAAATAAATTTAATAATATCTATATAAAAGTAAAAGATATGGAAATTTTCAATATAGAGTGAAAAGTTAAAGGAGGATAGAGAGAGAAAGGAAATGACAAAAGTGGGTGGAAAATACAAAATAGTGTTTTTTAATTTTAGGGTAAGAACAAAAACACAAAAAGTTTTGTGGTTTCTAAAATTTTCATTCTTTTTTATATTACTGATATTTGAATTAGAATTTTATTTGATCTTTTAAATTTTAAAAATGACAATTTTATTCCTGTGGTTTTGACTAAATTGTCCCGAAGTTAAATTTTCATTAATTTGTATACATGACATATTTTTTAGTTTTAATTTTTTTTTCCTGACCGACATTGAAGAACAAGAACTGGAGTAAAAATTAAAATCTAATCTCTCCCTGCCACCTCTCCCTCTCAAATTAAATAGAATCCTAACTCAAATCTAAATTAAAAGTGTCAAACCTTTTTTTTGTAATATATGAAAATTGAAAATAAAGTTGATTATAAAACATGGATGCTTATTAAAAAAAAAAAGAAGAAACGAGAATGTTAACAAACGATTACTGTCCGGGATGGATAGAAGTTGTTACGTAGGAAAGGTTGCGGGAAGAGTGGTGGTTTTTCATACGGTTAATTTGATAAGGATCAACGGAAACACACAGATTTTTGAGGAGGATGTGGCCGGAACCAGGCTTCACAGAGAGATTCATAGCTTCGGACTTGAGCTCGAAATCTGAGTCGAGAGGGAAGCCATTAATGTGGTGCTTAATCACGATGAACCTGTTCTTCACTTCTTCCATTGATGTAGAGCGCAGAATTGAACAGGGGAAGGATGTGATCTTGTTGTTTGGAAGACCGAAAGAGTAGATAGTCTTCATTAGATCTTGGCTTTGGAAGTTTGGGCGAAAGCGACCTGCAAAAAGAGAAGGTGAGTAGATGTCGGTGTGGTGTCAAATCGATACACAAACTCAAACTTAAAGCAGAAACTCAAACTCATTCGTGCAATAGAGATGAAAAAGAGCCAAATCGATAAATAATCCAAACTCAAACCAGAAGAAAATTACTGTTCAAACTAGAAGAAGATGAAAACGAGCGAATACGAGGGAAGATGAAAAAAACCTTCGATATTGTCGTCGCCCCTGTATATTCGCTCCCTACCACCGAATCGAAGCTCACCGCTGGAAATTGTTGCTCTCTGCCGCTAGAAATTGCTCCTCATCGTTGGGTCGAGAGGGTAGAGAGGGTTCGTACGGCAAAGGGAGCTGGGGAGGCAAAAATTTTCGGGTGTAAAAATTTTGGGGGAAAATTTTAATTTAGGGTTAAAATTGGGCACTTTTCATGGCGGGCCAGACCCTCCATTAAAACTAAAATTACAATGTCGGGCTAGGCCCGACATGGATACTTTAAAAAAATTTTAAATTAAAATTGGGTGTGTCCGTCATAGTTGCCTCCGTGTTTTTCTTGTGCGACATCATTTCCTCCGCATTTTTTTTTGTCCGACATTAAAACTAAGATTTGTTGTAGTGATTGTAGAGTTGGAGATTCGAACTTTTAACTTTTTGGTCGTCAACCAATTAAACTATGCAAGTTGAAAAAAAAAAACACTAAAATTTTGAAAAGAGGTTAAAAATCAAATCTTGAAAATCTTGAGGGTAAAAAATGTCAATTTCCCATCCCAAATCAATCTACTCCCCCAAACTCACTAGTCACTACCTCGGATAATCGGTATTTTTTACCCCTAAAATTTTTTTATTAGATTTTTACTCTTTTTTAAATTTATAGTTTTTCTAACTTTTATTTTTTATTTTTTTACTTTTAGTGAGGTTTGACTACGAAAATACCATTAAATCCCTCTTTCAATTTCTAACTTCTCAAACAATCTATCTCTCTTCTCTTTTTTTTTTTCATTTAAAGTTGGTCAAAGTTTGGGAACTCATAAAAGAAAAGTTAAAGGGAATTAATAGTCGATTGAAATTATAAAGAAATTAATAGTTGATCTTTAACTTGATTTATGATATATATATATATAGAAATTATAAATGTCATTTTTATTCAATCCCGTTGTTAAAAGAAAAAGTAAATAAAAATAAAAAAAAAATCGTGTATTCCACCGAGATTGCATGAATTCTAAGCCGATATTATGCAATTATCAATGCCAAATTAGGGGGAATTTTTTTTGACAAAGAAACATTAAAATTAAGGGTATTTTGAATCCCAATCTGACCCATAAATTAATTATTTAAAGTGTAAGAAGAGCATTTTCGTAATTACACCTCCAACAAAAGTTAAAAAGGGGACAAATTTTCTAAACCCTCCCTTTAAGCTCCTAGAACAAAGTTTAACACCTAAGCATAAATTACATCTCTTTTATTATAATTCTCCTGTAAACCAAACCAGCAAATTGGCGAGAGGCACACAACTACAAAATCAAAATATTGGATCAATTCCCCTTTGGTTTCAACAATCACTCTGCAAATTTGACTATTTTCTTGCCAATATTATCACCCTTAAACAGTCCAACAAAAGCAGAGGGAATGCTGTGGATGCCCATTGATACATCTTCAAGTGTTTCAATCTTGCCTGAACGAATGTAATCAGAAGCCTTGGCTATGAAATCTGAGTACACATCAAAATGATCCCCAGCCAAAAACCCTTCAATTTTGATTCTTTTGTACACCAAATCAAGCATGTTTGGGGCAGCCTTTTTTGAATTGGTGTACTCAGAAATAACACCGCACAGAGCCACTCTTCCAAACGTGTTCAAATTCGCCACCGCTGCTTCCAGCATCACGCCTCCCACATTGTCAAAATAAACATCAATCCCATCAGGGAAGTACCTGAAGAACAATTTACCATTAAATTTGTGTATTATTGTTTGAAATGCAAGAGTTTAATTATTTCTTCCTTTCTCTTACTTCTCCAACGTGGATGTCAAATCCTTTTCTTGCTTATAATTGAACGCATCGTCGAATCCTAGCTTCTCTTTAAGAACTGTCACCTACGTAAAATGTTACTCGAAATTTATGTTCATGAACCAAACTTATAATTCAACGTATTTGAGGTGGCGGTGAAACCTTTTGATCGGAACCAGCGCAGCCAATGACGTAGCAGCCATGCAACTTTGCAAACTGTCCAACCAAATTCCCAACAGACCCAGAAGCTGCAGATACAAAAACTTTCTCCCCCTTCTTAGCCTTGGCCACCACGAACAGACCGACGTGTGCAGTCAGCCCGCTCAGCCCTAAAACAAAAGAAATATTTACAAATGTATCGAGCTAGCTTCAAAAACTTAAGTTAACAAGGTTATATAACCACTTATTCACTTGCTTGGAAATTAGCACGAGACTCAATCACAAAGCTAGCAATTTTTAAAAGAGAGGCAAAAATCTAAGTGGAAAAAGAAGAATATTATAAGAAAAATATTTGGCTTCTTGTCCTAACTACCATTGAAAAATTGACAATCGAAAGTCTCTACTTTTGCATTTCTCTCTCTTAGTTGTCAAATTTAAACGTGACAAGGACGAGATTTCTGCTTACCAAAAAACCAAGTATTTTTCCTATTATAAAATCAAGATTCCTTCCTACGGTTAAGAAATATTATAAAATCTGATTTTATAATATGAAAAATACTTGGTTTCTTAATCGGATGGAGGAATCTTGTCCTTACCAAGACCGTTTAAGTAAAAGAAGTTGCAAGGAATAGAATTGTGAGTAAGAAATTTCACTCTTGTGAGGGATTTAAAAACTTCATATTTCAATAGTAAATCTACCCTTCAACTCCTCCAATTTACTATTCAACTCACCGTCGAGAAAATGTAAAATATAAAAACGTCAATTTTTCAACAGTAAATTTGGAAAGAAATGACATTACACATCCAAACACAAGTCCTAATCAAATCAGCTCTAAATCCAAACACATTACGGTTGAATTGATCATAAGTCATTCAAATTACCAACAAGAGCAATTCAAGTTTAGTTACCAAAAATTCCAAGATGATGAGTTATGGGAAATTCCAAAGCTGTGTCCAATTTTCTAAGCAGCCTATTCTGGGCTTTCACTACGGTGTACTCTGCCCAATTTATGAGCCCCACCACCAAATCACCCCTTCTAAAATCAGGGTTCCCAGACGCCACAACTTCTGCTGCACCAAACCCATCGATGGGCTGTCTCCACACAACCAAAAAACAGAGAAAAACAAAAAGTTGGCTCCAAAAGTATTGAACTTTAAAACAGAGCTTCTGATTACCTGGCCAGGGCTGATGGGGGTGGCAAAAGATGAGGTCTTGTGCGAAGAGTTGTGGGATTTCATTCGGTTGATCTGATATGGATCAATGGAAACATAGAGAGTTTTGAGGATGATATCATCAGAACCAGGCGCCACAGAAAGAACAACAGCTTCAGAATTGAGCTCAAAATCTGACTCAACTGGGAAATCGTCGATGTGGGTTCTTGTTGCTACGAATCTATTGCTCACCTCCATTGAAGCTGCTGCTTGGAATTGGTTAGAAGAACTAATAATATGTGTCGATGGTCTCTGAGAAGTTCAGAGTTTCAAGTTTTTATACAAGTATGGAAATGAAGATATAAGGTATAACTGTGATTATGATTCCCGAAGATAAATGACAAACAGGGGCAGAGTCACGTGCGGCCAGAGGAGGCACGTGCCCTGAACTTTGCAACCTTCCAAGAAAGTGACATTTGGTTTTGTTGGCGTCCTGTTCAATGGATACCTTTTGTACCCTGGCAAAAGTTTGAGGCTTCGGGATTGCAATATATTTTTGCCAAAAAAGAAATGTACTTTTTTTTTATTCATTACTTTTTGTATTCAAAGTAAACTATATTTTCTTTTCTTTTGTAAGTTTATATTGTGATTGTGAAACTATATTTTCTTTAATGAATTCAATATGAAATATAGTAGTATTATAGTTTTTGTTTTAATTCTTTTTCAAGCTATTTATATAAAAAGAAATTTTATTTTATCAAAAAGATTTTACTCAATATTTCAATTTTTTTTTCTTTTGAACAAACTAATATCAAATTATGATCGATTCGAGCCTAGGTAAACTCGTCGAAAATATCTATTACCATGTTAAAGATCGATGGTTCATACCTCTGTGATCGTTCAACTAAAAAATAATAATAATAATCAAATTATGTATATGTAAGGTCATAATTTTCTTTATATCCGTAAAGTCATAAATCTCATAATTTTTAATATTTGTTTTACAATATTTTTAAAATTTTATACAAAACAAACTAGTATCATAAAAAAAATAATTTATTATGTGATACTTATAAATACTATCTTATCATGATTCCAAGAAAGAGAAAACAGAAAATTGGAAGATCCAATAAAAGAGATGGAATAATACTACAAAAGCCGACGCCTATGAGAAATTGTTTAAGCCAATTTCGATTTTTGATGGAGGCCCCGCCGGCCAACTCACCCAAGTCATTGACAACTTATATTACCCTTTGCAAATAATAATAATAATAATTTTTATTTAAAATAAAAATTATTACGGAAAAAATATGCATCTCGAGTTACTATATCCCCAGAGCTGACGGAAAGACTTTCCCCCCTGAATGAAGAAGTAGTGGGGCCGGTCCCGAGGGAGTTTACTCGACCCATTCTCCAGTCTCCCGCACAGCTCTTCTACATCCACAACAACGAAAGCACTAAATTGATGTATAAATATATTTATACGTTTTATCTTTTTCTTAGTAATTACTTTTACCATATTAACTTTGAGATTCTGTTGGGCAATCGGTATCTTCTTTTCCTCATTTCGTTAATAATACAACGCAATCTTATGATGGACAACTATATATGTAATATCATATTGATATGTTATGATGTTTTACATTATTTGCTAATTAAATAGATCATCAATATCAATACCAATATATTTTTCTTTTTCTGTCTAACTTAAGTGTAGCTCAACTAGTTAAGGCATGTATCTCCGATAAAAAGGAAAAAAAACGTTTTTCTTTTTCAATTTAAATTAGGAATGCCTTAAAAAAAATTGGCAATCAACCATAACTTTTATGAGCTTAACATAAAATTCTATTATACGATAAATGTTGGTCCCCTTGGATTTTCTACTTAAGGTTTCGAAATGGTTTAAACACCAATTTCACCGGTGAAGGGTTAAAAATAATCTATGTTTGATAGCATCCAAAAGAAATTTTCTTATTCATGTATGTGATTAGTCATAGTTTGCAGGTTGGTTTAGTTGCGATCATGGTATCAAGCTTCCATCAATATGTTGACATTTACATATATTTATGATTCGATATCTGACGTGAGGGGTGGAGTGTCCTGAATTTATATTAAATAATATAAAGTGTAGCATTTGTGAGTGGCTTTCTTAATGCACAGACGCTTGCCCCCCTCCACTGTTCTGTGTTGAAGCCCAAGAATCAACATTGTTTTTTTTATTAAAAAATATATTTTTCCCCTCCTCCATGTCCTGTGTTCCAGCCAAAGATTCAAAAATTTTTTTAATTATATTTTTTCAGAAAGTATGTTATTTTCTTCCTCGTGTAAATATTATTTCCACAATTTCCACTATTTGAATCACAAATCTATTTGATTGCACACCAAAAAAATCCTAGGGTTAAACCATTCAAAAAGCAAGTCATCAATTTTTTTTGTTGTCCAGCATGAAATCTTGACTCGTTAAACTTTTCATGACTCGTTAAACTATGCTCAGGTTAGTCTTTTTCTAAAAAATATTCAGTGGCATTCCTTGTAATACTAGAAATTGTATATATTGTGAGTCTAGAGAAATTCAATCCTCCTCACCCCTCTTTTGATCCAACAAAAATAAATCATAAACAATCCTGTCGAAAGATAGCCATATTGTTTCCTGTGATAATACACTTGAATATCCCATTCAGGACAACTTCCAGAGTTTACAAACCGATAATTCTAATCCTTGAATAAAAGTTGAAGTTTCAACAAAGGGAGATCCAAGAATTCAAGCTTGGACAGAGATGGAGGGGATAACCCATAAGAACTGTACAAAGAAAATTATACGAATTGAAAGACAAGCATCGACATCATCATCCTTATAGTCATTGTCGTTATGACAATATCAAACGGAGAATATCTCCCGAGTACTTGAAAGATTTCTCGGTTTCCTCCAGGCAATGGTTCTTCTCCTCCCTACTCCAGCTCTGGTAAACAAACATGGCAAACAACATCTTGTTCAGTACAGTTGCATCATACAACATGGTTCAGTTCAATAGGAATAACAAAAAATAAAAATAAAAATACATTCTCTAAAGTCATTGGGAAAGAATAAACAAATGAAAGATAAAAGCGCACCCCACCCCCATAGAAAAGAAGAGTGTGACTTACTTCGGCGACTTTGTTCAGCTTCTCTCTCACATTCTGCAACAATTGAGAAAGGTCGCCATCCCATTTATAAAATTCCAACTCCTTGTTATTGAGTATCTTTTCTGCCACCTGAAGTAGATGAATGTAAATGTGGGACTAAGTCAATTGGTAATTGCATTGGAAGACGGGACAAGGCTTACACCGAAATAGAAGAACCGACATTATGCAATGGATTATCTGAACAACAGGGTGCAACTCCAACAAATATAACATTTCGACATTCTAAAATAGTCGCTACTCTAGAATCAGTAACACGAGTCACCACCAAACCTTGGCTCTACTAGTAGAGATTAAGAGTTATTTCATATAGAGCCACACACCAACCAACATTCTCTAGGTACAAGAGAATACAGAGGCATATTTTGTGCATATGGTGAATCTGCATACATATTAATATAAAGCTCAGACAGAGCTTCTCAAGAAAATATTTGTTGCTTACCTTTCTCCCAATCATCCGACCACCGGCAGTGTGGGCAAAGTATATATTATAGAAATGGCAAATAAATGCTTGAGGATCGTTTTCTGATAACTCTTCAAGATAACGAGCGTAGGTGATGCCAGGAGAAGAAGGTTCTGGAATGGCATATCCTTGCTCTTTGAACCACCCCAAATCTTTTGCCAATGGTTTAGACCTTTCCAATCCTGTGTTACTAAACTCTGCATCTATTACCACATACAAAAGACTTCATCAATTTACTACATTCAGCTTTCCTATGATGCTTATGTGACCCAGAAAGAGATGCACAAGCTCAATTTTCACAAAGATTACTACACAATGTAAACCAAACCTTCAAATCAAGTAGATCTGACTATCCCCCCACCAATTTCTCGTCATATTTTACCTACAGATCATATGCCATAATACCCTCTAACAGTGTGAACAACAGAAGATCTTCAACTTTTAAAGAAATGAGGGAGAGAAGTAAACAGAACAATAAGGTCGCTTAGTTTAATCTAACTTGGAAAGACGAAGACCCTCAATGTCGGTAATCAAACAACAATTATGGACTTTGGTGTTTACAAGATTATAAAACTGGAGAGGAGACCAATATCTGCAGATCTAATTATGCAAAGCACCACTAGAAAAGAATATTGTACCCTCAAGACTCCATGTCAATCAAACATGAATTAAATGTATAGAAATTACTAGCAGACTTCAAATTCAGACGACTATGCCATCATTTTAAGTTCATAATCAATTTGGTTATCTTCAAATTTCGCTTATGCGAGAGTAATAGAGCTTTCTGTTGTCCCCTGTAACCTATCAACCTAAACATCACTAATGCCCCCATCCAATGCAAGACATACTTATCCTTCAAGGAAAAGACCAGTAAGAGGAATCAGAAGCCATATCAAGCTACTAAAAAGTTCTTTCCTCTTCAAAGAAAAACCATAACTGCAGAATCTTGCACCAATTCTAAGAACTCAAATAACAAAATCAAATACATTGTGACCCCCAAACTTCAAACTAGAGAACATTTCCCCAAATTGCGACATACAAAAGCTCATATTATCAGAAATAATAACAGCACAGGAACACACTCAATAAACAAAAGCACAGGCATAATCTTAGAAGTGAAATTGAGACAACATATGCACTGCCAGAGTGAATCCAAGAAATCAGGAAAAATCCATAAAGTCGTATTAAAGAAACCAGGAAACCAGCAACAACTTACAGGACGGAAAAGCTGCCTTGGCAATGATTCTATCCAGTGTATCGTAAACCAGTTTGTTATCCACAAGGAACCTGAGATACCCGTCAACAGAGGGCTCCCATTTGGCGACGGGCCCCTCTTGGGGCTCCTTAGTCTCCTTCTCGCCTTCTTTGGCTTGATCCCTGGTGTGCAATTTCATGGCCACGAACCTCATCTCCTCCACAAACCCTTTGGCCTCACCAGGGTACCTCTTCTTCGGCTTCTCGGCCGTGGTGGCCGAGACCAGGGGGAGGGTCTTCATCCGAACAGTGGAAATCCCAGCAGGGTTCCGAAAGCGGACGGCAGAGGGAGGCCTTTTGGAGAAGAAATTGGACTCCAAATTGGAGCTGGCGCTCGCAAAGGAAGTGGGTGCCACAGAAGCGGGCGCCCTGAAATGGATTTTATTGAAGAGAGACTGTGAGGGAGAAATTGGGTTGAGGGAAGCCATAGAAACGTCGAAGTGGAAGAAACCGAGTATTGGGTTTTGGTTGATTGAAGAGTGTAAGAAAGGTTCGGAAGAAAGAAGAGAAGAATTTGGAAGAAAGAGTAGCGTTGGGAGGGAGAGATAAATGGTTGAATCTGGCTTGAAACAGCGATTCACGTAATCTTGAAGAAAAAGCTATGAATATGTTTATAATCTGTGGAGAAAAGAAACTGAAGAAAACTAATTAATGGAACGAAATAGTTGGGAGTGTCACAGAGGAGCGAGCGAGCAGGATCAAGGAATGGGGTTCCGTGTCCATGGATGCTCTGGATAACTCTGATGTGTATTTATTCATTATTGGAGCAGTGACGGCGGAAATCCAACCACCTCTTAATTGAGATATATATCAATTATCGATAAACTAGATTTATTTTGATAGTGTTATCCTCAATTTAATTCATAATTATGATCGTTAGGACTCACATCTATTTTAATGAGGCCATTTTAATTTTTAGAAGAAAGTTTATTAAAATTGATAAAATTAACCTAACATAATGATCAAATCTATCTCACTCTTTTATAAGATTCAACACTACTCTAATTAAAGGGAAGTCCTCAAAATAATTGAGAGAACGTGACCAACAAGGGATTATCCCTAGTTTTATGTACCGTAACTCAAGGGACTCGCGCTCATTGGGAGCTCGACCCTTAGGTCTGTACTCACAGACTTGTCTTATGCTTGGCTCACAAATTAGTCTTTAGGATATGAGAAAATATTTTCAGTGGGTGAATAGTTAAGTTTTCAAATTTTTATATATTTGGATTCTCAAATTTTAAATTTTTATTAATTCCAAGATTGTCCACCATTATTATTGTTTTACTTAATTAAATTTGTTTTTTATTTAAGTGATACGATTTTCTTTTTTTTCAATTTGTACCTAAATTAGAGTTTTATCTTACCCATAGCAATACCTTTCTCTCACAAACTTTTGGTGGATGCCTAATTTTAAGCATGCTTCTTATTTTGAGAGTTTAGGAGCAACGAGACATTTTTAAAAACAAGTAAAAGTTAATAGTAAATGGAAGATAAAATGGAACCTTCAACATGGAGACACTCCTCCAAATTAGATTTTTGAGAATAACAAGGCAAAATCAATCAAACAAAAAAATTAATATCTGATTTAAAAAGTTTTATCATATTTGCAATTTTTTTTAAAAGTTTATTGCTTTGTAAATATAGCAAATGTTTTGACTGGCCATTAAAAATAGCCAAAAACAAATGAAAAATAGTCGTTGAGAGAGACTCTGCACTAATGGCTTGTTTATCTCTTACAAGAGAAAACATGCCACACCAATAATGCGCACCAGACCCTATCATTATTCAACTTGTACTAAAAATATAATAATAAATATTTAAACAATATTTACAAATCTCATACCTGTTTGTTATTATTTTCGATTTTTAAAGATTTTTATTAAAATGAAAACAAAATAATAATAATTATTATTATTATTAGGTTTTGTTTTTTAAATATTGCTATCATTTTTAAGAGAGGTGAAAGATATATTTAAAAATGTGTGAGAAAGTAAACATAATTTTTTTAAAAAAAAATTAAAAGTATATCTTTTTTTCTCTCTTTTACTTTCACCCATGTTTTTTTATCTATTTTTTAAAAACGTTTTCAAACCATTAGTCAAATTGTGAAAAACTATAAAATAATTTTATTTATTTATTTTTTTGTTTTAAAATTTGGACTAAAAATTCAATTGCATATGCAAGAAGTATAAAAAAATACCAAAGAAATGAGAATGCGAACATATTTTTTAAATTTTAATATAGGAGCAAAATAATTACTAAATTGAGCCAAAATTATTATTAAACATGCCTTAATTTTTTTTTAATTTTTCGATTTTGATTAAGTTTCACATTAAATTCTTTCCATAAATGTGATCATCTAAACTGACATTAGATTATAGGTAACATTAACTAATTGTTAGAGAGCAAATTAAGCATAAAGTTGAATGTAGTGTTTAATATTTTATTTTCAAAGTGAAAATACTCTGAAGAAAATGAATAAAAGATGGAACTTTTTTTTTAAGTAAACATGTGGAGGTGGAGATCGAATTCACGTACTTAAGATAAGTACCTTAACCAATCAAGCTATGCCCACATTGACAATAAAAAACCAAAATTCTAAAATTTCAACGATTTTAATAGAAAATAAACTTGGGTAACAATTTTATTCATGCCACTAAATTAATCCACATTAGTTTTTCATTTAATTCTTTTTATAATTAAGTAGGGAGAATTAGAACTCATAAAATATAAATAAAGATATTAATGCAAACCACTTAAATGATGCTGAAATGGAATAATTTCTTCTTGATTAGTTAGGAATAGACATTTAGTTTCAATTCATATTCCTATTAAACAGATAAAAATGATTAATTACGCTTAAATAATTTTAAAATCTTAGCCAGGAAAATAGACGTATTAAGACACAAAAACTTTCAGAATTTGAAATAGTAAATTAATGCACGGAACCTTACTTCATGGCTCATTTAATATCATTTGCAAATTGCAATAAATATATTAAAATTTAATAATATTTTCCGTTTTCTTTTCAGATTCTCGAATATTGGGGGAAACTAGAAATTCAGACTTCAAAGCGTGAAGTGTGAGACACGTTGTTTCTCAAAAAACAATAAGTCATGTGATCCTTCTAACTTGCTCCCTTTTTTCAATCTGTTTCGACAAAACAAAAGCAGAATTTGAAATCATTGCTGTGTTGGGTTTGTAAAAATAAGGCAAACAAAGTCCTAATATTTGTTAAGGAAAGGATTATAGACATATAAGAGAGGATAATTATCCTCCCAACGGCGCGGTGGACTCCTAGAGAGGGAAAGCCATCACCTTCCACGATTTCAAAAACTTCTCAGCAGTCCTTGGAACAATTAAGCTTGGAGCCTCTGGTCTTGATGCAGATGGTTAAAAAATGCCTTTATTCCCCATAGCCATAATAGCCAACGTCCCACCGCAAATAGGGATGCCTATAGCAAAGAAAACGGCTTGATCAAGTTGAGTTCCAGCCAATTTTGCAAATCACAATTAAAAAAACTACTATAAAGAAAATATACTGCACAAAATAAAAGCTTATTATATTCATGCAGACTTGTAGGGCTAGCAAATGTGAGACTTGTGGGGATAGCAAATATGAATACTCATGGAAGGAGCCAAATAACTTTCTATTGATTGTGGATGACTACAGCATGAAAGTATCACTTTATTTATTGAAGCATAAAGGTGAGACAGTGTCCAAGTTTAGAAGTTGACTTAGTTCATAATCAGATTGGGAAGAAAGTAGGACCGATAAAGGACTTGAGTTTGTGAATCGCTTGGTTGGAGTAACATGAAGCTCATAATTTTGGGTGTATGATCCATTCAATTGTAAATAAGAATTTTTAGTTGTATCTCATGAAAAACAACTTATTTCTTTTGTGAAAGAAATGAGATTATGTTCAAATAAGAAAATATGTCATGGTTAAAGGAGTCTATATATCCATCACATATAGACTTTAAGGACATCGTGACATAACCATCGAGGTGAAGTAGGGACCTAAAAGATCGAATGGGACAATACAAAGACAAGTAAATCCCTTATGAATTTCAAGGTCCTCCTTTTAATTAAAGGGATTCGTCATTCAAAGAAAAATAAGACTACTCAAAAATTTCACATTTCTTTTTCTTATGTTGTAATTGATATATTGAATAAAGAACTCAGAAAATTAAAATAAAAAAGAAAAAGAATAAATGAAATGTTGTTTGGTCTTAATTGAGAGAGATTTTGATGAACTTTGCTCGAAACATGGTATTGCTAGATACCTATAGTTGGTTGGTTACAGTATGCAACAAAATGGCCTTGTTGAACGCATGAATGACCATTTTGAAAATGTTAAGATGCTTATTATCTCAATTAAACTTGCTCCAGACATTTTGAGGGAAACAACAACCACAACATGATATTGGATCAACAAAACAACTTCGTCAACTATTGAATTCAAAACACTTGAGAAGATTTGCTGGAGTAGAGTAAAACCAAACCATGTTGAGGAAAACTTGAACCAAGTGTATCTTTATAGGCTCTTCAAAAGGAGCAACAAACTTTGATGTCTGTGATCGAATAGAGAAAGATGTATAATAAGAAAGAGATATGAAACTTGATGAATGGAGTTATGTTGCACTGTCATCATATATAACCATTAATTAGTGTATTATTCCGAGGCCATAAGGCATGAAAAACGATACACTTTATTGTTATGAACAGTTCAAAGATGAAGAAGGGATACAAAGTATTATTAATGATTGAACTGGTAACATAGTTTTCTTATCTCTCCTTGCGTGCCAGTCTTGACTTGGATGCTGCTCAGCTTGACCATGGCTTTCTTGAACTCGAACCCAAATCTGAGGCCCAGCAGTCCCCTGATGCTCCCTGCATAGTTCTGCACAATGCCTCTGGTTGAAGGGTGGCTCCACAGCCTCTGGTCTGACTCCAGAACTCCATTCCCGTTCATTATGTTCTTGAAGAAGCTGTTGTCGAATTTCAACCCGCTGTCTTTGTCCATAGCCACGCCTCTAAACGGATCTCCGTCCAGGGGGCACTGGCTTCTCAGCTCTGTCAAGAACGACGGGTTTATGGTTGGGTCTGGATTGCCTGTGCTTGTAAAGTTTTCTAGACGGTAGCTGAACAGTTGGCAATCTGTTCGTCCAATAGTGTGAGCACCTGTCATCAAGACACAATTCAAGCATAGTTTAAATCAAGCATAGTTTAAATAGATAACACAATTATTATTATTATCTTTAAAATCGACTAATAGTGAATTTACCAACAAGGGTTACAAGATCTTCTTCATCGAGGCCTTTCTCTGCAAACTTTTGAATATGGACGTCGATGGGCTCGAATGGAGAAGGCAGATCTTCAGCCTGGGAACTGATAGAAACTCTCCCATCCCTTCTTCCTGTGGGAACCGACCAACTTGGCCCACCACTCTATAACAACATATTCAAACCTTAATTTGCAAGGGTAGTAAAATACTTGGACTCCGTAAGAGTTAAGAGTAAAGGGTAACATTGTCTAGTAAGTTGTCAAATTATTTTCGATGCTAGTGCGGATAAGATTTGATCATCATCATTAAGGAATCAAGTATTTTCCTTTAACGGTATACCAAATTAAAACCTAGCCAATCACATAAATAACCATCCAAAAAGTAATTGCTTCCAACCCAACAAAAAAGTAAAGTAAAGTAGGACACGTTTAAGAGTCCACCATAATCACTTTTGCCATTTTCTAAAAATCATTGTTAAACATTATAATTATATAAATAGAAAAAAAAAGTTGATTATCAAAATCCTGCCCTAATGTTTAACAATAGTTATAATCACTCTCAAACATATCCTAAAAGTAATATTATTTTAGTATCTTATTTTTCAAAATTATTTTATTTTAATCTTATAAATTTTTAATATATTTATTTTACTCTTTGAACTTTACTAAAGATAATATTTTTATTCTTATCTTTATTTGGTTTTTAACAAATAAATAAAATGTTTATATGTACTAGTACCAACATGCTAATGTGAGGAAGCTAAAGTTAACTGAGACAGTAGTGGGGAGGTAGACATTATTTGCCAAATAAATAATAATGACTAATATAGTGACCTTTTAAAATTTAAAAATTAGAATAGAAATTCTGAAAGTTAAAAACTGCAATGATATTTAAACCCTATTTTAGTTACTAAGTTTCTATATAATTCATTATTTTTATATATATGTGTTCAACTTCCATGAGATCCAAACATTTAAAGTTGATAGGTTAGAGTAGATTTATACAAATTAATAGTACATAATAGTTATTAAAAAAATAATAGTACATAATAAAGAAATAAACAAGTTACCAAGTCTACAGCATCACGAGCAGCCAAAGCAAGAATATCTGCACAAGAAACGACACCAGGACATGAAGCTTCTAGCAATGCTTTTGCATCATCAATTAATTCAAACCCTCTCAACCCCATATTTGGCCCTGCATTCATCTCAGCACTATCACTAAAGATCAACACTGAAGCATCGCATCCCTGTCAAAGTAATTAGACAGCACAAACTTAACTTAGTGGTAATTGACATCTGTCTCCGACCTCTTGATCGTGAATTCGAACCCCCTTCACCACATTTGTTGTACTAAAAGAGATATCAACTTAATTAGGGTTTAGGAATCGGGAAAAACCTGGACAAAGCAATCGTGAAAATGGAGTCGGAGGAGACCAGCAGCAATGGTGGGATCTGCCTTGAAATAAGACTGAACAGTGGACCTGACTATGGACTCAGCTTTGGGACATGACCTTGAATAGAACCCATCAGACAGCTGAGAATTTACAGGCAAAACCAATAGAAGAATTGCCACAAAGATCCAGCAGATCATGGCTTTTGTTTGCCCCATTATATTGCTTGGGCAATCTAAATTTAGCTTCACAATTGATATTTCTGTATATGGCTTCACCATTCCTGACAACATGTATTTATATGCATTTCATGAATTTAGGGCTTCTTATGATTCCCTGCAAACTTTTATTAATGGAAACATGCCTGGGTTTTCCATCAAGTACAAGTGGTGAGTTTAAAGTGAAAGTTTGGTTTAAAATTATAAAAAAAAAAAAGTGTTTTTTAATTTCTTCACCTTTTAAAAACCACAAAACAAAAATCTCAATAGAAACGTGCGTGGGTTCCTTGTCTTGGATTTTTTTGGTGTTATGTTTGAAGATGATTTTATTTTTCATTCAGTTTTTTTGTTTTTTATTTTGTCTTTGTCTTTTTTTTCTCCGTTTCATTTTGCTTGAATTTTACCAATATTATTTTTAGCGGTGGATTACAATGTGTGTGAATGCAATAATACCCAGAGATTCATTATACATATATCTCACGATAAATAGTTGATGGGTGAAAATTCAAATTTCGTAGATAGATGACTTAATGAATTGAGTTATATTCAGTATAGCAACTCATAATAACCTTTTGATATAAATTCAAAAAATACATTTGGTAATTAATTTCTCCTCTCTCTTGACACATTTTGACTCAACATTTAATTGTGGATTGGCCATGCTTATTAAATTGCATGTATATGACTAAGTCAAGAAAAAAAAAATACATAACTCTACCCTATTTTACCTAACAAGTTCAAAACCCCTTGTTTTGTTTGCAATATTTTAAAACATAACTCTACCCTCCCAATTAACCCTAAATAGAGTTGTTTAAATTAATTAAAATTCAACACGTGCTAAATTTATTCCATTTATACTTTCATATTAATATATGAGAAGAATTAGAAAGTAATCCAATATTAGATATTTCTTGGGCATTTTAGAGAAGATAGTGTTATAATATTGAATAATACATCATGATGCAAAAGAGATACATATTGATTTGATTACATATTTTATTTTATAAGCATACAAATCTCAAAAAGTGTGTGTTTGTTAGGTATAGTGTATGTGTATACAGTCAGAGAGCAATTTTGTAACCAAAATATTAAAGAATAATACCTTTTAGAAAGGGGCGAAAAAAAAATAAAAGAAAAAAGAATTAACAAATTGAGCGATAAATATGACATGGTCCGATTGCGTTGCTTGGAAAATTATAGAGAGCTCTAAAAAAAATAATCTCAACCTTTTTTAGTAAAATTTTTTTATTTGAATTTAACTCAACCGGTGAAATATGTATTTTCGATCAAAAGATTGTGTTTGAGTTATATTAAGAAAATTGTCTTATGTCCAAGTAAATTAAAAGAGGAAGTAATATTATCTTATAAGTATCAAACCGAGCATAACTTAAGTGGTTAAGACACTTATCTCTGACCAAAAAGTCATGAGTTCGAATCCCCACCCTACATACTACATATTGTACTAAAAACATATCCTCTAATATAACTTGTTTAAGTCTTCAAATAGTAATAGAGATTAGGAAAGAATGAATGAATTATTCCCAACCGTTCAACTTTTCGGAATTGGTAGGGACAAAAGGGGATAATAAAAAATGAAAACCCAAAAAGGAAAAAGGAATATAAATATATACATATTTAAATGGAAAATGCGTTGCAGATACAATCAATAGGATTGGATCGATGTCTCTTCACTATTATACTAACTCTATATCTATATATATGTACGTGTATATATGTCATTTGTGAATACCTTTGTTATATTGCGGCAATTATAACTTGTTTGATAATTTTTTCGTTTTCTATTTTTTTGATAAATTATCTCTCTCGTTTCTAGAATTTGAAAAATACTTTTATAAACAAGACATACAACTTCAATGTGTTTAGAATGATTCTCATGAGTGGAAAGTTTTAGTACTTCTGTTTATATTCTCTCTCTCTTTTTAATTTATATTTTCTATTTTTTATAAATTTTTTTCAATAAAAAATATTTTGATAATTTCTTCTTTATTTATTTAGACTATTATATCAAATAAATATATATCGGAAATTATATTTTCTTTAATGAATCATATTTTTCGAATATATGTTATATCTTTCTATATAATATCTACTAAATTATATTTTAACTAAAAATTAAAAAAATAAATATTTGTTCAGGTATATATCCCCGATCAATATATCATTAGTTCAAATCCACACCCTCACAAGTTATTATACAAATAAATAAAAACAAGAAGTAGGAAATAGTTATCAAACATATTATGGTTTTTATTTCTTTTTACCAAGAAACAAGAAATAGAAATGGCTATTTACCAAACGTATTCCTGTTTTTAGTTCTAAAAAAATTAGAAACAGGAAACAAGAAACAGGAAACAAAAGGCAAAAACGAGGATGTTACCAAACATTTCCTATATCTCCACTAAAGCAAATTTTGTTTGTGTTGATAGAACAAGTTGACTACTACAGATTACTGAGAGTGGCTATTTGTGAAGGCGAGTGGAGCATATCGAAAGAAGTTTATTATAATTGTATGGCAAATTTGTGAGATGAGAAATAGAGCTATTTTCAGAGATAACAACCAAATAGCAGAGGCATTGAAATAGCAATTGACAAATATATGGAACGGTCACAATACAAATCAAGTAGGAGCATCTTTAAGAGGAAATGCAAACCTAGTGAGACTTCAAGAAAATAATTCAACCACGCATTAGGCCCCCCACTTCCAATTCTTTGAAGCTGAATACCGACGCGACTTGGTGAGCAAATTTGGGTATCAGAGGTTTGGGCTGGGTAGTAAGAAATGAGAGGGGAGAAATTATCAAAGCAGGATGTAAGACAACTAGAGAAGAAAGAGACATGACCTACCTAGAAATGTTGGCTATTCGTGAGGACATGCAAACTATTCAAGATAAAAATTGCTATTACCGTCATCTTGAGCCTAACTCTCTCCAAACAATTCGATTTTAAATGGGCATAGATAAGATCTTATTAAAATCACATGGATGACAGAAGAAGCTAACATATCAGAGGAGAAAACAAAGTAATCTCAATGACTCACATTAGGAGAGCAAACATTGTAGTGCATATGGCTTAGCAAAGAGAGTGTTGGAAGAGGATTTAATCGAAGAGTGGGTCTCAATATCTATAACTTTTTAGTTGGATAAGTACTTTAACCACTTGGGTCATGCTCAGATTTCCGCATTAATTTTGTTTGTACTAAAAAAAGCATTTTTTTATTACAAAAGAAATACATGTTTTTCTGATTGGTCTTCCTCTCCGCCACATGTGAAGCTGTAAGAGTGCGCAGTGGGTTGTTGGGTATTTGTTTGGGCTCTTTTCTCTTCTGTGAGGCCCATTATAAAGGATTTTCCAGGCCTTATTAGAAGGCCCACTTCGTTCCGCGGTTGATGTGTCAATGTACATAGAGAACTTCAAAAATATCTCCGTCTCCAAATTTGATGTCGTTTCAAATTAGAACAATATAATTTAGAAGGCAATATCATTTTCTACTTAAAAAAAAAAAGGACAATATAACATGAACTTAGTTCAATAGTAATTTACACATGTCTCTTATCAAGAAATCATAAATTCGAATCCTCTCACCCTCATTTAGTACTCAGAGAAAAAAAATTGCAAAACTGCCACCTATTGCTATGAGGAATGACTATGGCAAAAAAGAAAATTAAAAATTAATCTGAGTAAAGTAACGGTAAATGCATAAAAATGGTTAATAATGATTTCTTTTCTAATATGGTATAATGAGATCCAACATCGACAGAATAGTTGTTAAAAAAAGTAATGAAAAATATGGTATATCTATAGATAGCCACAACAAAGAGAAATATCTTAAGATTATCGTGCATCTAATATCTGTATAAAAACATTTTGACTGCCAAAAATAAAAAATGGCAAACAAGAAAAACATTCACTTTCTACTTACTGAATTTGTTGAGTTTATATTTAGGATTTTACATGTTTTAGTATCTAATTCATTCTTACAAGATGCTGTCATAATTTAAAGTAATGGAATAAGGTGATGTTATCTTCTGAAAACCAAACTCTACTTGGCTATGGCTTCCTGTTCCAGCACAGGGACTTTTTTCCATGTGCCCTCTAGTCCATTTATCTGTAGGGGTGGCAATGAAAATTCATTAACAGTCGAGCTTCCGCTTCGAATTTCTTTCAAAACTCGCAACGCAGACAGCGTGCTCTTCATATACACGCTCTCCATGTGCTCAATCTCTGCGAGTTCTTTGGGCATTCCGAGAAGCCCATCGCTGTTCGGGGTGGCAGTGGCAGATGCACTAGGAGCACAGCCTTCATCACCACCAGCTGCCTCGGCCAAGGCAGGCTGTTCATTTGCAGAGAATAGGCGGTCCAGCATTGCCTCACACTCTTTGACAAGCTTATAGAGCAGGTCTGTGGTGAAGAAGGGCTGCTGCAGTACCTTCTGTATAAAGGGTAGGCGAATGAGTGCACCAGTTCTTTTGTCATACTTCTTGAGGATTTTAGCTAGGCCTGTTGAAGATAAGAGGGCATGTAATTAAAACACAGAATGAGCATAAAATTTTGATAGTGGGCGGACTAATTAGGAAAAAAGCAGGGGAGGCATTTGGTGCATCCAATTACGTACAGATAATGTGCTAGCTTCTCAGGAATAACCATAGACACACAAAGAGTGGTCCAATAAATTAAAGATCCAAAAGCAATTATCTTTACAAAAAAATTTGGACCATACAGAGAAAAAGTCGGGTATCTCAACGCATATCTGGAAACTAAGGACTATCCCAACAACGACACCCAAAAGTTAAACGTGAATATGACAGCCAATATCCCTAAAGGTGTCCTAGTGGTAAGGACTTTGAATGTTTTTAGAAGATCTTGAAGGTCTTGAGTTCAAGCACTTGGTTGAAGACTTAATAACTTAAAACTCCTATTGCCGATTCCGTCTTAAGGGTAGGTGAAGCTTCCTTAAAGATTAGGTGAAGGGTAGATCGCGAGCGCAATACAAGGAGAGTGAGACTAGAGTATGTAATAAGCTAAATTGAGGGAGATTCACGTCGACAACAAACAATGGACAGAGTACAAAATTCCTATGATGTTCTTAACTATTTAAATGTTTAGGCAACAGAGAACAAGTCAGTAACTGTAGGAACCATGCAGTTACCTGTATAGTTAAGGGCACTGTAGTTCTCTAACAAAACCATCTCGCCATGGAAGTCAACGATCTCCTTCCGAATTTGTGTCAACTCTTCGTCATAGTCCTTTGTTTTAGCTACTCTATCTTGCAACTCCTGATAAATTTCCACACAACTTTGTCAAAATCTCAAAGCAGAAAGTGCAATAACGCCAACGTTTTTTACTCCCAAAAGTAAAATTCCACAAGTACAGCATATATGTAATTTAACCACATGCTTTACCTGGTCCTACTAAAATCTCAAACAAACTAAGTGGGTATCGTTAAAATGAATCTTGTGTTACATTATTCAAGGATTATTAGCGTTGCGCTTAAGCAGTTAAACAAGTGTGACTTTCAGAGCTTGGATGACGTATAAAAAAAACTCCAGATCTAGAGAAATAAAATAATGCAGCATGAGGATTATATGCATAAAATATTGCCGCAAACACACAAAATGATATATATCAGCCGGCAAGCACAGTCATGAACAGCCCCAGATGCTCTGGTAAGTGACAAAGTAGTTGCAACATGGGCCAAACGACTCTCTATTCTAGAGTCGAAAAGGAAGAAGATTGCAGTAAGCTATCTTTTACTGAGTTAGATTTTGATTAATTCAGCGCACATGGGCAAAAATAAAACAATTAACCGTGCCCTTTTAAAGCTACGTTTCTGGTGACGGGTCTTTTCAGTTTCTGGTGACGTCGTTGTTTAGTTCTGAAGCTACGTTTGGTTCGGTGGACTATTTGGTGGTGCGAAATCCATGGAGTTATTAAATGCTGGAAGATTTCACCGAGAAAAAACTGCTTGTACTGTAGGTGTTCAGCTAATTAGTGAAAAGAGTAAAGTTGAATTTGATCATTCTTTCAGGAGTTATAGAAATCAAAAGTTTCTCACATCGCAAATCAGTAGATGTCCAGAATGTCGAATGCGCAAAATCAAGTAGGTCAGTGGAAATCTCTGGACTATTCAACAAGAATCTGAGATTAAAGGGGAATGCAAATGTGCATACCTTCAATCTGATTATGTACTCCTCCTCCTTCTCGACGAAAAACGAATTGAATTTCTCGAGCTCCTTCTCCAGCAGCGTAACGAAATCAATCACCTCATTGGATAAGGCATCGGCGGCATCGGCGTCGGCGTCGGCGCCGAGCCTGGGCTTCTTGAAGGGCCTGTTGTGGGCGGTGTTAGGGTGTACAAGTTTGAGCTTCCTCTTGAGGTCCTTGTAGGAGAGGAACTTGTCCCGCCATTCGGGCAAAGTCTCTTCGATCTGGTTGCTGAGACTCTTCCCGAATTTCATGTGTGTGAAAAATCCGGCGATTCCAGAAGAGAATTGTGAGGTAATGGGTGAAAAATGGAGGAGGAGGAACTGAGGATGATGAGGGAGACGGTAATATAACCGCAAAGGGGCAGATTGCAGAGCAGAATATTCGAAGGGGTAGTACGGGAATATCCGTTGTATTTTCCTTTTACAATTAGCATATCTCCGGGTTTATCCCCTCAGAAGAAAGACAGAGCAAGAGAAAGGGAAAGAAGTCAAGTTTATTATTACTTTCTTTTTCTTTTGAATTGTAATTTCTTTTTTGAATTTTTCTTTTAAATTGTATTTTAAGTTTTTTTTTTTCTTTTCAGTAGATTGTAATTGAGGTTTTTTTACAGCGGGAGGTGGGAGGGATTTATTAACGAAATTTTCGTAAACTAAAGGAGCTTGCAAAACTCAAAGTAGACGAGGAAAAAATAAACAACTTACAACAAAAAGTACTATCTACAAAAGTAGCCATCATTTTTCAATTTTGTAACAATCAAGTTTTAAATGTCGATATCGATATCGATAGAAATATCGACGTGGATAGATATTTCTATAAAAATTAGAAAAATTAAAAAATCGTAAAAAATATTTAAATTAACAAATACACATTTTCATATTTTTAGATTAGTTAAAAATAATTAATATTAATATTATGTATATATTAATTATATTTTGTTGATATTTTTACCAATTTTGTTGTACTAGTGGAGGGATGGTGGGGTGAGTTTGGCAGGGGTATGGATTTGGAAACTTGGCTTCCTAAACATAATGGTACCAGATTGAATAGTATTTAATCCCATGGTTATTCACTCTCTTTTTTTCTTTTAACTTTTTTTAATTTAGAAAAATGAATGGAAGGAAAAAAAAAAAATAGGGCACTCCAAACACAGGCTACTCAGTCCCAAGCTACACATCCCTGCCTCCACATGCTGGCTTCTCAATTTCAGACATCACAACATCTCTAAATCTCAAGTCATGGATGACGATGTCAAACCGACACCCCAAACATCTTTTAATGAACATAGAGATAGAGTCCAAATAATGATATATCTGTCATAATATATTTATCATGATGTGATATGCCATTGACATATTTGAAAATATGGAACAGTAAAATTAAAATTAATAACTAAAATTTTGAAAATTCATATTTCAAATATTTTGTGATACAAGGAAAACTCAAAAGTTAATGTAAACCCAAATATTAATAATACAAATTTAAATCTTCATAAAATTTTGATAAATAAGATTGAATTTTTTTAGGGAAATATAAATAATGTTGATTTGGTTTGGTTGCACCCAAAATCGAATTCATGATCTCAACCCATATACCATGTCAAGCACATTATAATTTGTCATATTTTTTAAAAAGAAATGCCATATTAATTTTCTGTTACTAATATGACAAATGATATATTTTAATAATTCCTATAAATTAAAAAAAAGGCTTATTTTAGTCAAAGTGAGCATAACTCGGTGGTAATTGACACATATCTCCATGTGAATTCGAACTGATGTTCTGTTGCACTAAAATAATAATAATAATAATAAAATAAAAACCTATTTTAAAAAAGGTATGTGAACCAAATTAAAACTAAGACATACGATTTAACTTATTATTTGAAAAAACAATCATTTTTATTAAAAAAAAAAGTAGTTGAATTTAAATTTCATCTTTTTAATTTGAGCGAAGTATTAATTTAGCCTGACAAGTCATTTTTAAATTATGGTTTAGCCACTAAAAGTTAAATAGCCATATATTTTCTTTTATTTTTTACTTGTCAACTAATACAATTACCTAAATAAAACATTTTCAAGTGAAATAAAAGTAACCAATATGGCAATGAAGAGGACAATCGTGAAATTTGATTCAACTATATGAACCAAATTAAAACTAAATCAAAATGATAAGAATTTAATTAAAATTAAACACAAATCACAAACATCAAATTAAAATTGAGTACAAACCCTGGAGACTGGAGACCATATTGAAAATTTGTCCAAATTTTGTAAATCCACAATTTGTGATTTAACCGTAAAAATTTGTGAGGGGAATATTCTTGGTTATTGGCTGCAGCGAGAGAGGAGACCAATGACCTGTCTCCCAACTCGGATCACATGGGAACGATCCTATGCTAATCCAATCACATCCCACCACCCATTACCTTACACGTGTCCCCCTCTACCCACCCCTTCAATCACTCCTTAATTATCATCAATTTTTAATATTTAAAATCTCATTTTTATTCCAACTTAACTTTTAATTTATTTATTTTTATTTAACGGTAGAAACATTTAAACCTCCAATATTTAAGAAGAAAATGTCGTATCGTCTGTTCGATTTTCCCACCCCACATGTCGTTGAATTAAAAAAAAAAAGTTCTTCAATTTTGATTTTAGTTTATGACTTTTTTAAACTATGGTAGTTTTTGTTTTCACATGTTTAACAAGTAGATAATATGACATTAATTTTATGTATTAATGCATTTATGATGGTGTGAATTTGTTAAGAGTGCTAGTTAGAAGTTATTTACTGTTATAACTCAAATCAGTTTAGTGTTATATTCAGTTGTATTATTAATTATTATATTTTTCAACTTACCTATAAATAGATAATTGCTATTTTCATCACATTAAGGAGAACGAGGCTTTAGTTTTTGATGCAGCAAGTAGGGGAAAACAATTCTTAATTGTTGGTACCAAAAATAAAGCAGCGGATTCAGTAGCCCGGGCTGCAACAAGGGCTCGGTGTCATTATGTTAATAAAAAATGGCTCGGGGGGATGTTAACAAATTGGTCTACTACAGAAACAAGACTTCATAAGTTCAGGGACTTGAGAACGGAACAAAAGACGGGGGGACTCAACCGTCTTCCGAAAAGAGATGCCGCTATGTTGAAGAGACAATTATCTCACTTGCAAACATATCTGGGCGGGATTAAATATATGACGGGGTTACCCGATATTGTAATAATCGTTGATCAGCAAGAAGAATATCGGGCTCTTCAAGAATGTATAGTGAACAGTTTCTCTATTTCTTGATTTTCTGTTCGTGAAAATTAAAATCATTGGAGTTATAAAAGTTGATTGAGGTAAGTATTGGATGAATAAAACTAACATGAAGTTAAGTCATTTTACTCATTTGCTTGAAGTCGGAGGTTCAAACTCCAATTCAATTTACATATTTGTTGTATTAAAAAAAATATTTGATGAACGAATATTGAATTGCATAATTATGACAATGATCAACATAACTATTTTTTTAGTTTAAAATCTAAAATATACTTTTGAAAGATTAAAATAGAATAATCTCGAATAAATCTAACATTTTTAAAATATTACCATAGATTGTGCTTGGATCATAATCATATATATATATATGAAATGACACATACAAATAATTTTGTAATATTAAAATGTGAATAAATTAAAAATGATAGAAGAGAGAGTAAATCCAATAAGAAGAAACAATGGTGCTTTACAATAAATAAAAGCAAGCGCAATGCAAGATAAAACCATGGAATTTTGCATCCAGTTGTATCACTAATTGCTCTATAAAATATAAATATAATGAAAAAGTGTGTCGTATTTTTTTTAAAAACATTTTATCCCTAACTTTTCATTTGAATATGAAATTAAATAACTCATCTTCAATTAATTCAAAGCGTGAACCCATTTTGATAGCGATATGTACGAACATCAAGTTGTTATTTCACGTCCTATAATAAGTACAAATTATAACAACCATGTAATTTATTGTATTAAATTTTCTATTGAGTTTTTAAAAAAACAATCCTTGGAATTGAAAATTTATGGCCGGTTTGATGATGTTAGTGTTATTTTTTTTTCAATTTTCAAGAAATATAAGTATTTGGTAACGGTTTTTGTTTCTCTTTTTTTTCATATTTTTAAAATGTTCCAAATAATTTTGGAAACAATTTTATTGTTTCTAGTTCTTATTTTCAAATTTTCAAAAATATAATTAAAAGTATTATTTTATCATTATTGACTTCTAAATGCATAATAAATATTCAAAAATAAATACAACATAATATTTAAATTTAAAATTAGTTTTGTTAGAAAATTTTTAATTTTTTAATTTTAGACAAAAAAATGATTACCAAATATATTTATGTTTCTTTCGTCAATAGTCAATAAAAAAACAAAAAAAAAAGTTATTAAACGCAATTTAATGGTTATTTATTAGGAAAGGAAAATAAAATATAAAATATTATCCAATGAGCTTAAGATTATATTGAATTTTGAAACTTTGTCTTGACATTGAAAATAAGAGAAGGTTAAAAATTAAATTATGGTTATTAAATGGGGATTTTATTAAGTGAAGCTGTTTATTAAATATTTAAGTCTATAGTGTGATTAAATAAATTGTTGGAGAAAAAATTGGGAAAGAAATTGCGGAAATTATGTTGATGGGAAAGCGGAGATCCAAGTCCAACCAGAAGAAGAGTAATTCGAAAGGAATTTGGAATATCCAATAAATCGCTAACTTTCAACACTCGCGTGGTCATCATGACGTCACCTTTATAATACACGTGAACTAAGGGTAAACTTGGAAATTCAGGCAAAAGAATAACCAGCAGCCCACGTGGCACATTTTTATTAGTTATCTCGTTCACAAAAATCAGAAGAAGAATATTCTTTCATATATGCCTCCCCCATCTTTTGAAACAAAAAGTATCCTCTTCTCTTTTCCAATTATATGCCCTTTTTGTTGCAATTACAATTGCACCCAAATTTTCATTTTTTTTTTCCTTCTCTTTATTCTATACCTAAACAATTTTTAAATTTCGAGTTTTGTAATGGTTTATATTTAGAAGCACGAGAGTTACTAGTGATGTCAAGTGATTTTTAAGATTTTTTTCCCCTTCTTTATACAATTTTGACTTATAAATTGTGTAAGGTACACGGTTCAACTTCGAACGACAAAAGTAACTGATACAGATTGATTTGCTGAAAGAATATGCTTGAGAATACGAAGACAAATAAAAATAGTGAAAATGGATAAAATTCTCTTCACGTGGGTAAATGTAATTATGCAAACAACAAGGAGTGTTAGAGAGAGAATATTCTGTACCAATGGTGGCATCTTTTACTAAAATGCCCACAATTAATGGTCAAATCTCAACCGTCAAATCTGCCATTAATTTTTCAATCTATTATTTTTATTCTACTGTATATGTCCATCCCTCTCTCCCTTCCATCTATTTTCTAAAACATGTTATTTAATAACATAAGATAGTGAATCATTTTGTCAAAACTAATCTACACACAAATTCATGGTTGGAGGTATATGTCAATTATTTCTGAGTTATGCTCGCTTTAGTGGTAACAGTTACCTGTTTTTAAGTAATTTACCTCTTAATCAAATAACTTCTTCACTAATCAATTTAGGTTTATTTACGCTAGATCAATTTAAATTTGGAGTAAGAAACCTAACAAAATTGATTATCTTTAAAGAAAGAGTTTTTTTAACCTATAATTTTTTTGGATTTATTTAAGGCTGCTAAACAATGCATGATAACTTGACCATAGTTCAACTAATTAAAACATAAAACTTGTAAGTTCGAATCTCTACCCTTTCGTATATTGTTGTACTAAAAAACACTAAACAACACATTAAAAATACATGACTCAAAATTTTGTTTTAATTTCTCAAAAGAAAATTTTATGCTTTTTTTTAAAAAAAATAGTATAGCACTTGCCAAAGTCAGAAAATAAAATTTCGGTTTTGGATATAGTAATTTACCAAATAAATGAGGTACGAAAATTGAGGATAATGAGAATATTTTATAGGATATTCCAGTGAAAGATATTTCTAAACTTGTTTACTATTTAGCCTTTTGAGGTGGCAAAACTTTTATACAACTATTGTTGTAATAACAACTATTATTTTTTCCTAAAAAAAAAACAACTATTACTTTTTTATAATGATATATAAAGATGAAAAACATCACTTGAGAGTTCTAAATAATTTGATATAATATTTTTAATGATCGTCAAAACGAGCATAGTTCAATGGTGATTGACATATATCTCCAATCAAGAAGTTGTGAATTCGATCCCCCACCCCAACATTTTGTACTCTCTATATATATAGTGAATATACATATACTTCATTAATATGGACGTAGTATAAGGATGATGATAATATACATATACTCTATATATTTTTTAATGTGTGATATTTGGTGTATGTTTGCTCCAAATAAACCTTCATTTGGGTCCTAACTTCCTCCTTCGGGTATTACAAGTTTTGGGCCAGCCCTGGGAAATTGGGCCTCCGTCATGGGTTTTACCCCTTATTAAGCAAGAGAATAAATAAAACTTGCATACTTTTAATTAATTAATTAATATATATATATATATATATATATATATATATTTACCAATGAACATCCACCTTTCGTCTGTAAAGTGTATTTTCAATGCAGCTGAAATATATTTTTTGGTTTAGTACGAATTTGATTAATAGGCATATAAATACCAAGACTTGGTTACATGTAACCTTCAAACTAATTAACTAAAATAAATTCGTGGTTTCAAAGAAGAAAAAGAAAAATCAAAACAAATTCGTCAATCTTAACTCTCTATCTCCAATTAAGAGATCAAGAGTTTGAATTTGTATCTTACTTGTCGTACTAAAAAAAACTCTAACACCCCTTAAATATACTCCTAAATATTTGTATGTTTTTTTTCTAAAATATAATCGTCACATAATTTCTCATCATCTTTATTTTTGGCTGGCTACTCGATCCATCTTTACCAAGGCCAGAACTATTATCATATGTCATAACTAACTTATCATGCTAATTAGAAGCAGTTATTAATTAGATTAATCTACCAAGTACTTCTGACTTTCTATCTCTTATCAGTGCTCACTAGAATATACTCCTCTATATATATATTCAAAATACATACACAAAGAATATTAAAACAATAAAAATAAAAATTATTGAGACTTTATATGTCCTGTAAGATGTGACATTTAAAACTGAATAAAAAAAAAAAAGAGAGAGTTGGAAATTGCATAGGGAAGGGGCCGCGCGAACGCAGGCCCCCACTAGCACAAATTATGACGTAGGCTCTGCCACTTTGGGCAGACCTTGGGCGGGCACCCCTCCGAACGTGCAATGGAGGTCACCAGCGCGTAGGCCATGGGCCTTCGTGATCGACCATTCACCCCGTCCAGGTAAGTATGTTCCTCCTCCCACGTTTATCCCCTTTTATACCCCACTCCCGCCTCCCATTTCTCCAACTTCCCCGATGTGGGACCAACTCTAACTACACTTTATGATTTTACATTTTCTACTCGGATGGATTACTGTGCAATCATTTTGCATCATATACATATTCCACAAATTAACCAAACATCTTCTACCTAAACTTAGCTTGTCACGTTGCCCTATCAACCGGTGACCATCACTGGCGTGAAAATTCGCTGTGACAAGGCAACGCTTCTTAACCTCTCCCTGAAAAAAGGTGGGTCTGTTTCTCACAAAGATACGTAAATTTCTATGTAACCTAACTAAGTTCAACTCGACGTCAGTTAGGATTATGTTTAAATTTAGAACTTCGGAGTGTATGTGGCCAAACACACACGCAGATGCAAGGTCGTTGATTAGGAGTTTCTATAATCTTAGCATCAACGTACACCTCCCTAAATCTATTCCTAGATTAGAAAAACTTCTATTTGAAAACATATAGTACTAGAGAATGAAGAAAGTAAAACCGAAATTAATCCTCAACATACCCAAAGGTAGTACATTATATGAGGAAGATTTACATTTTCTACCCTTTTATTTGAATTGATGGACCAGAAATAAGATTGATTTTTTTTGTGGTATATATGAAGGTGTGGGCGACATTTCCAAAATTTCAGGGTAATTTAGTCCAAATGGGTCTAATCAGTGTGGTTGAAGGCTACATGGACCCCAATCAGCTATTATCATATGTTCAACTTAATGCATCCATACTCACATGCACTTTTAATATGATCATAAAAACTTTGGGTTTATTTTATTACAAACTTTTCCAAAATATTTGACAAGAACAATTATGTAGTTTGCTAGCTGGTTTGCAAGACGGTGCAAAATTTTCATAATTAACAACCCTACACCGGTCAACTGCGCCCTCCGGTTCAAGTAAAATTAAAGGGTTTGTATTCATATTTTCTTCCCTAAATGTTCAGTACAAATATCTTCCATTGCAAAATGAAATCAATAAACCATGATTTATATTTTTTGTTTTTTGTTTTTTTGTTTTTAAAAGACAACAACCAATTAGGTTTGAGATGACCCTTTCAAAAAATACTATATGGGAAAAAATTTATGTACGGTAGAGATGACAAATAGGGTGGGACACGAGTTGGGATGCATTCTCCATCCAACGTATCTCCACTTCAGTCGAGGAATCCTCATTTGGGGCAAACGGTGATCTTTTTGCGGAAAATTTTAATTATTTTTAGAATTTAAAAAGTAAAAAAGAGTAATAAATATACATAAATAAGATATACTTTACTGATTTTTTTTATTTATTAGTATAAATAATCTGTTTAAAAAATATATTTAATATTCTATTCAATTTAGTAAAATAACTAATAAAATATATGTATTGACTATTTAAATACTGAATTGGGAATAGTGTCGGGCCACAATGGAAAATGCATTCCTTATTCTTAGACCGGAGATCCTTATTATCACGAATGATAAAATTTTAAAGAGATAAAAAGAATAAAACTTTTTTAAGAGAAATTTTATAGAGAGGAAAATTAGAGATTATTTAGGGAAAAGAAATGAATGAGAGAAAATTTATAGACAAAACGAAAAAATTCAAAAGTTGAGCCACTAAATATTGTGGAAGGGAAAGCCACTTGCTAATGAAGATTTTGTTTTCTTCTCAAAAGAAAAAAGAAAATCATGGTTTTGTTTAACAAGAATTACACTCTATTATCAAACAAGTATGTTTTTAATCAAAAAAAACAAAAATAAAAAATAAGAAATGAAATTAATGGTTATAAGTAAGATCTTTGGCTGTTTAATTTAAATGATGCAGTGTTACATTATTTTTTAAAAAATCTTGAATGAATATGATCAATATGTGATTGAAATATATATATATATATACGTGGAGGTGAGGCACAGAATCACTGTGAGTTCCAACAGATATTGTACCTTATACAGATTTTGATTCTTAATTTCATGTACTTAAAGACTACACCTTGGTGTACAACAGGAAGTTAATTATTACAGAATTTTGAATACAAATTAAAACTAATTAATTAAACGTAATTTTGGTTTCCTTGTTCAATCTCAAACGGTTGGTCGAGAAAATCATCACAATTGATGTGAAGCAGTTCCTCCACCATTTGCAACGCCACCATTCTCTCTTCTTCATCCAACTCTGATCGAATCTCCGACGACGCTGCCACTGCAGTGGCTCGAGACTGATCGCAAGCCACCACAGCCCCGGTCGGAGAATCTGCATTGCCATGGACAACATGGTTCTTGTTGTTGCTATTTCCAAGCTCGACAGTCATGACCCAGTTTGAAGCCGACTGCTGCCCGGCACACTTGTGCCACACGCCGATGTTCGAGTTCTCAGTGTCGAGCCTCAAGCAAGTCATCGACGGGGATGGGGCACGGCAGCGCCATTTCTTGAGCTTGGCCTGCAGCATTTGGGACAAGCCCTTGGGCGCATCATCCTTGGTTGGGACAATGTGGGTGTCTCCATCGGGAGCTTGGGCCGTGGGAAAGTTGGTTTTGGCGTTTCGACCACTCATCAAGACCGCGGCCTCATCGTACGCTCTCGCCGCTTCCTCTGCGGTCTCGAAGGTTCCCAGCCATATCCTCCTCTTCCTGCAGAGGGTCCTCAAAGGAAATCTTTACTCACAATTGAATTGAATTATGAATTGATCATAAAATAACAAGTAAGAGAATAATGTATTTAAATGGAAGAAGAAGAATAATCAGAATTACAGTAATGGGTGTCGAATTTCAGAAACCCAAGAGCCCCAATGGCGCTGTCTGACACCTCTGAACTTCTTTAATTTGGCCATTGTCAGAAAGAAGAAGTACACAAAACAACACACACATGGATTACAATATAAGGGAAGATTTTGAGGTGAAGAAGGGATTGGATTTGATTGGATAGTACACTGTCGGCTAACTAAAAGTTTTTAGGACCGCAATCCCTTTATAATTAATCACTGTCACCTAAATCTCTCGCACAAAACAGTGGGAGAAGGACAATTCCAATAAATGAACCTTTTCCAATTGACTTATCAATCGCCATTACTAATGCTCTCTCTCTCTTTACATCGTTTTGGTTTGCTTCTCAATTGGGATTCAGCCAAGTGTTGCTCATCCAATATGGCCAAATCTCTCAACTTTACAATCCATATATTTCCATGTGAATGATAAAGTTTGGAGGGTGAGAAATTATTTGATGGGATTTGAGTTATATGTTTATTAGGTGAGAGAGTTGATGGGGTTTGTAACCTTTTTGAAGGTCGTTCTAGGTCAAAACCAACTGCAATGCTTAAAATTGTTCGAGAGATTATAATGTGCCTAATAGGTACGTTAACTTTTGCACTATTCTCTAGGAGACTTGATTTTATGCCTAATAGATTCAATACTTTTTAAAAAATGTATTAATAGGTCAATCACCTATTAGATACAAAATTCAAAGTCTAGGAATCTAATTAGACTATGTTAAAGTGTTAATGGATTTATTAGACACAAAATTTGAAAGTTTAGAAGTAGAAATTTTTTAAAGTTTAAAGACTAATTACTAAAGGTCACGTCACAAAATTAAAGTTACATTTAGGACCAATGATAAAATTATACATGTCCTAAATTAATTTTAAAAATCGACAAATCAAATTATGCCACGTATCTCTCTTATGGCCGTCCGATGAAATCAACTAATTTAATCAAAACACATTAATAGACTAGGTTCAAGCCCATGGTCAATTAAGCTCATGGCCCATATAAGACTCACCAAGACTCTATAAATAGAGGGGATCAACCTCATTGGCGGAGCAAGAAGAAAGAAGAAAGAAAAAGAGCCACGAAAGAGGAAAAGAAGAAGTCATAAGAAGTCAACAAGACTTGAAGGCTTAGAGACTTGAAGAGTACGAGACTTCAAGAACATTGGATATTCTCTCCCCAAGCAACAATACTTGAAAACTCCATCAATCTGCAAATAACTTCACCAAGCTGCAAAGCCGAAACACTTCACAAGCTACAAACTGAAGAACTTCAAAGCCGAAGCACTCCACAAGCTGCAAAGCCGAATAACTTCACGAACGCAAAGCCGAAGACTTCAAAGATTCTTCAATAAGCTCAAAGCCAAAGACTTCACAAGGTCTTCCTCAAGCTACAAGCCAAAGAACTTCATCAACAAGTTAAAATCTTCAACAAGCTTGAGGTCGAAGACTTCAAAGATCCTTCAAGAAGCAAGAAGTTGAAGACATCAACTATTGATTCAAGAACAAACACACGAGTCATTGAATTAAAGTTTACATTTGAGATAATTAATCGGAGAATCATACATTAAAGAAGTTCATAAATTTGAGTTTTCTCTTGTTGAGTTACTCGTCGAACAGACTCATTAAACACAAACCTCAAAGTTCAATGAGTAAATTTGTAAGCTAAGCTTAATTTTATTTAATAAAATAATAATTGAATTAATTATTGCCAAGGAAAAAGCGAAAATTTTGTTTCATAATTAATCATTTTGTTTGTTGTTATGTGTATTATGATATTAATTACGCAAATAGTTGGGATCAAAAGGTTTGAATGATTGTGAATTTGGAATTAATTATTATATGGTTTGATGGGAAGGCATCAAATGAAATGAAGTATAACTTGATTTATCACATTTTGAAAGAGAGGGAATATGTCACATCTCGGCTAAAGTTAAATATTAATTAATTAAGCCCTTTCTTCAAAAGAAAACTAATAATTAATTAATTAATTAATTAATTAATCAAATCTAATCTCTTCAAGAAAAAAAATTAATTAATTAAGCCAAAATGGTAGCCCATAATTAAGAAAGATACATCACGTATGTCATTTCACTATCCCTAATGCGGTTGAGCTTAAACTAATTATTTATTATTCGTGGATTTTAAAAATATGTGAAAATTTAAACTTGTATATCTTAATTAGTTGACTTATACTCGAGTTTAACTATTAAAGTAAAGTCTTTTATGTATATATTTTGTAACTGAAAAATATTATAAAATTTTATTCAATAATCTGTGAGGGTGGATAAATTGAACACTTCAACCTCAATATAATTAATCTCTTATCTTTCGAACTTTACTCGAATGGGATAACAGAAAATATTAATGAGTTACGAAGTAGTAGAAAAAATGCTTACATTTTAGAGGCAGGGATATTTATTTAAGGTTGAAAATGTTAGAATATGAATATATATAATTAAATTTATCATAAACCATCAGCTTAAACTTTTTAACTTTTTAATTTTGTGATGATTTAACATGGTACCGGAGAAATATGCATGTCTTGTGCTAAGACCCTTGTAACGTCGTTTATTACCTATTTAATTAATATCGATTTACCAACCACTTCTTTTTAATGCAAACGTGTGCGAGATTCGAACTCATGACTTTTTAATCGAAAATAGTTGTCTTAAATAGTTGAACTGTGCTGCTCTAAACTTAAATATCTATATCGAGCAGCAGAGAAGAAGAGCCATTTTTTAATATACATAGTACTAATTTTTCATTAAATGCACCTAAACATATAGTGCATTAAAAGTATGAAAACTAAAAACCAAATTAGGTGTCACAATTTGGATGGGTTTAAGACTTTTCTCTCTCTCTCTCTTTTTTTTTTTTTTTTTTGGACAGTTGTACCCTCTTTATTTTGTTTTCTATATATTTATTTCTTACATTGACATGTTACCATCTTACATATTTAATTATAACAATTAATTTGCCACGTGCTAAATTAATAAATTAATTAATTAAGCACAAGGAGAGGCATGGAGGGTCAAAGATAGTACTCTCTCAACAATTTATGGAGTTATGGGTTGCCTTCTCTTCTTACAACATTTTAGTTCAAACTAAACCAATATTACCATTGCAACTCAAATTTTTTTGTCTCAAATATGTGACCCATTACTTTGGTTGGGTTTCAACTTTTTTTTTTCTTTCTTTTTTTTTTTTTGTATAATTTCAATTGATCCTATAATTTAAGTTTTTTTAGTACAACATTGGGAATTTGAACTCACGAATTTTTTTTGTTAGAAATAAGTGATTTGACTAGTTGAACCATGCTCGATTTGGTGATCCTATAATTTGAGTTAGTTTTAGTCGATCCAAATACTTATTTTTGCCTTAATTTTTTAAATAAATATATGGTATAAGTTTAAATTTCTGTTGTGCGTCTCGCATCAGTATAGTAGAAATTGCTTATCGCAAGTATATGAGTCAAGTTTTAATATAGATGGTAAGTGAATTAATGCTGATATGGTCCTCTAGAATTGGTTTCTAGCTCACTCGAGTACCACAGATATAATCATTCAATTTTATTTAGAGAATCGAATCCGAATAAAAGCATAGAATCAAAGAAAATAAACACGCACTAAAATAAAGATAAAATCAATTGGGAGAAACGTGCTAAGGAATTGATTTCATCTATTGAATCTATGAACCAATTAATCAATTACTCCAGATTGAACGAATTATATATTTTATAGATCAATAACTCTCAAATCTCAACTGCCTCTCTCGAGCGCAAGCTAATTCTCCTTACCAATTATTGAAACCAATATCCCTATCTAATTTTTATAACAAGTAAAAGCTTTATTGAGCAAGTCTTTTAACAACCTCAAAAAGATTTCTAAATCTCCCGATCTTAAAACCCCTTTAGTTATGCATCCCAATTCTAATTCTAAACCATCTCCCCCTAGCGTAAGATTTCAAGTCTAAAATCAATCAATTTATGGCCGGTAGATTAAAGACATTAATCATAGAGAAGCATAAATAGAACATTAAAAAACATTCAATCAAGAAAACTAAATAATCAATCCATAAAGTTGAATGACTATCAATCCCTAAGATAAGAGATTTATCTTCTCATATTCAATGTAAAACAATAAAATTACAATGAGAATTTCATCACAAAACTCGAAAAATCAAGGGAAATGAGAAGAAATTAAGTTTGGCGTGTCAATCAATCGTTCCTAAAGCGACCTCCACGATGCCTTGAAAATCTCTCTTCTAAGCTCTCCAATGGTCTCATTGCCCTCCAAATTGGCTAAAAAGCCAAACTGCCAAAAAATCCTCTCCCAAACTCCTCCCTCTCGGCGGCTGCAAAACCCTATTTTTATAAATAAAAATTATCGCATCAGTGACATGGCGCTACACTATTCAGAAAACGCTAAATTTAAACTTCGGAGCGTCGTGTTATTCTCATCGGGCTTTTTTTTGGCTTGATTAAGTGTTGTAATGTCTTCTATTTCGCTCGGGCTATAATTTTCCTCTCAATATGATCAATTTATGTCTCGTTTTCTCTCAATTATTCATTCCTGCAAAATATATTTTATGTGCGTAAATAATGTCATAAAGAAACAAAAACTAACAATTAATTCCAATATAAGTCTAATGAATTGCAGCTCACAAATTGCTCTATCAATAAAGTTTGTTTTTAACTTTTTAACTTTAATTTGAATGATGATAATTCTGTAAAATTTTAAACTTTTAACAATATTTGAAGTCCACCATAGCATAACTGAGTAGATTAGGGTAACCATGAGCTTAAGAGTTCGAAATCCCACCTCCATGTGGTATACTGAAAAAAAAATATTTGAAAATGCATATTTATTTATTTATTTATTATTATTATTATTAATTTGTCATTTATGTAAATGCGGATTTTGATGTTAGTTTCCAAGTTTGACGTGGTTTCTATCATTAAAAAAAATAAAAATAATAATCCTTACAAAATTAATAAAAATAAAAAGGCCTTAACGTTCACAATGGGTTGGGCTTTCTAGTTTATTTCATGATCCAAAATGACGTTATGGGTGGGCTGGCCAATTCAAAACAAAACAAATCAACATTTACTCTTCACAATTGGTAGCAGCAAATTTAACACAATTTAAATAAAATTTTACAAAAATAATAGCTAAAAAATTTATTAAAATACTAGGAAATCAATTATTATTGTTTATTAATATATAGGTCCATAGTTAATCAGTAAAGAAAAAAAAATCATAACAAAAAATTAGGGAAAAAAGTTCATGCATCTAATTTCCTCTACTGAAGCATGAGTCACAATTTTCATGGATTTATTGGTTCAGAAAATAAATCAAGTAAGCTACGCATGATAAGAAATGGGAAAATAATGAAAATATATTGCATAAATTAATTTTGTTTATTGTTTAATTAGATAAGAATTCCATTAAAATTATTCTCAAGACTTCTATTCATGCATGGACTGATCACGTTCTCCAAAGCAAAATAAAAAAATAATTAAAAATTATTTATGTAATGAAATGCGTGCTAAAAAAAAAATATGCCTTAATTTCTTTTTCTTTCGAGTAAAAGATGCCTTAATTAATGTCATAATCAAAGATAACGGATATTTTGGAGGTTGCACATTTCATCAAAAAACATAGAATATGATATTTTGCCAATTCAATAGAGAAAATAATTTAATGGTCATAACCTTATCTAAAAAAAAAAAAAGAAAAAAAGAAAATTAATGGTCATAATCAAACTTCTTTTTCTTAACAAAAATACAGGTAGATAAACGAATATTCAAAATTTGTCTATTTATAACAATTATTTTTTTCCTTTTGAAGGATGCGAACCCGACTTTACTTTAATTACAAAAGCATAATGGAAATGATTGCAAATTAGCTCATACCTGACGGAAGGAAGGTTGTTTGATGATGAATTAAATTCTAGTTTTGTATTTCTAAACATAATTAATTTTGGCTCTCGCGTCAATGAAGAAAGTAGCGAAATGCAATATTTTTTTGTATAAATTACAAGATTCAGTGAACCACCGAATCTTCGAACGCAAATTGTGTCCCCACTCCACAGCCCTCTATCTTGTTGCTGAAAAGGTACTCAAAAAATAATAAAATAATTAAACTTAGTTTACCCGCAAATTTCCTTTTGTAGTCTTTTTATTATAAAAGTTTAATTAAAATTACCCGCAACTGTATTTGATTAAAAGGTCGTGAATTCAAATTCTCATCCTACAAAATTACAAAATTATTTGTTACTAAAAAATCATTAATAACTAAATTAAAAAATTAAAGTGAAAATTAATGTTTAAATCCTAACTTTTAAAATGTCTATTTTAGCTAATAATTATGTTTGTCATTGCTATCATTTTTTCCAGAGTTATTTTTTTAGTACCACAGATGTGAAGGTGAATATTTGAATATGCAATCTGAACAAATGAAAAGTAGATATCTTTAACTATTAAGTTATACTCATGATATTAATTATGTTTTTGTTGAAATCTGATTACTCGTTAAGCTTGGCAGGTTTGACAAAGTTTTGGGGGACTTGCATAGAGAAAGAAAAAACTCCAACGTTGAAGTCAGTAATGGTCCGAGCTATTCGCTCTCAAGATAAGCAGTCAGAATCGCGTACCTGCAGTCAAAGTTTGTCCATGTATTTATAGGCACCCCACCTACCAGTCGCTTTCCATGATCTCATTATTTTCAGCGCGAGATCTACAACCATGGCTAATGTGAGGTATTAAACAATTATGAGATGTTCCTCGGCTCAGCCCTTACTAGAGTAAGCTCGGTGGTACGATTTCCCAATCGCAAGACCTGAGGTACTATTCATCGGCTCTCGAGAACTCCTCTTCTTCTAACACATGGAAGAGGTTTCAATGCTGCCCAACAAATTGTTCAACGGATAGATAGTGTGATTTTAAATACATACACGAATAGGCCTAGTGGGACAGATAGATCATACATTCCTCAGTCAACCCTATACAAAAACCATTTAATGTTCCCTCCGTGAAAAAAGGAGAAAGAGATAAGATTTTAGTTAGACGAAGCATGGTAAGATTAGAAAAAAGAAAAAGATAGAATTAGAGGAGATCTTGCATATTTATTTACAGGTACTACTTGATTTACTCCACCTAACAAAATAGAATAGAAACTCTCGCAAGGTAATAGGGAAGTTCATATGATTGAGGTATTGCATTGTGGTAGATTATTTGAGTAGAGTGATGATGATACATAACAAAATTGTTAATTTGATTTATTAATTAAAAAAGGGTTAAAATGAAGCGTGAGAAACAAGTGGGCAGAAAGTGAAAGTGAAAGGGGCACATGGAACTTGCAGCATAGAAAGTCAAGGTAAATGAAAGGGAAAACATGAGAGAAATGGCATGTGATGTGATGGCCCTCAAGTTCAATTATGGCCTATGGAAGGAGATGAAATTTTCAAATAAGAATTAAATTTTAAGACTGTGTGAAGTGAAGGGATAGATAGAAAGGGACAGATATTGATCATTTTTAAAGCCTAAATACATATTCTACTCCTCAATGTTTGTAAAACTTTTCTATTTTTAAAGAAAAATTCAATTTAATTCTTAATGTTTTAACATTTTCTTATTTAGTTCTCCCTTAAAATTCGGTACAAATTTAGAGGAGGAAAAATATCAAATAAAAGAAGGAAGTTTCTAATTTCGACTTTTCTTCCCTTCTTATTACTTTCCTTCGATTCATTAAGTATTATGCGATATAAGTTTATCGTCAAGCTAATTTTAATCAATGACGAGGAATTAAATTAGAAAATATTACAATATTAAAAACTTGTTGAACAATAATAACTAAATTGTAAGTACTGCTGAATATTAAAAATTAAAATATATATTTAGCTTTTTTTTTATCTGCTCAAAAAAGCTGCTCTATCTATGTCCATGTTATTAGTTTTGTATTAGTTAGACTAATAAAAAAAAAATTGCCTGATGGTAATTGCCTACCCAATATCTTCTCCGAATATCACAGAGCATCAAGCGAAGTAGTGGCGAGTGGGTGATTAGAGTATTGTTCGACAAACAAGTTCAAATTCTCTCTTCTAAATTTCCAGAGCTCCTAAAATAATCATACAGTTTATGTTTCGACTTATCTGGTCAAGTCCAACATGTGATACATGGTAAAGAATTTCCAAGCCCTTAACAACATTTTATATATTCAATATGATAACATCGAAAATACCAATTATTTTGTAATAGTAATTTTATCAAGAAGAAAATGCCTCGAAGAATATATTATAGTCATCTTAACAAAAGGGAAAAAAGGGTGTGTAATGTTGGAAATTAAGCTACCTATGACCTAACCAAATTCCATGGCCATAATCCATAGAAGGCATGGAGTCCACACCCTCTCCATTCAATTCAACTAAACCAAACCTTTCCAACTCTTCCCCACATAAATAATTCCCTTTGTTCCCACATTAATTATGACTCTTTCAATAATTCTATATTTCTAAAAATGATTTATTCAACTATAAACCATACATAATTAAAACAGATTAAATTATAAATTTAGTTTATAAAATTTAATGTGTGATAAGTTCTATCTAATAAATGTATGAAAAATAGGTCCACAACCACAGATGAAGATTCCCCCCCTTGACGTGTGGTATAATCCAAACATCCCCAGCCACAACATAATTTCTCCTTTTTCTTTCCCCCACCCATTAAAAACTAAAAACTCGTCACCAAAAATAAAATCATGTAATTCAATTTTGTAAATTAAAAAAGATTTTATCTTCTCACATGGCACGTGTCGACACATGCACCAAATTGCCACGAAAAAAAGTTTCTTCAGTTTCGAAAATCATCTCTACTTTTTACTTTACTTTCCATATATTGCTTAATGCTTATCTAAGAAAGAGAAACATAATCCACCCTTCACTGCTAAAAAACTCCCCCAGTTTCCAAAATTTTGTTTTTGGCGTAATGTTTTTCCATGTAATTAACCTATACTTATCTGTTAAATCAAAAATAATAGTAATTAACAGTCCAGCCGTCAGAAATAGACAAAATACCAATTATTTCCTTGGTTTAATCATCAAATTCTTTCTCTTCTACAAGGGGCTGGCAATTGCAATTTAAAGCAGTAACCTTTAAAATCACTCCAAATAAATAAATATATATATTTATTGGTTAAAATACTAGTTTTGAGTATTCTAATTTAGGTTACTTTGAATCTTTTACTTTTAATTTTGATTTATTTTAATACAATTTTAGACCTTCAATTTTATTTTTAATCTCATTTTTTTTATCATAAATTCAACCCGATATTATAATCAATATATTTTTTATAAATTTATGTTAAAATTTTATAAATTTTTTTAGAAATACAAGAATTAAATTTTGAAATTATATAAAAAAATATTTTGAAAGTGGAAGGATTAAAACGATTAGGCTGCAATTGCAAAGAAACAAAATATTATTTTAACCTCTTTTTTGTTTTAATATCAGAGTCGCTTATTTTGCTTCGATTGCATCATCCTCCCTCTGCCGTCTGTGTGTGTCCTATTTATACATTGATATTCTCCCAATTTTGGATTATTTGGTATGTTTAGAGAGAGAGAGAGAGAGAGAGAGAGAGGGTATGTGTTCGATGTTGAACTCGCAGGGGATGGCGCTGGCCACCGCCATGGCTGCGGTATCGGGCACTGTGATTCTTCTGTCTTTTTGCATCCAAAAATCCATTCCCACTGCCCAGTTCTCAATTCACCCCTTCTCGCCTCCAAATCTTCGCTCCTGTATTCCTTCTGGTACGTCTTCACAGAGTTAATTTCTCTTCGAGCTTTCAGATTTCTGTAATTTCAAACTAATTTTAATTGTTCTGTTGCAGAGACGAGGAAAAAGGAGAAGGAGAAGAAGAAGAAGAAGAAGAGGGTTCATTTTGCGGACGACGTGGTGGATCCAATTGGGAACGGCGAAGACTTCCGAAGGCACCACGAAATCGCTTCCAACAACTGCGATTCTACGCCGCCGTCGCAGAAGAGCGGCGGCGGGGGAGACAGAGGAATGCCGGCCAACAGAGTGGCGCTCTACAACGGGATTTTGAGAGATCGTGTCGTTCACCGATTCGCTTACTCTTGACAAATTCTGGACCCTTCACCAAGTTTCTACTTAATTCTATGTTGACTTAGTCTCCTTTTTCTTTTTTTAATTTTTGTGTACAAAATTCAAGCTCTGGCTTCTGGGTGCGTTGTTGCTCAAAATCACCGCCAGAAAATTGTAAAGCCGATTTTCTTTCCCCTGTACAGAGATGACGTAATTAATTAATAATTACCCTCTTCATAACCTTTTTTTTTTTCTTAATTAATGAAATCGGGTAGAAATTAATAAATGGTTTTTTATTTTTGTTGACCGGCAATAATTGGAGTTGTGGAGGGCGGAATTGGAATTGCTTTATTATGGCAGCAACTGTAAGGGCAACGGTAACGGCTTTTTTGGGGGGCACTGAAGAAAGGTGGGTGGGTCAGTGGGTAGCCTGCCCACTGCTGTCATCTTTTTTTTTTTTTCCTTTAATTTAAATTTAAAATTTATCATTAATAATTTATTTAATAGTGCAGAGAAAGTTTGAACATGGGCACGTTCCTTCCGGGATGCTTCCTCTGCCTTTAGCCAATAGCCAACCAACTCCTATAATTTAATCCAAGCATGCTTAGACTTTATTCCTTGTTCAAAGAAATATAACTTGGAAGTTGGACCACACAAAACAATAAATTAGTCAATTTTTCAAAAATAAATAATGCTGTAATTATATATATATATATATATATATATATATTATATACGTGTTTTATTTATTTATTATTTGTTCTCTATAAGTCACAATTATTGACCGCGTATTTTAAGTTTATATGTGAGTCTGAAAAAGCAGGGTTGTTGGTTTTCAACTAATTTGTACTGGTCACACCCCATTCCCATTTCCATTTCATAGTGTTGATGGAAAAAAATATACACCATATAGATTATACCGATCTACATTCAGAACTGCAAATAAAATAGGTTCTCACATAATATATTAACTATACTGTCGTCCTCTTGCTTCAGAGTGTCGTAAAAATAACCACCTAGAATTACACAATTAAAATCACCTCTACCAAACCTTCAGGATACAGGCTTCTTTTCATGTACTGCCAACGACCACTCTAAGTCTTTTTTATTTTGATTTTTTACCAATGAATACAAACCCCAAATCACCTACATTTATAAGGACTTCTAAGCCTAAATGAAAAATGACTCAAAAATGAAATACGGGGTGGAATCGGAGTCATAATGCCGCGGCGCTGTCTTCTCGTCAGCTTGCCTGCCGTAGTTGCTTCTTCTGAGTTTGTAGCACCATAGCGTCGGGGATGGAGCTTAGGCACCCTAATATAGCATTTAGATGCTGCGACCCCGACCTTTTTGATTGGTATTTTGTAATTCTATTCTTTTCTGTTTTGGTTCCATTAATCCAACAACAAAGGTATTAATCGGCAAATGGGCCTTGGGAGAATCTGGAATTTGTCGCTCCAACCCCCTCGAAATTCTGAAAATTGTAGTTGTGATTGTGAGTTTGTTTGGGCAGGCCATGTGAGGGTGCCTGCAAGTTCATGATCGGTTCAAATTGGGGAAAGATCGGACAGCCAAACAGAATATGGCCAAAGATACAAATAAATAAATAACAGAGGAAAGAGAGAGACAGAGAGGAATTATGCTTTCAATATTATTATATACAAAAAGCCTTCGAAGTTTCAGATGTCAGTGAGACAATACTATTACCCATGGTTTCAAATAATTCCCCCACCTAAAGAAATAGTGAATTTTCAAATATTAAATGATATTCTTTTATTATTTATTTTTTGTCAAATGCCGAATATGCCGACATTATTAGAGATAAAATCAATATTGTTGTAAAATGTAAATTCTCTGTTTATAATTATAATAATTGAAACGACATGCTTCCATCAAATACCATAAGTTTTTTTTAATTTAAAATATGTTACTCGAATTAAGTCAATAGTTCAACTATTGATATATCTTGTTTATTTTATAAAGTCGAAGACTCAATAAACATAAGTTTAATTCAATGGTAGTTGAAATTTTCCATTATACTTTAAAAAAAAAATCGTAGATTTGATTCACCATCGCCACCTCTGTCATACTAAAAAATACAATATATTATATGTGTCATGCTGTGTTTTATATTTCTAAACTGAACTAGTTTTTTTTTTCCTAAAAAATACATGTTTTTGAGAGTCAAAACTGAACTTTGACCACACGAGCTAATTATATATAACGAAATGTTATAGAAAGTTGGAAATTAATGAATAAAACAGGCAGCCTGTTTAAAGATAAACATCAAGAAGCTAAGGTGCATGTGAAAAACGACTGTCAAAATTTGAGTGGGAAAAAAAAGAGAGACAATGGATAAGAATTTGAAACCAAAACAACGAAATTGAAGGTCATTTTCTAGAATTAATTTCGTAGGAAATGGAAGGATGTAAGATAGTCAAATAAACACGCAACAGTACGATTTTAAATAACAAGTAGTTAAGTAAAAGTCTATCTTCCCTTCTCGTTTGAAAATATCCGACCATTTAATCTAAGATATATGTCTTAATTAATTGTACTTTCATATATCTATTACTGCTCGCGTCTGTTACATATTTACACAAGTAAGAAGGTTAAAAAAATTCATAACTTCAAATAAATAGTATATTTGAAAGATTAATATTGAGGACATAAGGAAGGTAGATTTAAAAAATAAAACAAAAATGGAGTTAAAAAAAGCAACTGTTTTCAAACGTTTTTCTAATTTTAAAATTAGAGAAATGTTGGGGTTGGACCGATAATTGTACAAAGTCGGTGGCCAAAGCATGTAATTTCTGAGAGTCAATTGGAGTACCAAATAATTTGGTGTTCTGAAAAAATAACTTTAATAATTAAATTCACGTCACTTTCAACTTGCTCCAACTTGGTAAAATAACTTTTATTACATGTTGCAGTTAATTATTGAATTAGATAAGTCCCTATAAATTTCGAAAAATAGACATTACATTATATTATGTTAGTAAATTATAATTTTGTTGGACTTAAGTCTCAATTTAGAGTTATTTGTGCCCAAATGGTAACCATAGATTTTAATGTGCTATTACTAACCAGATCAGATTATTTATTTATTTATTTAGAGTTCGATTCAAAATATTTTCCTTAGGGATAGCATGGTATTTGAATTATATTTACTAATATAATTACTTTATTATAGTAATGTATTTTTAGCGTAATCATCTCTTTGTTATCTAACTTCATCCTACAAATTACAACCTTCCATTTCCTCGTGTCAAAATCATTAATTGAAGAAGAGACCACAAATAAAATAAAACCACCTGAAATAATAAACACAACGCAAGAAAAAGCATCAGCCAATTGTTATACTGAAAAGGAGGGAGGAGGGAAAAAAAAAAAAAAAAAGGCAATCAGCCAAAGCTTAAGTGGGGACTGTGGAGTATGAGGACATACCCTTTCACTTTAAGAATCACCATTCATAATATAAAGTACGCTTTAAAAAGTACTTTGTGTACCTAAGCTCTTCTCTAATTACATGCCTTCTCAATGATTTCACCCATTAACTTTTTTGACCCTTTTACTAGACATAAATAATTAAATAATGCACCTTTTGAAAAAAACAATATTCAATTTTAATTTTACTACGTATACAGGCTAAGCCAACGCCAACGAGTGATTCAACATAGACTAATTATCAAATTGTAAACAAAAATTTACATTGGTATTCTGTTTGATCAAGTACACTCTGAAACTTAAATTAATACTTAGTCTAAATTTTTATAAGAAAACATTGAAAAATACCACCATGTGCGATGACGATATCCATACCTGTCATTGAGAAAATCTTCTAATGGCTATTAGTATATTACTTACCAACAAAATTAACATTCTACAAGTTATCAATTGAAGTTGATCTTCACCTTGTACGTATTTGGTCACTTTCCTCTCATCCTCGATAAATTTGAGCTTGAGGCCAATATGTTTAAACATAGCTCCATCAGACTTTGCTAATGATCTCACCATTAACAGCTACATAAGAGTTGATTAAAAATGATTTGAAAGTACCAAGCATGGCGTGGGAGTTTGATAGATAAATTAATTGGGAAGCAATAATATATATTTTAGGTGGAGGGTGGGTGGCATTTTAATTTACTAAAACTTTAGTGAGAGATTGGTTACTTACAGCCTTGCAAAAAGGAGGAGTCAAATTCATTCATTTAATTGGACATGAATTGTTACGGGAAACTTTAACCATTTTATTAATATTTAATTTCTCCTTTGGTTGGAATTTTTCTAACATGTCTCGGTTAATTAATAAACAAATAATTTACCTTGGAAAAATGTACGTCAGTAACATACACACGCCATCACAGCACACGTGTCCACACCTCAAGATTTTAAATTATTTATGTTTTAAGCGGTCAACTTTTCGTAAATATTATATACAGAAAATTATAAAAAACCGAGCGTCATATTTAAATATATATGAAGAGGAAGAGTTCCCAATAAGCAATAAAAGACTCTGTTTTTGGGTTAATAAACAATAAATAATTATTAAACGTGTTTTTGTTTGTCGTCTCAGAACAAAAATACATTTTATAAAACACAATTCTATTTTTTTTTATTAAAAAAGATGAAATGAAAAATAAAAAATAAAACACAAGAAATGGATACATTTCGTTAAAATCCCACCTCAAAAAGATAATAATAGACCTAACAAAAGTTTATAAGATATGGTTACTTATCTTATTGCTAATTAATATTTAGATTTAACTCATGAATAATGACGAGGTATCAAACTAAAACGAGCATGCTAAGGATCCCATATTTAGGATAATCTAACAAATATTTATAATATACAATTAGTTTTGAGATGAAATTTATAAATGTGGATACAACGAGCACTTTTAATATGCTTAGTTTCAAAATGTTAATGAAATTGTTATTTTTAACATTTATGGCTCGTAAGGCATGCATAGACTGTCAGAAGGGTTTATTTTATGAATGAATAAAATGATGCATCTGGAGGTACAGGTAAATGCTTATCAATCAATTTCAATATTTGTAAATGTTGATGCGTGGATTTCGGTCCTCCGGTTCTCCTCCTTGCACCCACCAAACTTGTTGATCCGGGACTAGTACCTGCAAAACCAAATCGAGCTAAACCGGTGTGACTCTAGTCACACGGGCTCCGATGCTTAAG